AGGTAAGATACAGTCGACATACTTAATGTAAAGGTAGGATACAGTCGACATACTTAATGTAAAGGTATGATACAGTCGACATACTTAATGTAAAGGTAGAATACAGTCGACATACTTAATGTTAAGGTATGATACAGTCGACATACTTAATGTAAAGGTAGGATACAGTCGACATACTTAATGTTAAGGTAAGAGACAGTCGACATACTTAATGTTAAGGTAGGATACAGTCGACATACTTAATGTAAATTTATGATACAGTCGACATACTTAATGTAAAGGTAGGATACAGTCGACATACTTAATGTAAAGGTAGGATACAGTTGACATACTTAATGTAAAGGTAGGATACAGTCGACATACTTAATGTTAAGGTAAGAGACAGTCGACATACTTAATGTAAAGGTAGGATACAGTCGACATACTTAATGTAAAGGTAGGATACAGTCGACATACTTAATGTAAAGGTAGGATACAGTCGACATACTTAATGTAAAGGTATGATACAGTCGACATACTTAATGTAAAGGTAGGATACAGTCGACATACTTAATGTAAAGGTAGGATACTTAATGTAAAGGTAGGACATCGACACTTAATGTAAAGGTAGGATACAGTCGACATACTTAATGTAAAGGTAGGATACAGTCGACATACTTAATGTAAAGGTAGGATACAGTCGACATACTTAATGTAAAGGTATGATACAGTCGACATACTTAATGTAAAGGTAGGATACAGTCGACATACTTAATGTAAAGGTAGGATACAGTCGACATACTTAATGTAAAGGTAGGATACAGTCGACATACTTAATGTAAAGGTAGGATACAGTCGACATACTTAATGTAAAGGTAGGATACAGTCGACATACTTAATGTAAAGGTAGGATACAGTCGACATACTTAATGTAAAGGTAGGATACAGTCGACATACTTAATGTAAAGGTAGGAGACAGTCGACATACTTAATGTAAAGGTAGGATACAGTCGACATACTTAATGTAAAGGTAGGATACAGTCGACATACTTAATGTAAAGGTAGGATACAGTCGACATACTTAATGTAAAGGTAGGATACAGTCGACATACTTAATGTAAAGGTAGGATACAGTCGACATACTTAATGTAAAGGTAGGATACAGTCGACATACTTAATGTAAAGGTAGGATACAGTCGACATACTTGTAAAGGTAGGATACAGTCGACATACTTAATGTAAAGGTAGGATACAGTCGACATACTTAATGTAAAGGTAGGATACAGTCGACATACTTAATGTAAAGATAGAATACAGTCGACATACTTAATGTAAAGATAGGAGACAGTCGACATACTTAATGTAAAGGTAGGATACAGTCAACATACTTAATGTAAAGGTAGACATTTAATACAGTCAACATACTTAATGTAAAGGTAGGATACAGTCGACATACTTAATGTAAAGGTAGGATACAGTCGACATACTTAATGTAAAGGTAGGAGACAGTCGACATACTTAATGTAAAGGTAGGATACAGTCGACATACTTAATGTAAAGGTAGGATACAGTCGACATACTTAATGTAAAGGTAGGATACAGTCGACATACTTAATGTAAAGGTAGGATACAGTCGACATACTTAATGTAAAGGTAGGATACAGTCGACATACTTAATGTAAAGGTAGGATACAGTCGACATACTTAATGTAAAGGTAGGATACAGTCGACATACTTAATGTAAAGGTAGGATACAGTCGACATACTTAATGACATACTTAAAGGTAGGATACAGTCGACATACTTAATGTAAAGGTAGGATACAGTCGACATACTTAATGTAAAGGTAGGATACAGTCGACATACTTAATGTAAAGATAGAATACAGTCGACATACTTAATGTAAAGGTAGGATACAGTCGACATACTTAATGTAAAGGTAGGATACAGTCGACATACTTAATGTAAAGGTAGGATACAGTCGACATACTTAATGTAAAGGTAGGATACAGTCGACATACTTAATGTAAAGGTAGGAGACAGTCGACATACTTAATGTAAAGGTAGGAGATAGTCGACATACTTAATGTAAATTTATGATACAGTCGACATACTTAATGTAAAGGTAGGATACAGGACATAGAGACAGTCGACATACTTAATGTAAAGTAGGAGACAGACATACTTAATGTGTAAAGTCAACATACTTAATGTAAAGTAGAATACAGTCGACATACTTAATGTAAAGGTAGGAGACAGTCGACATACTTAATGTAAAGGTAGGAGACAGTCGACATACTTAATGTAAAGGTAGGAGACAGTCGACATACTTAATGTAAAGGTAGGAGACAGTCGACATACTTAATGTAAAGGTAGGATACAGTCGACATACTTAATGTAAAGGTAGGATACAGTCGACATACTTAATGTAAAGGTAGGAGACAGTCGACATACTTAATGTAAAGGTAGGAGACAGTCGACATACTTACTGGAAAGGAAGGCAAATAAAAGCACTCATGAACATTCATAATCTTGATACAGAAATGGGAAAAGTTAAGAAAACAAGAAAATACCAACATGTCAACATAATCATCTTCTGCTTCATCGTAAATCTTGGTCAATCCAAGTAAGTTATGTCACGTTCTCAAATAAAAACAAAGCGTAAAACAAGGAACCCTACATGCAGCGTCCAGTTTTACATCAGCCATACTGGCCAGACATATAGTGTATCAGGTGATACCGGCATTCTATGGTGGGTTGGAAACGTCCTTAAAAGAGTCGTGTCAGCCGTTAGAATATGATGGATTTTCAGATCACGAAGATTACTAGCTCGTTGTAGTAAGAAAATATTTTATCAGTAGACAATAATTTCCCGAGAAAAAAAAGATTTAAATATCTTTCAGCTTTATGCGGGCAGAGGCAGACGTCTCGTAACATGATAGGGTTAAAAGAATGAAAGACCAACGGGTATGTATAAACCTCGGGACATTTTAACGAAAACACATTTTCTGCTAACAAATACCTAATCTGCTACATATCTTCTGTGGATCACACACCCAGTTGAAAATAGGAAAAGGATAGCAAATGAACAAAAGATTTTTTTAAATAAAGAAACTTTGGACAAATGTCAGAAAAAAATCCAATTAGAATGATAGGAACGGTGACAGACTAACCTCTAACATATTCGCGAATACATGATTTCGCGAAGGGCGATCTAGAAATGACTTTAGTTTCGCGAATGACGGGCTATTAGATATATATCAGTAACTGAATCAGCTGGAATTTCATCAAATAATCGTGAGGGATTTGAATTCGCGATTGACTCTCCTCGCGTATTGATACGGAAATAAATCCGAAATAGAAATTATTTACAGTTCTTCTTTGATTGTCTAATTTGTGTTATTATAGAACCATTACTGGTGATCCTTAAAATGCTGTCTACACTATCTAGAGTGGGCTGATTGTTAATATTTAATTGTTTTAATGTAATTAATGTAAAGTATCCACAATAAAAAGACTATGAACCCTGTTAACTAAAAAAATCTCGTCACCGGCGATTGAGTCCATTCAACGAAGTATCATGCCACCACCTGCTGTTTAAAAGAAGGACACGAACCATGGAGTGAATTATATACACTGCTGTCATTGTCCCAACTCTCGTGTGTACAGTCAACTTAACTCTCTGGTTACCGTGAACATTTATATGGTTGTAATGTATACCAGGTTAACACAAAGTGGTTTTATCTATTAAATTATATCCAAAACGTGATCAGTGTAAATAAAGACGTTAAAGAAGAAGAACTGGACATCAGTGTCTGTTTACTGGTTTAAGGAATTTCAAAATATATATTACACCTTACTTAACATGTCCTGTTGCCGTAACGCGATCTAAAACATAGATATAGTAATTATAACACTATTGTAACAAGAGTACCCAGTTCTTTCTGTAAGACACATATACACTATCATTAATACCGTTAATATGTTAGGTATACACAGCGACTAACTCGTCATTTCTTACTTAAGGTAAGTAAATAATTTTTATTGAAGTAATTTCTGCATTTCATAGCCAATGACATTAAGTAAATCTTACCGAGTCAAGACCAGACACCAGAGTCGTCAATTCAATTGATTTGTCAGGTCCTATCCTGTCCAGTTTGAATAAAAACAATTATAGAATAATTCGGTCTGTTTTTGTGATCTAATTTAGTCAAAATTGTATTCAAAATCAGCATAAAAACACCATCTTAATGTATACAGATGTGTGATGACTGTGAAAAAGTACTGATTTATAAGTCGTTTTTGTCTCTTTGACATTTTAAATCAATGTGTCGCCCTTGGTTTGAAAGGCTATGGTCAGATATCGGATAACTAGAAGTTGACAACATTGTAGTGATGTGAATGGAGATTCCTTTGTAAGGTCATCAGTGACAGAAAGTGAACGTCCTTAGCCGTGTCATTAAGTGTCGTTACTTACATTCATCCTAACAAACATGACTGAACATTGTTATAAATTATGGGGAAGTTTTATGGTTGTCGTTGTTCTGTTTCTTTGTGTGATATGACACTGGAGGTAATCACAATCCGTTAGTTTGCTGGTTGGTTCCGTTTTTGTATAATGTGTTCTCACTTTTGAACATGAGATAACTAATTTGAATTGACCAAAGTTTAGATAGCGGGTGTCGTCGATGAAGCAAAAGACGTTTACTATTCCGGAACACCTGGCATTATTCTCCTTGCTACCTCTGTGTAAATCTTTTGTTGATATTTTGCTCTAATTTTATTGAATTTGAGTTTGGGTTGTAGATGTGTTTACTTGGTGTTTCTTGTTGTTTTCACATCTGATTAGTCTATACCTATATACTTGTGGGATTCGTTCTGGAACATATAAACTTACTTAGTTTTCTTCGTTCCTCACGTGACACCACTTTTACAGGTGCGAACACACCTGTGTTACGGTATTTGGCATGTGGTAATGAATATGTTTCGTTTTCAGAAAAATCGTTTGCTCTTTTAAAAAAATGTCGAGACGTTTGGCAGCCAACATAAAAAACGACCACCTCGCATGCCCAATTTGCCAGGAGACTTTCACTGATCCACGTCGATTACCATGCGATCACACTTTCTGCTTTGCTTGCCTGAAGCAACTGATCAAAGCCTCACGTAAAAACAACACCATACTATGTCCTGTTGACCGCAGGGAAACACGAGCACCATTCGCAAATGCGTCCGATTATCATTGGGCCGAGTCATATCCCAAGGATGAGCTAGTATTATCTCTTCTACACACTGTTCAAGGTGAAGGTGTTGAGTCTACATCTGGAGTAGAATGTCGTAAACATGGGGGAGAAACGTGTGGTTATTTCTGTTTCGGATGCTATGAATTTGCATGTTCCGAGTGTGTCTTAGAAAGCCATAAGCAAGATGACTGTGACTGCAGAACATTTAAGAAGAGCAAGGAACTGTCTAAACAACTTTTCAAAGATCGTAGAACCGAGCTAGACGAACTTCTGAAAACCATTGACCGGATGGAAGTACACGGTAAAGTCCATGAACGATCCTTAAGGAATTCTGAAACGCGAGTTTCGGATAGTCTCCACACGATAGCAGCACAGATAGAAAAGTTTCGAGATTCTACAATAGCCAAACTGATCAATATGCTCACGCAAATTGAGAATGTCAGCGTGACAAAGAATAAGATTGACCAGGCAAAAATGTTAAAGGAAAAGATTAAAATCTATCGGAAACAAATAGACTACGTTCATCAGAAGACGGATGTTAGAGAAATTCTCACATCTCTACAGGTACTTCGAAAGAGGATTCATGAATTCACAGACGATGTCTGCTCCTTAGAAACGTCGGCAGATTCAGTCGAACTTCATCTCCAGATACACCCAGAACTGGTTAAAATCTGTCAAAGACTTGGCAAATACAGCTCAGAAATAGGAAAATTACAAGTAACAACTGTGTCCGAAGGCTCGCAAGTGTATGAAGAATCACAAACAAATATTAATGGAAAGAACATATCATTTGATGTGGACATTTCTGGTCACGAGTCCTCAACATTTGAATGTCTCTTAGAACTAAATGTATCAGAGGGCAATGCTAGAGACGATAGAACAAACCAGTCCTCTTTCAGTGACGTCGTTCTTATTTCGCATTCTCTCTTTGCTGTTGACCAGGCCAACATGAAAATTTTGCGATTCACAGACAGAGGAGAGCCCGTGTCTTCTATGAAACTAAACGGAGTTTATAGCATCTCTGTCATACCCGGAACCGATGACGTCATTGTGACGCAGCCTGGTAATCAGCGCCTCACCGTGCTTACGACACATAAAGGACTAGATATTAAGGAAACTATTCCCGTCAATCAGGCATATTATAAAATTGCCGCTATAACCGAAACTAAATTTGCAGTGGTATGTGGAAATTCGTCCTCTAATAATCAAGCGCCGCAAAAAGGAATGACAAAAACGAAAGGCAAGATAGCAACGTCACATCCGGAACCCACATCCTCTTGGTATGTCAACGTGATAGATAGGCAGGGGCACGTGCTGCTGAAGGTCAGTGACGACACAATCTGTAAACCAAATGTGTATGGACCGCCATATATAAAACCCCTCAAACAACTTGCTGTGACATCGTCGGGGGATATCGTTGTGAGCGTGGAAACACGAGATCATTCATTTCTCTCCTGTTTTTCACAAGATGGAAAAGTACAGTGGACCTACGAACCAGTTGGTAAACCAGAAGGAATCTTCTGCAGGGACGGGATCCTGTTCGTTTTTCTTGGAGACACTCGGACATTATTGATAATGACAGAGAGTGGTCATCTTTTTCCTAGATGCGTTGTTAAGCTACAGCACTATCAACAAAGTGGCCATTCAATTTTTGTTGGACAGAATATTATCGCCGTTACAGACCTCAGTGACAGCATCAATTTATTCAAAATCGACCAATCACATGTCAGTCTCCGCCGATAAACTGTCATTCGAATGCAACTAATTAATCGCGTATTGCCAGTTATCACTTCATCTTCTTTATTCTCTTTCAATAAAAACAAAGTTAGGAGAAAACCCCAACATCTTCTACAGACTTGTGTCAGTGAAAAACTTTAATATGCTAAATGAAAAAAGGAACGCAATTTCAACTTTACGGTTTAATAAAATAATATCTTTGAGCAATACACCTACATTTGAAATGCAATAGGTAACTTCTAATATTTGACCATTAAGTTTTAACAAACGAGGACTTCAGTAGGCCGTCATGAATTTGGATACCCTAAAGTTGAATTAGCGGCAGTCGTCAGACCGATTCCTTAAAGGGTATGTCCCCTTCCGGAACAGCTAATGAGTCTCTAATTCTGCTTGTAATGGAGTCCATAAAGACATTGTCTGTCCGTAGAGTTATGTTATTCCATTCCTTGGTAAGGACGTTGGCCATTTGGTTATTTGGGATGTATGCTCAGTTCCGAACTCTTCTATCTAATTCATCCCAGTTATCGATTGGGGACTTAATGTTATCATGCTGAAAGGCCAAGTGGTGGCTTATAACGAAAGGTACAACAGGCGGCTTCAGAATATCATCTCGATAGCTTACAGCCGTTAAATTCCCAGTAATGGTCACTAAATTTAAGTATAAACTTCATTAATTTTACAACAATTTAGAAGCAAGCTAACAATTTATATTAATCACTCTTGTTGGTCGGGATGGAAGCGCGCTAGGGGTATTTTTGTGGGAGGAACCCGTAGTACTCGAGGAAAACTCGGTCGGGCTGGTTACCCCCTCCTTTTTCACGTCCGCTCCGAGAATCGAACCCAGGACGGCTAGGTGAAAGGCGAGTGCGCTACCACTGCGCCAACGTCACTAAAGGTGTCTTTAACCATAGGATACCCAAATCTGTCGTGCTCCAAAAACAAACGTCTGAAGACACTCGACACCGTTACACACGTTGGCGGTCATCTGATCGAAATCGAGTTTCATCCGTTTTGGCACATTTGCCGTCAACCTTCGCAAACGACGTGCTTTACGTTGAGGTGCCAGTGGCAAACGAGCGTCCTGCGACCTTAGATTTGCCTTTCGTAGTTTATTCTCTCAGTTTTTGGCTGGATTTGACGGTTTCTACTACTAAAGGTATTTCATGCCGTTTCAGCTGCCGTCAATCTCTTGTCATGTACGTGAACATGTTTTTTTGTACCGATTTTACTGTAGCGACGTTACACGTGGACAATCGGATCTCGGTCTGTCATCAACTTTTCAGGTGACATTGAAAAGTAAAACTAACCGACTTATAGTTGGTTTGTGGGTATCGACCGACAGGTGAGTTCTACCTCCCATGAGCCCGTCCTCTATTAAGATCGGATAACCGCGACATATTTGTACTACAGTTGTTGATTGCAAATATATTGGCGGTCACGTGTCTTGGTAAGAGTTGGAAATCGACACTAGTTTGAATGGAAAAGAATGCGTGTATTTGTACAGTCACGGTATATCGGTAATTTAAGCGCAGCAGGTATGGTAAGTTTTTTTGTCACGGAAGACAGATTTTTGACATTTATTGGGGGGTTAGGTGCCCTAATATTCCTCTTTCTTTTTGACGGCTATATATAATCAATACAAAATATTTTACAATTAAGGAAGTTGCGTTCCTTTATCCTTTCAGTATAGTTTCATTAAGATTCCACTGCATAATTACTAGTTTGTTACATTATAACTGATAAAAAATGTTTTATGAAATTTATTTTTGACTGTGACCAATTACTTTCATTTTCCATAGTGATAAGACTATATTGTCTAAAGTTCTAGGTAGTTATACAACATATCAACTTAATTGAGAAACAAAACGCTTTGATATATGGTAACTTGAATGTTCTTTAGAAATTTTCTGCTAATAACTCAAAATGACTCCCAACAGCAAATACAACAGTAAGATAGCTGTCAATACAGTAAGAACAACGGAAGAAGACGTGATATTCGTCCATTCGATCAATCCAGAGGTGATGGCTGCTGACCGTCGTCAAACTGGAACGTGATTTAACGAGCGAGCAGCGCGACCGTTGTCCTGACGACTTCATGTAACAGTTATAATGTCTCGTCAACTCATCCCGGAGATTATCTGAGGTAGTCAGTCAAGTGTTATTCTATCCAAACTTCCTTACAGCAAGGCATCGAAATTAGCAATGATTGGATTTCTGTTGGATAAATACCAGATGTGTGTTTTACACTCAGTCCTTCCGGTAAAATGATCTCTTTCTCGAACTGTTCACATCTTTATGAACTTCAGAATCTCACAAAAAATTATGTTTTGACTGTAATCAGCTTCCACCTGAAATTCATCTCCCAAAAAAAGAGGTCATAAACACATCCACCATTTGAAAATATCAAAATTGTTCTCGCAATTTGGATTTGTAACACCATAGCTAGGCCCTATGAAGACACCATACCAATTATCAATATTATCGTAGAAAATTGCCTGATATAAAACTTTGACCAAATTGACATTGTTGGTATTCCATAATTCATGTGTTGAAATTCATTAAGCATATCAAAAGTAGTGAATGAAAGGTCTATCAGAGAAACTAAAATAAATAAAGGAACAATGTACAATATTATTTTATATTTTATTGACAAATTTTTACATATAAAATCGCTTGTTTCCCACATCAGGATCCTTTGTGAGACATCTCCAGTGTATCCATGATGGCTGATCTCTTCACACGCTTATTCAATGGAGAATCTGAGAAAGATGTAATTTTATAACTAAATAACCTATCGGACCTAATTTTCTTTAAACTTGTGTATATCAGTTAAGTCTGAACAGCATATTACTCATTAACATCATTATTTTGAACACTAAAAACTTTAACAAAATCTCTCCTGAAAATATGCCATAGTTTCCTACTGAGATAAAGCTATATTTGCTTGCTATCAGAAACATATGGTGAATCTTAGTTTATAAGGTATGTGAGTTAGCATTGGTAATTTACACATCATTTCCACATTAGTGTCCAATGTGCTTGAATAACCGGCAAAGACAGGAAGTCAAAAAGGCATAACCAACCATGTCATCAAACTGCTTAGCATAAGGCAACATAGCTTTCTGATTATACCAATAATATCTAAGATTATTTATTCTAAATTTCAAATATGAAATACTTTATAAAAGGATCTGGTCAGTTTTCAAGACTAAGTTGTGTTATAATAATATCTTTATGTGTTTGTGTATGAGCACATTTTATTCATTTCAATTTTCATTTACCAATAATGGTATAATTACCCTCATGAAAATGCTCTGATGTTTTACGTCGTAGTTCCTGCAAATCTTCTGCATCTTCAGCCCATTCCAAAACAAGACGTCGCCCATACAAATGGGTACTGTGACATAGGGCCTCAAATGCTCTCTGAGTAAAAGAAAGAAAAAAAATCAAACATCTTTTACTATTTACCCATAACATCTGTATACTCATTCAATTAGTCCAAATTATGACCTTTGAAATTTGCTGACAATTAATTAGTATAATAACAGCCAGTTTTGGCCACGACTGAAGGTGCTAGGAAGATGCTAACAAAAGCAATTAATCACCTTTGCATCCTGTTTTGTAAGAAAGTCAACAAATCCAAAACCCCTGTGTGTACCAGATCCACTAACTTTGGTTGGAAGGCGTACAGATTTCAGTTCACCGAAGGTCCTGAAAATGGACAAAATCAAAAGTTATCCCCATTACTACAGCATACCGTATGTTAAGAAATATCTATAATGTCTGGAATAAAAACTTGTACAAGACTATAAAATGGATATCAGGAAACATTACACATACATTTACATGTAGGATGAAGTGGATTTAACTCAAAGATAATATTTTTACCATCCTGTTTAAAGGCTTTAAAAAATAAATTAACAAAATTTTGTCATTGATAGTTTTATAAACCTTCAAAGTGAGATATGCGATTAATTTATTACAACTGTCAATGTATTTGTCCATCGGGTCACTTGTCTAACAGTCAAATGTGATAGAAGAAATTAAACCATAAATTAAGCATGGTGCCTTGTCCAGAAAGGGAATAGGGACTTTATATAGAGGATCCCAATTGATAGTTACTCACTTGAAGAGTTCAAAGACCTCCTTCCTCTTTGCCTCGAATGGTATGTTCCTTACAAGGATTTTGGAGGTTTTCTGTTTCGTTGTCTTAGCCTTCTTTTTCTTAGGTTTTGTTTCCACGTTTCTGTCAACAAAAAGACATTAAAACAAGATGAATGTTCCTGCTCAATGCAAACCAAAATCCAATCAGATGTACAGCTTGATGTTATGATACTATGGGGTAAATATGAACCAGGATCTGATAAGATGTAGAACTTGATGTTATGATACTATGGGGTAAATATGAACCAGGATCTGATAAGATGTAGAACATGATGTTATGATACTATGGGGTAGATATGAACCAGGATCTGATAAGATGTAGAATTTGATGTTATGATACAAATACATTATTATTAATATATTATTTACTGAACCTCTCCAGACATAAATCAACATGAAACTTAAGCCGAGCATTTATATAAGTTCTATCAGCCGAAGGATGACAGTAATCCACAGTAATACAGTAATAAGTGTTATATATCTGAGTGCCCCCTATATTCTAATCTCAAAACTAAAAAAACACTTGTGTTCAGCATCAGTCTTCTGATAAATCTTCATTTTGGCATTCCTAATAACCTGAAAAATTCTTTCTAAATGCCAAACATTTGCTTCTTCTGATAAATATTATATGCAGTATAGAGTAAATAGGGTCAAATATAAAGATAGGTTATGTCACATGTCCTACCTACCCTGTTTGACGGTGTGAAACTTTGAGTTCCAGCGTGTGACCATCCAGGTCAGAATGTTGCAGTGTCTTCAAAGCCTTGTCTGCGCTTGCTTTCTCATAGTACTCGACAAAGCCATACCCCAATGACAGATAATTTCCTATAGCAATGAAAGAAAAAGGTTGAACAAAAATCACTAACTGCTACAAATTTTTGGGTGTACTTTTTAGGATAACAAATCATATTTCTTCCTTAAAAATAAATATGCAAAATAATTCACATCAATTACAGGAATATTTGTTCTGTAAAAACTCTGGGTTTTTGATCTGTAATAACTCTGTACCAAACAATAAAGTTTTTGTAAACAGTTAGTTTTTAGTGTATCCCATCACAATAACATTACTTAGCTTACATACGAACATTTGTTCCACAACAAATTTGATACAAGGGAGGTAACTCAACTCTTATTCAATACACATACATGTCTGTTGTTAGTGTTGCAGTGAATATGTGATTGTTATATACTGTGTGTTATATGCATCAATTTGTCCATCCTAGGGAAAGGGCTTGTATATGCTTTAGTCTGTTGCCAAATATCCATTGATTTTTTAATAACACCTTTGTGAAAAGAACTTATTTGTCCAATGCCTGTGAATCTATTTGTCCGATGCTTTTACTGTGTGATGACAACAAATGCAATTATGTCATTAAACTCAAGATTTATACATTTACAAAGTCACTGAAGCTAAAATTTCACTTTTTTGTAATGTTTTAATGTAACACAGTAATGTTCTTGATGCAACACATTAATACATCATTGTTTTACTGAAGGTTTCAGTAACAACTGTTTAACAGACGATAGCAGAAAAAGCTGTCATTAACAGGCCATGTCAATATTTTTCAAATCATGATAATACCAATATCATAATCCCATACCAATATTTATTAGACTATACCAATATTTATTAGATTCTACCAATATTTATCTGACATACCAATATATATCAGACTTACCAATGTTTTTCATGTCCTTTTTCTTGGCGATGGAAACACTTTTTATCTTGCCACATTTCTTGAATTTCTAAAAAGAGACAAAACATACTTTCAACACAGACAAATTAAACTGAAAAAACTAGAAATTTGTTTTTGTGAACAGAATCATATGCTTATTAACAGAAAATTGCTATATGTTAGGGAAATAGGTGTATAAATGTTGGAAGGCAGATATATCTATTATGGTCTGATCCTAATTTATCAACTTCTATCCATAATAATGGCTTTATTTGTTCTTTATCAATTTATTTTTCATTACCTCAGAGAAACAGCCAATGATATACACTTTTAACATTAAAACTGAATTATGCCAAGGAGTAAGACCTTACCTTTCTGAGGTCATCCTCTTCTGAACCGAAGTTGAGATTTTTCACAAATAATGTTGCCCCTGGCTCAGAATCCTCTTCTTCTGATGATGAAACCTCCTCTTCCTGTTTCACTGTCATCTTCTGATCTGTTTCCATCTTCTCAACCTTAACAGTTAAATATTCAAATCTCTCCTTCATATTTGACATAATCTATTTATGTAGGGGTCTAGTAAGAGTCGGTGAAGTATTAGCAACTACAAAACTAAAATGGCTCCAACTTGTATTTACTGTACTACAATAACCCCAGTATTACAAATAACAGCCATGTTTATACTGTCAGTTTTATCAAACATCAATAGCCTGTCTCAATTTCTGAAGTCCTGCTTTACTTTTTTGGTCAATATGAATTGTCAGTGTTTATTGCCTTGCATTAAACTTTTTGAAATGATAGCTTTATATTCCCTTCTTTAAATACAAAAATGCATTCAAACATGTATGACATTCCATTGATATTACAATATCAACAATCAGGCATCTTTTTGACAGAATTCCTTAAATGATGACCTTTAAATCAGCACATCTAAAACAGCTGTCTAGCAAAACAGCAAAACACAATCAAAGCAAAACCTCTGTTAAAAAAGAGATTTTCTCTAAAATATAAAATCAACTTTTTTATTTTCCCCATTTTTTTGGAAACTGTCATTTGATTACCTTTTCGTCCTTTACATCAGTGTCCAATTTCTGCTGTTTTCCTTCCTCCTTGGCCGCTGGTGTAGTGGCTGGAACCTTGAACACTTCCACTGGAGCCCATTCAAGGTATAGGGGGACATGTTGGAACTGACAGAAATAATGGTAATATTATGTAGTCAAATTTGATATTGAATTTGATGTCAGTGGTTAAAATCCCATGGCTCAGTATAGATTTTCCCCTCTAAATTGTACATATTTAGAGTACCTGGAGATATGAAAAACAAACCCACTAGGACTTCCTTTGACCAAAATTGACTTTACAGGTAAGCAAGTCAATCTTATTGTTCGGGAGTCACAAGGTGTGTAAAGTTGGCCAGTAAGGCAGTCACAATTTTTAGTTATGTGTCCAGGTGTGACATATGACCCTTCAGACATGAATCCATAGTTCCTGTCCTCACTTACCTGTTATTTACCATTTACCTGTCTATTTTTTGTGATAGTCGTCAAAATTAAGTGATATTAAACGTTGCCCACATGAAAATGTGTGACATTATCAGATATTGGATTACAGATAATACATAAGAAAAAAAATCTGTGTTTCAAGAAAATGTGATATTAAATAGAAAGTGACATTAACAGATGTGACATTAAGTGGGTTACACTGTAGTAGGATTAATGTAGGGCAAACTCTAAAAATCAAATTAATATTGTCAGCATGCAAACAATTGTTTCAATGTCTTAGGAATGACCAAGCCGAATTTGATTCCAATTCTGAAATAGGTGTAGGTGAACAGCTTATTTTAAAGTAATCCTATATAGGTCAGCTTGAAAGCCATAATAAATGTGTAACAAACCTTAGAGTAAGCAAGCCTTCTGAAGCCTGACTTGGCTTCTGTTGGTTCCAGGTATTCTACAATAGCTGTCACACCGGACGGAGGAAGAACAACTCGACCCACTGTCCCATGTTTACTGAATAATTCCCTAAGCTCCTTAGCCTTGGTGCTTGCTGGTAAATTCTTCACTAGTAACACTGTTTTGCTCCTTGCTGCTGAAGGCTGTAAACACAAACAAAACAAGGCATCGCAAATGATACAAATCTCCTGATGATTCCACCTTGACTTCTTGTGAATTAAGGAAGATGCACGACAGTGATGGAGATTTTCTAAATATAGTAACAGTGACCTTTACCTTGACCCCACAACATGGAAAATCAAACTTGTCCATGATATTATGGTCATTTACATGAAACTGAAGTTTTATCCTCAAGGAATAAGGCTACTTATGTCCTGACAAGGATTTTCTAAATATAGCAACAGTGACCTTGACTTTGACATTATAGCCATAAAATTTCCTTTTTGTCCAAGATATAACGGTCACTTTTTAAGGGTATGAAGTTAAATCAAATCCTTCATGAAAGGAAGATGCTAGTGTGTTGACAAGGGTTTTCTAAAAATGATAACAATGACTCTAACTTTGACAGTAGAGCCCTGAATTTTAAAGTCATGCACTACATGTTGGTCCTTCGTAAGTGTGTGTATGTTTGATCAAAATCCCTTAAAGTATGAAGCTGCCATATTGATTGCAAAAGTCAGTTTCATAGACATTCCTATATCCTCTCCCTGACATTCATCATTGGGGAATAACAATTATGAATTTATGAATATTTTTTTCAATAATCTCAACTCTCAAATTATTCAACTGATTTGTGTATCACACTAAATCTCTTTCTGAGTGACAGTCCACATCTCAATAGGTATTCATATTTGGCAATATAATCTGTTACCATATATGGATACACCCCTGAGAAAGTTATTAATATTAACTGGAGTATCAGAAATGTTATAAAACTGTTCATCTTGTTGACTATTTATAATTTCACTAGGACCAAACCCAGTTAATAACATACCACTTCATGTAGGTAGTATACTGTAGACCTTATATACAAGGACAATTTTGAAAATTTTGCGTGACATTTCGATGATGACACTGTGCCTTGGTCAGACAAATGACCAATGTGAAGCATCTCAAAGTATACAATGTGCAAGATGTTCATGAAATTACAGGAATTTTTGCCTTTTGATTCTTATATACACTAATTAATATACATTACCAACTTAAAAAAAATGTTTTGAGGTAGTTACTCTGTTTTAAACCAATGTACAGGAGGTCTCATATTAAAGTGTTTTTCACTATACCTACCTGACTGAAGCTGTCAAGTGCCACTCCCTCCTCTAACAGGAAGTCACGTGTCTCAGCTACAATCTGGGTCTCCCCTAGGGCCATCCTCACTCCCAGACTCTGCTTTGCCTCCTACATGAAATAAGCCATTCTTTTAATCTCATATCTCTATAATTCTTACAACTGCAAAACTTTTGTATATTGTATATAAAAAAATATTAAAAACAAAATGTTTTTAAAACACCCACATTGATGCAGTACAGTGCATATAATTTCAAATTCACTTTCCCAAAATCAGTATTAAGTGTGAATCACTATATTGCTTATAGCTTCACTGACAAATCTGACTATAAAGGACACACACGGGTTCCTCATACCACTTAACATGAACATGTAATAGATACAGTGTATATAAAAAAAAGCGGAATTTCAAAATGGCACTCCAATAATTCAAAGCAATATCCAGTGAAATACCTGATCTCTCACAGGAAACAGTCTGTTTTGCAGTTACTACTAATTCTTTTAAGTTTCATTTTGAATTTAACTTACAGCATCAAGAATGTGACTTTTCTCTGTATTATACTTTTCTGCCAAGACATCTGCCACTGTGTTAGCCCCAAGGAATAGAGAATTCCAGTTGTGAGAACTGCAAGGTAAATTGATTTTTTCAAATATTATCCAGTTACCATAACAAAACAATTAAAAATGACATTTCAAGTTTTCAATCCGCTACTTGTATAAGCCTCTGTTATTTGGGAGTATTGCTCAAATATTCCTATCAAACATGTTCAACTGAGCAGAAATGAATGCTGAATAGTCCTGACATAGTACTCCTCACACTATCTCTGATGCCCTGACTAAATAACAGAAAGCAAATGTTCACCATCTCAGTATACAAGCTGTATCCACACTGATATCAGCAATATCCCTGATCTAGTACCCCTAACACTATCTCTGATGCCCTGACTTACTAACAAAAAGCAAATGTTCACCATCTCAGTATACAAGCTGTATCCACACTGATATCAGCAATATCCCTGATCTAGTACCCCTAACACTATCTCTGATGCCCTGACTTACTAACAGAAAGCAAATGTTCACCATCTCAGTATACAAGCTGTAGCCACACTGATATCAGCAATATCCCTGATCTAGTACCCCTAACACTATCTCTGATGCCCTGACTTACATATATTGGAAACTTATAGATTCTATCGGCTTAGTCAATACCCAGTTTATTTACAATTGCTAATTAAAACATCTCACAAGACAATTTTTTGGGGGGTAAATCATGATCTCTGTGTCTTTTTTTTACACATGATATTTACAATTACTATATGCTGTACATATGACTGGCAAACCAAATGCTTTTATCATAAATTATATCTCTTTGTTTATATGAAAACATTTAATCATTTTTGTACAAATTATAACAGTTCATAAATATATACATATCCTGACATGTACATGAAGTTCTCTACCTATATTTAATTTGCTTATTGTAATGTGAAGTTTGTATACCTGCCAGCCAAAGCCTTTAGTTTCTCCTGCTTTTTGGTTTTGTATGATGAGCCCTCTGAAAGAAACAAACTCCCTCATAATCAATGGGCCTGATTAAGGTTATTCCCTACATACATACATACCAGACATACCTCACACAAACTAATACACATGTAAATGAAGGGCCATAACTCTTACAATGTGGACATGAGATAATTTTGTTTTTTTTCTAATATGCAGTTTTCTTTTACCAGACTCTTCATTTTTTTTCAACTAAGGAAAGACCTAATGAAATTACTTTTCTATCTAACTTTACTCCCTGATGAGCCTCAACTAAGCTTTCTTGTTAGATAATGGTAGTTTATGATGCAAGGGAGGACCTAGTCGTCTTATTTTGTTTATATGTCCATCAGATTTTATACCCGAAATGTTTAATAAGGCAAATGATGAGCCTCTTTATCCAGCTAAACAAACAGGGTGCTGATTTCAGCACAAAACACTCTACCATCTAACAGCTAAACAAACAGGGTGCTGATTTCAGCACAAAACACTCTACCATCTAACAGCTAAACAAACAGGGTGCTGATTTCAGCACAAAACACTCTACCATCTAACAGCTAAACAAACAGGGTGCTGATTTCAGCACAAAACACTCTACCATCTAACAGCTAAACAAACAGGGTGCTGATTTCAGCACAAAACACTCTACCATCTAACAGCTAAACAAACAGGGTGCTGATTTCAGCACAAAACACTCTACCATCTAACAGCTAAACAAACAGGGTGCTGATTTCAGCACAAAACACTCTACCATCTAACAGCTAAACAAACAGGGTGCTGATTTCAGCACAAAACACTCTACCATCTAACAGCTAAACAAACAGGGTGCTGATTTCAGCACAAAACACTCTACCATCTTAACAGCTAAACAAACAGGGTGCTGATTTCAGCACAAAAGACTCTACCATCTAACAGCTAAACAAACAGGGTGCTGATTTCAGCACAAAACACTCTACCATCTTAACAGCTAAACAAACAGGGTGCTGATTTCAGCACAAAACACTCTACCGTCTTAACAGCTAAACAAACAGGGTGCTGATTTCAGCACAAAACACTCTACCGTCTTAACAGCTAAACAAACAGGGTGCTGATTTCACCACAAAACACTCTACCGTCTTAACAGCTAAACAAACAGGGTGCTGATTTCAGCACAAAACACTCTACCATCTAACAGCTAAACAAACAGGGTGCTGATTTCAGCACAAAACACTCTACCATCTTAACAGCTAAACAAACAGGGTGCTGATTTCAGCACAAAACACTCTACCATCTTAACAGCTAAACAAACAGGGTGCTGATTTCAGCACAAAACACTCTACCATCTTAACAGCTAAACAAACAGGGTGCTGATTTCAGCACAAAACACTCTACCATCTTAACAGCTAAACAAACAGGGTGCTGATTTCAGCACAAAACACTCTACCATCTTAACAGCTAAACAAACAGGGTGCTGATTTCAGCACAAAACACTCTACCATCTTAACAGCTAAACAAACAGGGTGCTGATTTCAGCACAAAACACTCTACCATCTTAACAGCTAAACAAACAGGGTGCTGATTTCAGCACAAAACACTCTACCATCTTAACAGCTAAACAAACAGGGTGCTGATTTCAGCACAAAACACTCTACCATCTTAACAGCTAAACAAACAGGGTGCTGATTTCAGCACAAAACACTCTACCATCTTAACAGCTAAACAAACAGGGTGCTGATTTCAGCACAAAACACTCTACCATCTAACAGCTAAACAAACAGGGTGCTGATTTCAGCACAAAACACTCTACCATCTTAACAGCTAAACAAACAGGGTGCTGATTTCAGCACAAAACACTCTACCATCTAACAGCTGAACAAACAGGGTGCTGATTTCAGCACAAAACACTCTACCATCTTAACAGCTAAACAAACAGGGTGCTGATTTCAGCACAAAACACTCTACCATCTTAACAGCTAAACAAACAGGGTGCCGATTTCAGCACAAAACACTCTACCATCTTAACAGCTAAACAAACAGGGTGCTGATTTCAGCACAAAACACTCTACCATCTTAACAGCTAAACAAACAGGGTGCTGATTTCAGCACAAAACACTCTACCATCTTAACAGCTAAACAAACAGGGTGCTGATTTCAGCACAAAACACTCTACCATCTTAACAGCTAAACAAACAGGGTGCTGATTTCAGCACAAAACACTTTACCATCTTAACAGACAAGTATTAAAAATATCTATATTGTAAGTGATCAAGTTATATGAATACAAGTATAAAAATTTGACTACAGTATAGGATTCTTGTTCTATATGAGATAAGAATGAAATACCTGAAGTTGCAGCTTCATCGTCCTTTTTGGACTTAGCGGGAATCAGATGCATCAATCTTCCCTTAAAAACAAAGAATATATTCTATGTGAAAAAGTGTGTTTTATATTTTGTTTTTGTTTTGTAGAGAGCAACATCTCAAAATATAAACATTCAATTAAAAAAATAGTGATTAGTAAAGGTTTTTGCTTATAATTATATCTCTGCAAAAACATCCAGATATCTAGACAATACTATGATAAGTAATTTCATATGTACATACATATATAATACAATTATCACTTGTGCAATCTATACATGAGTCTTTCTACAACAAAGATGAAAAAAATCTTTCTACGAAATACAAGGCCTCCATCAGTGCCTCCACAAGCTATCCTATGATTCAAGAAGTAAAATGGAAATTATGGTACAAGTTCCCTCTAAGAACCATGTGAGATATCTATTAAATTTCACGAAGAGTTTCTCTAACAACCTTAATATCAATCATAAATTTTGCCACTGTTATTATGGATTTTGTTCATGTTGAATTTGTAGAAATATAAAATGCAAAACCACTGTGATAAATCTAAAGGAAATATATAGTGGAACTGAAGAGTGATTCAAGGGGAATAACTGGTGTACATAAACTATGTTACTTACCATAAAGGTAGTTCCATCTAATTCTGCAAATGCACTCACTGCATGCTCTGGCATCAGGTATGTAACAATGGCATATCCCTTCATTTTCTTTGTCAGACTGTCAATAGGTAGATGAATTTCTGACACTGGACCTTTAAGGAAATTTGAAATTTTTTTCTGTCAGTATTTCAAAATGAATAAGAACTCAAGGGACTATACAGATCCATTCACTCTCATTTATATTTCTATTGAACACATCATACTCAATACAATACTATAACAAAGGTATTTGCATTTCTGGGGAATAAATAAAAACATAGTAAGCAGGGGCTGACATACACATAAAGCTCCCTCCCTGATCTTTTTGTTTATAACTAAATCTTTTGAGAAGTTCAAGAGAAGTCTTGTACACATACTTTTTAGTTCAAATATGGTTAATGACACCAAAATCTATACTTGATGTTATTCTAGTGTAAATATGAACTATATTTGTCAAACGTTTTTTAAGATATCCTGTACATAAGCTTTGCACATGTGTGCTTGTTTACTGGTTTTATCATCCCATAAACAGTATAACTATAAAATAAATTGTAAAGTACAAAAAGATACCAAAGCAAAATCTCTATATTCCAGCATTTTGACTTATGACTAATCCAGCCCCCATATGGAACTGCCAGAAAAGTGATAATTTTAAAAATACCATTAAAAACTTGAATTTTCAGAAGACAACATAGCACCATGCACAGAGAGACTTCATTTCTATTGTTCCAACATGGGACTAACTTCACATGGGCAGAGAGTGTTATAGATTAAAAGAACTATACTTACCATATTTTTCAAATAACTTTTGAAGATCTTCCTCTGTACATGAATAAGTCAGATTCCTGACAAAGATCCTGCCTGACTGTTAAAAAAAATATTGTACTCAATATCTCTGTACTGCTAACCTGTCTCATTTGTTATCAGAATGAGGCCAGATTTAGTTCAGTTAACATTAAACACAACTGGCCATTCTAAGATAAAATTAAGACCCTGAATAATGAATTAAATAACAACAGTAGGAAAAGGTGAGAACATTTGCTTTGACACTTGTATGCCATTCTTTTAGTTAAATAAATCAGGTGCATTTTACAGTAGGGTTAGAAATTTTGAGGTTACGTTGACAGTTGAGATGACCTAGTTTACACAATCTTACCTCTGCGACTGTTTCCTCTTCTCCATCCTCCTCCTTGTACTGAAATCCAAAAATTGAGGTAAAAACATTGTTTACATTATTTACATTATGAAATATTACTGGACAATCTGGTTTAAAAGATGACTACACTTTATAAATAACCTTTGAAATTTTAGATCAATTTGCTTAATGTTTAATGACCTTTCAACAGCAAGGAAGGATCATTCTGAGTCAAACTGCTTTGTAGAAAGAAATTGCTGATTAAGCATTTTAAGGCTAAAACAAAAAGGTAGAACTTTACAAAAAAAACCATTATCTATAGTTATAGAAAACTTTATTGTTAAAAATCACCAAGTTGATGGTCTATTTTCTAGCAGAGTATGACATCTAATACAATATTATTAATGTGACAATTTTACTGTACCTTTATCTCCCATGGTTTTGGAACATCTTCCCACTGTACTGGGGCCCCTTTTTCTGTCTGGGTACACTTCTTCAGAAAGATACGCTTCCCACCTACAAATGAATATCTATACTTGCAAAAAGTGACAGATGGGGTGGGAGAGAAACAAAATTTGAGGGAATTTCAATCTTCAGAAGGAAAACATTGCTCACTATGGAAAATGGAAAATGGAAAATGGAAAATTTGATACACATCAACTCATTAAACAATACTTGCACAACACATTCTTAAGCAGTTTCACCTAAACTTGTGTTAAGTTTGTGACTATTAAGACAGGTGCTGGTCATCTTCATACCTGAGTGACCATGTTATGTACATGTTAATGATAAAATAGAATGATACAGATCACCATGGGTTGGATGAGCTGATGTAAAAAATCATATTTAGAGACTTCTGGATTCTCTTAAGATAAATAATCTTCAAAGTCTGGAGATGAGAGTCTACTGAATATGAAATAAAACAATACAATGTATAACAACACTCCTTTGTTTTGATAACAGTTTGTATTATTTATATAAAACACATGTTTGTAGAGCATGTTAGATCCCAGTAAACTTGTCTATACATACCAATAAAGTTCTTATTCTTCTTCATGGCCTCTTCCAGGTCTTTTGTATTCTTGAAACTTACATAAGCAATCCCTAAATGAAGAGACAATATATAAAAGACTAAATAAGATCATTACACACAGATTGTCACTGCTATTATTCAACAGTGATTCACAAATATCAGTAGTTCAGATTTTAACAGCTATTTTTCAAAAGTGTGATTGAAAAAAATCAGACTCTTTGGGTACTGATTGTTACATTTTCTTAAAGTGCAATAGGGTGTATAGGAAGCTATTGTCTCTTCTAATCTTGTTTGGATTGTCCTTATCTCTCTTGTGATTATCTCCCTTCCTAACTCTTAAAGAGGGAAATTTTCCCTAGAAAGAGCAGTAAGTGAAGGCGATTATCCACCTCGTAATTCCTAGGGTAGAAAAACTTTCCTTATGAAGACCAGTTAGTGTAGGAAGTGATTTCACCCTCCTGACCCCTAGGGCAGTGACATTTTTTATTAAATTTGTACCGGTATTTGTTATCTATTATTGCCTGGTTAATTGCCTACTCAGCTGTTCGGGTCATTTTGAGGTGGATTCTAGGTGGAGTCTAGTTGTAGCAGCTGGCAGCTTCCTCACTAAACAACATACAGGAGACCTGTAGCATGCCATTCAAACCAATAGAAGTAATGTGCTTCAGACCACAACAGCACAGACTGGTCCATTGTCCTCTTTAACTGTTAAAAACTACCACTCTTCCACCTACCATATAGAGGCTTCTTTTTTGCATTCCTCGGTATCCTGATAGAAGTCAAATGTAGAGGCTTGAAAAACTCCTTTACGGCTTTCTGAAGTTCATTGTCAACAATAAACATTAGTATATTGCAGATTAGTGTAAAAATATTGTATTTTGTACATATAGACATCACAACTATGTATATAGATGTTAGAGTACGCAATCTGTCACTTCACCAGGTTACCACATTTTTCTCAACAATGACATTTTTCAAAATATTTTTCAACTTCTTAATATCTTAATGAACTCTACATAAATGAAGAATTACAAAATTAATTTTATCATCAGTATGTTTAGATTCTGTTGACTGTAATTGATAATATGTGATATCAGGTTTGGATTCCTGAATAATAACTACAAACCTCTCCACTGGAAATGTTTAGTCCTTTCATTTTTACCACAAGTCCTGGATCATTTACCTACCAACATGAAAACAAAATGAATTCACAACAAATAGATACCATGTTCTGGGTGTCAACTGTTAATAAACGTTCTCCAGTTTTCTTAAAAATATAATTAAGCATCATATCTTAGTTCTTGTCATCAATATTATATTGAAATACAAATTAAAATACTCATAGACTTACTTTTTTCTGAGTTGGTTTTTGTGCAGGTTCTTTTTTCTTGGACTTATCTGCCTTTAAATCCACTTCTTTCCCACTGTCTTCAGAATCATCATCATCATCATCATCATCATCATCATCATCATCATCATCATCATCATCGTCATCACCACTACTGTCCTCGTCCTCATCAGAACTAGAATCATCCAGCAAGTCTCTTTTTGATATTTTGGACTTTAGGTACTGGACAAAAATAGAAATTACAATGCATTAGTGGTTTCATTGCTGATTAGAGGAAAACTTTTGTCCACGTATTTTTACGATATTTACTATCCTGGTAGATACTCGGCAAAACAGCAAGCCATAAGAAACACATTGTGTTGATTCTTTAAACTTTTTACTGCTGTAATCAGAGATACCATACATCTTACCATTTGTATATACTCTACAATTTACTGCTGTAATCAGAGATACCATACATCATACCATTTGTATATACTCTACAATTTACTGCTGTAATCAGAGATACCATACATCTTACCATTTTTATCTACTCTACAATTTACTGCTGTAATCAGAGATACCATACATCTTACCATTTGTATATACTCTACAATTTACTGCTGTAATCAGAGATACCATACATCTTACCATTTTTATATACTCTACAATTTACTGCTGTAATCAGAGGTACTATACATCATACCATTTGTATATACTCTACAATTTACTGCTGTAATCAGAGATACTATACATCATACCATTTGTATATACTCTACAATTTACTGCTGTAAACTGTAATGAATAAGTTTCCATTAAAGGTATTAACTTAAATTAGTAACCTTTATATTGCAAATGATAAAAATGAAATAAAAGATGACTCACACTTAATACCAGACATTTTCTATGTTAATTTCAAAATACAGAAAAAATGCATCAAAGAAACATTTTAGATATTAGCACATTTTCTTATATCAAGGACAATGTTTTTCTTACCTCCATATCAGATACATCTGCTTTAGATGCAGTCTTGTCTTTTTCTTCTACAATTTTCACTTCTGCAATTCAGAAAAGAATAAAATCATGTTAAACACAAGTGACAGATTCCTATGAATCTTCAATGCTTCAAAGTATTTTCTTCTTTTATCTATTAGATTGACAGTCCTTTCAACAGTAAATCCATTATTCAGTGACATGCAGTCTTTAAACTGCACCTATGATTTGTTGATAATTACCATATTTATTTGCAAAAATGCCCCTGCCCACAAATAAACTGTCCCTAAACTTTCATACTAACCTTTAGAAGTGAGAGAGAGAGAGAGAGAGCGTAAGCTTATATGAGGATGAATACAGTACAGCAAAAATATTGATCTGATCACAAAAAATAATAACCTTTATGTTCCTTATCTTCAGTATCTTTTTCGCTGTCCTCATCTTCCTCTTCTAGATTATCATCTTCATCTTCTTCCTCATCAGAAGACTGATCGTTTGAAGCTTTTGGCATCATAACATCTGCATCATTGTCCCACACTGTTTTTTTACCAGATCTTTTGTGAGCAGCCATAAATTCCTCAAAGCCAGGGTCATCCTTCAGCTGTCAGTCAAGTTAAAATGTGAGTAAGACCTTGGAACTTTATGTTTGTAAGGCAGTCAATTAAAAGACCATCATATAAATATGCTGTATCACCCCAAACAATGTATGACAGATGAAGTCCAATTAGCAATATATAGATAAAATGAACCTTTAATGAATTTGCTTGTTTACTGGGTTTATTGTCCTGTGAACAGCCAGGGTTATTCCAAGGCAGGGTCTCCTTGTAGTAGATAGTAGTTACCTAAATGAACACGCTACCAGAGGCCCATCACATACCATTCAGAACAAACTGAGGTTAAGTGTCTTATGAAGAACACAACCAAAGCAGACATGTCTATTTCTCAGCTTCCTAAGAAATACAAACTGCCACTGGTAGGAAGCATCCAACAACACATCTCAGATCTTCACCGGAGGTTATATAGGCCTTTGTGGGAGATAAAACCGCACTCACCAATTTATCACTGATCACTCTTATGACATAAAACAATTACACATATACACAATTAGTATGAAACATACGTCACCAATCATCTCATCCAAAGCCTTTTCTTTAGCAGTCTTCTTCTTCTCTTTCTTTTCCTTAATACACAACAAAAATGAGTCTTTATTCGATCACAGCTCCAAATCTTTTATCAATTCAAATAAAATGTCTTCCTATTCATATAATTCCACAAATTACGAAAACCGTATTTACTGTATACTGTTACAAAGCTCGGGTACAATTTACATAATTTCAAATTATATATGCTACATTTAAAAAAGGTATATTATTACTTTTAGTGAGTACGTGGACTTGAATTGACTATCACATTTTACAATTTAAAACATTACTTCCCTATCATTTTATACTTACCTTTGGTGTAACCTTGTTGTCCTGCCCAGATGACTTAGCTTCCTTTTCTTTTGGAGCCTTTGCTTTCTGATAGGCCGAGCTATCGGCAGCATACTTACTCCATGATCGTGGCTTTTTTGCATCACCTAAATCTGCTGCTACCTCAACCTGAAGAAAATTTGCATAATGGAATATTTTGAAAATATGAATCAAATAAACTAGATAAGATTATGGAATATTGATAGAGAGGTTACTGCTGGACTATTTTGATATAGCATCCTTTACTTTATTGGACCAACACTGAGATAACAGCCCCAAAAGCGAACGAGCTAATGAAGCTTTTTCACATCAAAATATCCATATAATCATCTTTGACGCCCATAATCATCAGCTGGTAAATGTAGGCTATTTAAATCACAATGAATCTGTGATTCATTTATCTGTTGATCATCAAGATTTTAGGATTGCCGGACAAGTGGCCATCTTAGATTTTGACAATGCGGTATTGTTGTTTCTATTTTTATCAAAGGACTTGATGGATCTTTCTTGAATTTCATATGAATGTTCCTCTTGGTGCCTAGTTGTGTTGTTCTCCTTTTCGGACTGATCAGAAAAATTAAATGGCTGACAGGAGAACAGCTTCAACTTTGACAATTTAAGTTGGTTTTTGCTATTTTTTAAGAAAAACTCCAGTGATCTTTCAAATTTCAAATGTAGGTTGTGCTTTGTTCTGAGTTTGTGAGCATTTCATATGAGGAATGATTGGGATAACAAAATGGCTTATGGGTGGCCATCTTGGATTTTGACAATTAAATGGATCTTTTTAAAATTTTTAAGTAGGTTTCCCTTGATCTCCAGTATTGTGGTCTTTTCAATTTTGAGATTAATCAGGAAAAAAATGGCTGGCAAGTGATCTTAATTTTAGAGAGTTACGTTTAATATCATCTTTTTTCCACAAAGTGTTTGATGAAATATTTCTAAAATTCCACTACAAGTTCTTGGTCCTTTGAGAAGGTTATTTCAAATACTATTTGATAAAAAAATCCTAATTAGTAGTATCTATATTTGATTTTTTTTCTATAGATTCTTTTTCTCATTTAAACAAGTGAGTTGTTAATTTGTGAGGAGATTCTTTACAATGTATGAAGTAGAAATAAATATGTTAAGGTCCATACAAGCAGTGAGAGCATTAAAAAAGTATGTTTTAGTAAGAATCATTCCCACCATTGATCTAGATAATCCAAAATCAAATTTAGAAATCACTTTGTTAGATGATATTACTTCATAAATCATTACACATAACTTACTGTAATTTTTGATGAGTCAATAAATGTTTCATTAAAATGTCTGATAGCAAACTGGGCTTCGTCTTCTGTCCTGAATCCAATGAAAGCAAACTTTCGGAATCTGCCATCTTTTGTGAATTTCATACTACAATCAGTAATCAGGCCATTCTTCCCAAATATGGACTTCAGTCTTTCCTCTTTCATCTGAAACACAGTGTTTAATGGGAGAACATGTTTAATTCATGGGCCTATTTCATAAATATTTCAGAAAAAAAGGTAACAGTGATCACCAAAATTTGCTTGTATGACTGGTCAATCAAATATTTGTTTATACCTAATTTCATCTTACATTTGATTATATTTTTGTAATGTATTTCTATTTTCTTGTTTTCAATCTACGACTTAGACGTGCTTGATAAGGAAATGTATCAGTCAATCAGTAAGGCTTTTTAAATTTCCTTGTGTTTTTCTCACCTTATTGGGAAGATTTTTTATTATTATTCTTGACATCTTGCTCTTCTCTCCGGTTTCCCTGATAATTAACCAATTTTCTTCACTTTAAAATATCGCCAGACAGTTCGCCTTCTCCACATGGCAATTTCACCGGAAATGGCACGATTATCCCCCTTGCAAACTTCCGGTTTCATTCTCAATGAGAACTATAATTGAGCAAAGAGACTATTTCAAAGTTTTAAAGAATAAGGACAAATGTCCCCATTCGTTCATGTTGCAAAAACATCTTTGAACAATGGTTGACACTGCAGTTGTAAAGATCAGGCCAATTAAGGTTTGTATGTGTCACACGCAGTAATCAAACTAATATCAAATGATATTGTTGTGTAGCATTAAAACTAACGATGTAGTTATGTAGCACTAAAAATGTAAACACGTAACTCAGAATGCACGGAAGTCCAACACATCTTCTGACTTGTAGGTTATTTTGCCTCAAACCTCCAACCTCTTTGTGGAAGTGATGGATTGATAATCTTTTGGCCGGATAAAACGTTCGTTTTCCATTTAGGATTAGTCTTTTCTAGCTTGCTAACGTTTTCATCATCATAATGAAATCAAATTGAAAACAGGAGCAAATTGTGTATTAATATAATTTTCTTTTGTTTTGCCTGAGCTGATATGTAGTTAGGACAGCAAGTCAGTATGTGTTGTTGTAGGACAGCTGTCAGGCGTCAAATGTGTCCCTTAAAAACATCTTTTTAATAAAAATGTGACTCCTTCCATAACTTTCACAACAGCAGTTGGACTGGCTGAACCTGCAAGCAAAATGCTATGCACAGATTGTGACAGCGGCTGGACTGCAACATATTTGCACCAAGTATGAGCAGAGCTGCTGCTGTACTTGCAATTGTATGTAAGAATATGAAAAAAACACACACACATTCCTGTTGTTTGCCCTGACTAGGATTTTATGTAAGCCACAACAACCAACTCCTTTTATACTACTTCCTCAGTTATTGTGAGTTCCAAAACTGTTGGAATTTTGTTGGTCACCATTGTGAATGAACAGGGAAAACACACATTCCTGTCGAGTGTCCTGACCTGGAATTGAACCCATGTCTCTGGCGTGATAATTAAACAGCTCTACTAACCAAATCAATAAAGCATGCTCTGTCAGCTGAGTGACAGAGACTGCATTTAATGCTATATACAAGCTGCACTGACCTGCTCCATTTGATTAACTGAATAATTCTGGAAATGTTATGATAATCAGTATGGCTTAAAATGGAACATTATTTGATATTTTATGAGAAATTTTTACAGTTGTATAACATTTCCAACTTCTGAATTATTCTGACCTCCTTTTAACTTTTAACCAGTCTGGATACGATGAATGATGATCAAGAACTCCAGACCAATATTAAAAAGTCACTAGAATGTCAGAATAATTTGGAATACAAATGCATTCATTTAATGTGAAATATTTCCATGCTGCATGACATGACGCAGTTCAAAGGAATACTCAAAAGTGGCCATTTCCAAAGAATCAAGATATTGGAAAAGGAAAAGCTCTCAAGTTTGTAGCATTAAATTACCTTGACTTTGGTACTTTTAAATTCCTAGGGATCAATTTTTTACATAATTTCTCAGTAACCAAAAGGCCCAATGGTATTTGTTGTACATCTATTCAGTTAAAAGGATGCATGTTTGGTAGAATAAATTTCAAGTTTTCAGAATTAACGCTAATAAAGTATATTAACATGTACATTTGTATATGAATAAGCAGCAGAACACAGGATCATTGATTCTCTTGTTTTTCTTGAAAGGTCAGTATATATACATGTATGTATATAAAGCCCAATTGAAATGAATCTTGGCTAGAAGATTTGCCTTAGCTTCATCGTTTATTCACCAGCTTAGTAAACCAGAGGTCCCATTTGTGTGTGAAAACTATTGAACAAAGGCATGGAAAATATGTCAATCCTAGATATTGTGTGAAATATTATGTCTGTGTTGCAATATACATGTTATTGCTTTTAAATGCTGTACAGTTGAATAGTTCATATTACATTTGTTTCATTCTTTCAGCTGATAGCAGTGATTTTCAGTGGGATAACTGTTATCCTGTTGATAAGTAGCATTGCTGGTAAAGAATGGGTGGAGGTGAAATTTCACCATGACAACCGTCAAAGCATCACTTGGGGATTGTGGGATATCTGTGAAGGAGATTCATGTTCTTCAAACACAACAGGTTTGTATGCATTCACGAGTCTGCTAGGCATTAAAAATCTTAATATGGATGTCATTGATGCCAGAATTATAACAGAGGGTACACAAGCCAACATTTTCTAATGTAAGCTATGAAATGAAGTAAAACTTAGTGCACAAATGACATTATCCCTCATCCTGATGTCATCCACAGTATATCTGTATATGATTCATTATGATTGGTATGGTGTACGGGTCATTACTATAATCATATCCTGATCTTGAACATTGTTTCCCAAAATATGTTTATGCTATAATGTTGTCAGCAAACATTTGAACAACTTCTTTTCAAAAAAACTTCAAGATATTCTTCCTGAAACCCATGGTTTGAAAGTTGATGATGGTCAACTATTATCTGTCTGTGATTAACCTTTACAAAATTTGCTAATTAACTTCACATGATCACTTGAACACCTTCTGATTAATCAGTAGGCCTGGTTATTATTATAAAATGTAGTAGCTTGCAATAAGAAAAAAAAATCTGACAGATAATGGAGGTAAAAAAATCTAATTCTATATTTCTTAAGTTGACTCGTCCAAACAAATTGTATTTGTTAACTAGAGTCATGCTATAAGAAAGCTGCCTGCTGACTTTGAAATACATTGTTTAATATTACCTAGTATATAATGTTCCAAAAACTGACTGTTTTGACCAGTATAGAAAATTCACACAGAATTAAGCTATTTCTTTCTAGTTTCTGAAAATCTGTTAGGTTTGGATTCTTAATGATATGACTATATATATTCTTTGAGTCCAGATGTCAAATTCATTCTAATCAAAATCGTATTTGAACAATCTGACACTGATTACCTTCCAGACTGGGTGAAGGTGTGTGCTACCTTTAGTATTGTGTCCCTCCTCTTTAGTGTGGTGGTAGTTGGCTGCGGTATTCTTGGGCTTTGTTCTTTGAATGTCCCCAAGAGAAAACTTCTCTATGTTATAGCTGGCGGTATTGTCACCCTTGTTGGTGAGTATGTAGTTATCTACACTTGTCAATAGAATAAAATGGTTTTCTGCAAATTTTGATGTTTTGCTCAACTATCAAAGGATATTCTACAGCTTGACATGAAATGAATAATGTTCTACAATGTCTTGATAATAAAAATTATGTAATAATATATATTATTAAAGCACAGTAACAATATATAGTGGATTACATCAATTATCCATGGACTGTGATTTTTAATACTCAAATAACTGAGTTCTGAATTCATGATTTTCTTTTGGGGTTCCCTGAAATTTTGAGCATCCACTATATCTCTTTGTAACAGGACTCCAACAAATCTTTGCATTTGTTCTGTTTCAGCTCTGTCCGATCTGCTGTCTCTTATCATTTTTCCAATCAAATTTCGTGAGTCAATACAGACATTCATCAATGTGAAGCGCTGGGACTTTGACTGGACCTACGGATTTGGCTGGGGAGGATTTATCTTCTCCGTTGCAGCTGCTGTTTTCTTCTTCCTGCCAATTGATGATGATAACATGGAGTCCAAACCATTCTAATGACATAAATACAAGCTTTAAGGAATATGTTAGAATGGTTTCATGAGTATACATGTATATGTATATCAGACAATGGAACAATGCTTTATTTTTAATGTTTATTAATATTGCAGTAATTTCATGTTCATCTGTCTGTACCAGTAAACTTATCTGACCAACCTCTTTTTATAAAAAATATCAACTTGTTAAAAACAATTGTAAAATGTTATACTTGCATAGAAAATGTTTTCTTATACAAAATTACAAGTAAAATTGCTGCAGGAACTACATAAGTACTAAAAATTATGTTTTTAATCTATTTTGTTCATTCATAAGTACAGCAAGTAACCTTTGATGATAGTCTATTCCTTTTTTTACACTCAATACTTCAAAGTTTAACATACTTTCCAGTAATATTATTTCACCATTTTGGATTTTGTGTGTTAATTACAGTTGTCATGCATTGTTTTCTGTTAAGGATGTGCTACCAGGTAATCAAGAAGTATGTTGATTTGCTAAACTTTGAAAACAGCGACATGCATACATAAACTCAATATGTACAACTACTGTGTGGTTGATATTTTGTCTGAAAATTATCCATACTGGCATGGTGCTTTGTATTATTGTGTATTTACTACAGCTTTGTTACGTTCTTGCCATTGTGTATTTTTATTTCCTGGACCCGCTTTTCCAATAATCAGTTCCTGAACCGATCATTTACTTGCATTTAAAAACTGTTTCATTATCAATTATTATAACTGTTGAACTGGACTGTACAAATACTTTCTTAAGTAATTAAGAAAACTATGATGTTGAATCCAAACATAAATGTTTTATAATGAATTTCTGTAACATGCCTTGTAAAAATGAGAACAAAATCCATGTAGACCGGATATAAGTAAAAATATATAAAGTATGAAAAATATGAAATGTTTCATGTTCAACTGATATTATTTCTTATGCTACTTTTTAAAATTTTGATCTTTATTATGATTCATAAAATATTTTCGGGTCTTTTGTCAAATGCATTTTTTTCAGATAATTATCACCGGTGATTTTCTGCTATGATATTTGTACTTTTTTCTTTTTAATTTAATTATTCCTATATACTTAATGTTATTTTGTTTTATTAAAGATATACAAAAGATATTTTTGTCCCCAGTATTTAATTGTCTACAAATCTTCCTACATTCCACGCATTTTGTACCCATAAAGTTCAATCATTGACACAAGGTTGGGATAATTTGAATTCGTCTCACATTTCTTTATTTACTGTACATTTTGTATATCACCTTAGCTGTTTTACAATAGAAATTTTATGTTATTGTTTTTGAAATTATTTGCTTTTAATGTCAAATTGTAGTAGTAGCCTTTATTGTACAGATGTATTTGTTTTAAGTGAATGATCACAAAATCATGAGCTGAAACCTTATCCAATGCAGAGTAGTTTTGCATGGAGGTTAGGCTTCAATGTTAGCAGAGGAATTGACATCAGAAGCATGTATATTATATTACAGTTTGCTTTCTGGTATGAATAACACATTTAGTGTACTAACATCTTTGTTGAAGTTTTGCCATGTTGTTTTAATTTCAACAAGATGATAAACCAGAATAAATCTATTCCAGAACTCAACAAAAATTTAAGTTATTGAAAAATGTATGTATTTCTGTCTCATTTTTTGCAATGTGCTAAGTCTGTTTTATCATTGTTATATCTTGCTCATTTACAAGCATATTTTAAAATTTACATTTGAACTTGTGCATTAAGTAATGATCTGGTTTGTGTTCAAGTTTTATGATTTATGATGTAATGTGTTAAGTTTGACCTTAAATTTGAAATCTATCACCATTTAATTAATTGATTACAATTTTTTCTGGGTAACCAATCAATGTACTAAATTTACTCAAGAGATTATATACACAACTTTTATTCAATTCTCTAATGGCATTCAGTATTGCTCTATTTTCCTTAGGTTTTAAATCTACAATAATTACATAGCCTTAATTTCATCGTGAATGTCACATCTAGGATCATTGTTAAAAAGCATTAATACTGATACATATTGGGCTAGTAATTAAAACCATCATGACCATTTCTGTCTCGTTTGATAGTTTACATTATAAGTACGCTTGTCCACATTCTTGGTTCACATATACATCATATCCTCAAACAGGCGCCGCCATGCAACTATTACAGTATATGGTTGTGAATAAGACACTTCCTTGTTGAATGTATCTTTATTAAAAGTCCTCTTTTAAACTCTCTATTACCAAAGTCAGTTATAGGTTGTGTTGAGATATAGCTAAACCTGTAAGTAAATTTGTGACAGGAAATTTATACTTTTCCTGAAATGTTGAACAGAATACATATTTTGTAAATATGTCTATTGTTACGTATAGTATATATTTGGTTGTGGTCTGTAGTTATAAAAATTTGTCTGTTATACATAGTTATTGTTTGTTTAACCCTACTATATATTGTGTTTTATATTGCCTCCGACGAAGTTACACTGGTACAATGTGTATTGATTACTTTGTAGTGTGTTCAGATATACTGACACAGTGTATATATACTGACGCAGTATATATATACTGACACACTGTATATATACTGACAGTGTATATATACTGACACAGTGTATATATACTGACACTGTATATATACTGACACAGTGTATATATACTGACACAGTGTAGATATACTGACACTATACTGACACAGTGTAGATATACTGACACAGTGTATATATACTGACACACTTTGACGTTTGTGTACTTTAGATTGTTATTGTTGTTTATGTTTGTATGTTTATATTACACAGTGTTTAACTTGGTGTTACATTAAGGCAGATGAAGATATGCACTGGTATGTATTGTACAAGGACCTCTTCATAAGACACAAACATACATCTTATTCAGCATGGACTTTCTTTGTTAGCAGTGTATTGAAGAAAACATGGTTGGTATGTTTAAGAATCGAGTAGTGATGAGTTTTTGTCAAATGATTACCTAACTTTTGTAAATAACTGTTATGGAACATGTATCTGTGCTAACTGTTCACACAACTACAGCATAATTTGTTATTTATAGATATATCCAATGTGAATACTGTATTTATGCCAAAGCCTTGCTCGTAACTACCTCTAGTCTGCCAATGCTTTCATACCGTAATGTAGGTATTTATAGAATTCACTTTCACACATGGATTTTTTTTTGTTATCATTTTTCTCTTTTATCAAATACATGCACCATAAGTTTCAAATTCTTAAACAGTTCTTGAATTTTGTAAAATATTGGATTGTCTTAATGATGTCCAAATTAAAAAAAATAATCAAATATTGAAATTAAACAAGTTTGGCACAATGTATTTATAAACTGTAGCGGACACATGCTTATGATTTTGGCTTCGCTGGTGTAAATCTATAATATATATATATAACAAAATTTATTCTTGTCACTTGGATTTAAATGACAGTACAATCAATTTATACATTTATTGGATATTAAACGTTATTGTTGTGATGAATGTTGCAACATCATTTTTTCAGTTTAAAATTAATGAAACCAAGCAATTATATTCCAGTTATCATCTTGTTGGATATCTCAACTATTGAGATAATTATACAGGATACTATATACAGTAATTTACAGTAATTTATAGTAAAATATACAGCATTTTGTTGGAATGAAGTTAAGTCAACTTTGGGTATCAAAATTTCATTTTACTTTTTTAGATACATGAATTTTACAGGTATATTGTAATGTTGATGGAGTTTATGTACTTATTTAAGATTTAGTGTTTATGTAATAGTGGGTATGTTTGACATGTAATTAAATCAAATATATGATTAAATTAAATTTTGAAAATACTTGATGTATCAAATTAAGTTTCACCATAATGGATAATCTCCCTCAAGATTTAAATTCAAAAGTGTTAAACTTTTTTACATGGGATAGACTGAACAGACATATACAATATAATTTTGAACCTGATAGTCTAATACACTTATTTTTTAAATGTCATTTAACTTAAACATTGTTCCCTTCATGTCAAATATTTGTTAATACCAGGTTCCCGTGGAAAATGTAATTGATATTCATCCCATGCTAACAGAAACAAGATCAGATGAAAACTATCCTAAAATTAATATAGATACCCATGAAAATTAAGAATTACAAAAACACATTTCTTTTTATGATATATGTTATAGTATGAATAACTTTTTTAAAAAATTGTTTCAGAATCTCATCACAAATACCTCGCAGAAGTTGTATGTTACTTTTTCTCTAACATGTAGTCAGATACTGTACCTCAAAAGATCCAGTAAAATTTTTTATCTGATTTTAAATGTTAGCGAATTATTACATGTCAAAATAATTTTACCAAGAAGTATCAGCTATATCCAATGTGTTCAAAAACAAGAATTTATCCTTGTTACAATATTTGTACTGTATATTGTTTTCTTTGTATTGATTTTACAAAATTGAATGGATGTTTTGAATCTAGTTAAAAAAATTTTTTTTCAAATTTGTCACTGAAAAGAATGACTAAAAGGGAGACTTATTGAACTATTATTTTTTACCAGGTATATATATCAAATTCTGAAAATAGCTAGATCTGTTTTTAATCAGAGTGAATAAGACCCTCACTTAGGATATAAATTCACCCTGACATAGGATATAAATTCTGTGTCATTTACTAAATCTACAACATATGTTGTTTATCCTGTCTATGAGGTACTTAAACATTTGTCTCTAAATGTCAGTTCAAATAAGAAGATTGTTGACGTTTCCACCAATATTTAAATAAGATGTTTTCATGCATAATGCAGTACATGTGTAGTGGAAGTTTTATGAAAGCATCAGTTTGATTTAATGCCATGCCCCATTTTCTAGATGCAATTGTAACTTTCAAGAGCTAAAAGCCAAAAGAATGATATTTACAATCTGTTAAAGAGACAGAAGACCAACTGTTTTCACATTTCACTCCACACTTAGTCAGCTAGTACATTAGAATCCACACTTTTCAATGTTGCATTCTAGGGTTTTCAGGGTCAAGTATATAAAGGGGACAATTATTTCATGATACTCTGTCATTAGTCTGAGAAATGCTGATCAACCCTTGTGGTTTGAAATACACCAGGAACAAGCAGGATAGATTACCTCCCCTTAACATATCCTGTTGTATACCTGTCCACAATATTTATGTCGATATTTAAGGAAAAATCCAATACATATAATTACAGGTTTTCTTCATTGAATTATAGTTTCGTTTTAATTGATTCCAAAGTTTACAAACACAAAATAAAAAAACCGTTCAGTTGTCAGCCTAAAAATACCATCACTGTAACCACCATAACAACATGAACAAAACTTTTTAAATGTTTCACATATTAATTGCATACAATCAAATTCCAATGTTAAACTTAATTCTACTGAGATTCCATAAAAAGAAAACCTCAAAAGTTTGACAATTATTAGTATATGGACCGTATTTCAAAAGGCATTAATTTCATGGAGAAATATCAAGATAAGATGACATTAGGAAAGAGTTCTTCATTCATAACATCAGATCACTAAACTGTGTATAATGACAATGAAAATAACAAAGTTATAGAGTCTACTACAATGATAACTTTGAATATTAATTTAATCTGGAAAGAATGGTCCTTCAATTTACGCTGAGAAAATGAAAGAAGTGTAATTATAGATCAAATAGTTTCTTAAAATCTCCCGGATCGTATATATGTTTCAGAATCATAAGTTGTACAGGTTTTATTCAGATGCCTCAACTATCCTTTTTAATCACAGCTAGGTTTGAAATAATGTTAGTCAAGCATAACATGAGAGTCACGAGTCAGCCATAACATCCCTAAATAAATAGCCATTACTTTACTAGACTGATGCAAGGGCAAGTGAATTTCCAAACTGTTCAATAAATCAATTGACATTGAGCAAAATATGATAAAAATTATATTTGGGAATTCTTTCCTAATTTAAAAAAAAAGTCAGGGGTGTATAAGAATATAAAGTGCAATACTGTATGAAGATTTTGCTTAAACATTGTTATTTCTAACCAAGTCATCAAATGCATCCTGCTTACAAAACAATTATTTTAAAAAAATTGATAATACTACTAAGTCTGTCTCCCTCAATGATTAGTCAATCTAATTTATTTGAAATCCACTGTTCAATACATTGGAAATATGTACTATTTTACTTACCTGTTATTATTGTTGCAAAAAGTAAACAAGGGCCACATTATTGTGGTGCATTTGTTTTCAATGTACCAAAAAAAGCCAAGCCTAGTTGATTGTGTACTTAGGTGTTGTGATTAAAACAAAACAGCACCGATCACTATATGTATTTGGTATGTCAAATGTGCTATTTATTGTAACAAAAATATGTGGCCAACATGTACAGCAGAAAATAAAAGACTTCTTTTTATTGAAAATATTTGTTTGAATTATCCATGCATTTGTTTGCAATTGATTATCAGTTGGTGAAGCATGGCCTTTTATTTAAATATCCCCAAGTCCATGGTCCATCAGCGGTCTGTCCCTCCATAAACAATTCTTTAGAGCTATTTCTTGAAAAGTACAGGATGGATCTTTCTCAAATTTCATATGAAGATTTTCCTTGGTCCCTGGTTGTCACTGGTTGATTTTGGGACTAATAAGAAAGAAAAAGGCAGACAGACAGCCATCTTGGATTTCAGCGTTGAACATTTGATACTGCTTGTTTCTTCAGAGGAGTGCTCAAATTTCATATAATCATGAGCATATGTAGAGGAGAGAAGAGAACGGAGGAGATCGAACAATGGTGGGCCCCAAAATCCTTCTAGGATCTGTTTCTTTTTTTGTCTAATTTCAATATGGAGATTAAACAGAAGGATAGACTTAGAGGAGAATGAGTTTTGTGATGTATTGGAAGATAGAGAGACACTAGTGTTCACAGTCTTACTGTTGTGTCCAGGTGGCAAATCCCTCACAGAATTCCATTTTTTCTGTCAAACTATATGATGTTGAACTGTTGTAAAAGATTGACCGTGACAACATCCAGATTTCTTTGACTTACTACACTGACTCCAGCTAGAATCCATTACTTGTACTGTGGATGTACCAATTTATCAATTCGTTAATGTGAATAAATTTGAGGCTGAAATCTGATATTGTAGTTGCACTTAAAACTTACAGAAAACAAGAGTTTTAATAAAACTGATGAATGCTCCCCAAAAACGACTTTCTTGGACACAAATGTTACCAAAGGGCAATATTCTGTAATTGACGGTTGTAGGCCCAGTATTTAGTATACAGCACATTCTCTTAGTAAGAAAAATATATACACCAAATCTCATGCTTCTAGTTCTGTTGCAAGCAAAGCTATGTTCATGACACAAAATTTTCAGAAAGCACAATAACTATGTACTGATGGGTCAAAGGCCCTGACTTTGCTACAGTGCTTCTTGCTTTTGTATGGCTGATATATATATCACCTTTCAAGATCCTAGTTTAATTGCAGGCATAGTAATGCCCCAGACAAAAAATGTTAACAAAAGGCAATAACTAATTGTTATTAAAGGGTTGCAGGCCCTAACATTGGTTTACTGCACATTGTCTTTGTATGATAAATGTATACAACAAGTTTCATTATCCTAACTTACATGCAAGCAAAGTTATGCTCTGGTTAAAATTTTTCATATTTTTAATTCTTATCAAAGGGCAATAACTCTATAATTGAAAGGTCAATACACCAACTTTCATTATCCTAGTTTAAACGCATGCAATTCAAAGTTTTGCTCTAGACACAAAATTTTGAAAAAGGGAAAAAACTCTCTAATTCTGAATTTGGCACAGTGCACACACCCTTAGTATGACCAATGTATACACCAAGTTTCATGGTCCTTGCTTTACCGTTATGCTCCAGAAAATTTGCTGGGAGCAAAAAAAGAAAGAACATGAATATCTTTCATTATATAAGAAATTTATTTCTATAAAATGTTGGTCAATACATTCATGATACAAGCTTGTTTCAAGTACTGTTTTTAAGGAAAGTTATTCTAGAAATGATGGTCAATACAAACATCACTTACATCAACAATATTGGTGTATTTCTAAAATATTGGCCAATCAGTTCTATTCTCAGTGTACATAAAACATTATTATCAGAAACAAATCAGTACAAATGTCACAGTGATCTCCAGTAAACATCTACTCCTATATTTACATTTAGCTTTATCTTAACGATAACATTCCAAGTACTCATACAATGACATTGTTTGACCTATAATATACATTAATATAGACCCAGTCAGAAAATTCAAACAAGTAGTCTTTGGTAAAGAACACTCTTATTTCAGTGAGTCAACAATTCATAGTTATGGGTTCCAGTCTAACTTACGGGGGTTTTGATACTAAAAATATACTTTACAGTGTACACTGTATAACAATACAAAACAAGTGGCCCAATGGGCCTGCAGTGCTCACCTGGTAGATATATATATATATACCATTCAATATCATGCCTCTAGGCCTTTTAGTTCAAGAGAAGAAGTCTTTTAAAGGTTTTAACAAACCTGACTCCTGTGACCTTGAATAAAGGTCAAAGTGATTTTTTTTCTCAAACTTTGTAGAGCTTCATCTTAGGAACATAGCAGTCAGATATCAAAATATTTGTTCCATTGACTATTGAGAAGAAGTTGTTTAAAGGAAAAATTGATGCTGGACGACAGACGCCACATCAGTGGAGCTAAACATAGGAGATGTAACTATGCACATTGTTTAAACTATATCATTAAAACAATAGATTCCACATTAAGAAATTGATCAATATGTTATTGTATTTTTAGAAGATGGAATGGAATGAAAACATTACACTGATAGGTCTATTTCAGGCAGATATCTATCCTGTGGGAGGGCCCCATTAGTAAATAAAGATCATTTAGACAAGTTTATAAAACCAAAATAAATGGCATTATCTCCACAACATATATCCTGTATAGAAATTTTTCTTTCCGGAATCCTCCTTTAGGAAACATATTTAAATGCAAAAGGCCTTATTATCTTGCAAATAACGGCACACATATATGCTGACATGACTGAACAAATTGCACAATTCAAACATTCCTGACAAAAAAAAAAATCTTATCATAGATTACAAAATATCATTGCTTTGTTAACAATTCATCCAACTTGACTTTAAATCTGTGCCTATCTTCACCCAATATATAAAATAACAAAAATAAGTATAAGTGGAAAATCAACAGACTGTGTAAACACAATAAATGAGATGTTTGACTTTTAAAATAGATTTATCAGAATTGTTTGTCAATTACTTGACATGATCAGAGGAAAGAGAGTGGGATTTCTTTTCTGAAATAAAACAACAATTGAGATATATCTCTGATTGTTGAATGATATTGAAAAACTGATATCAACTCACCTCCTATACACACATACATATATAATTACCTCCATAGTTTACCATGACTGCTACCTGTACACAGAACATTCTGACGACTGATTTAAAGGTCAGTTATAGATAGCTGACCAGATTAAAATGATGAACCACCAAGTCATTAACATGTACAAGGACTAAGACACCTGCTGTTCAGAGAAAGTCATTTGTTCATAATCACTCTGGCACAACAATATAAGGTTGGAAAGGCAAAGTCTTGTTTTTCTCATGGCAGGAATAAATCCACTTTGGTTTCACGAACACCAGCTCTGAGTTATCTGCCAAAGCCTGATAAAAGTAAACACAAAAATACTTTTCATATCTTACATGGAAAAGATTTCCTCCACATACTGGTATGTGAATTTTTTCACAGTAATGACCGATGTCTCAAGTTTCAAGTAAATCAAGTTTACCAAGACACCACAAATTTGCACCTAAATAAAATCTATAACAGGTGAAAAGTTATACAAAAACTCTGTATCAGTTTATATCACAATTTACTGATAACTTTTCACTTACCTCATCAAAATTGTCATCCCATTTATTGTAGGTAACTACAAAATTCACCTTATCACACATGTAGTTCTCCAACTCCCTGTAAATAAGGCAATATATATACTATCAAATATTTTATACATTCAGTATTTGACTTGCTTAATTCAGTCACAAAAGCATTTGATCGCATACCAAAATCTTACTTTAAGGGACATCATGGTGAAACCATGAATTTTGTTATTGATTTTACCTCTGTTACACATTTACATCTCTTTGTTATCCTAATATTGGAAGTTGTTTTCTGATGTTCACCTTGACCACGTCTTTGGTTTGAGAAATTCCTCTCAAATTTAGCACTAGTAACATTACGTAATATTTTTGATAATGAGGCAGTTCGTTTTGTAAACATGAACACATGATTGCGAACAGAAATAACAGCGACAGTAGTGACACAGTTAGTAATATCACATTTTATAGAAACCAATGTTGTAATGAGTGCGGCAATGATATTTGATAGCTCTAAGACAATTTAGAATTTCAAAATAAGTGACAATAATTTCCAACATTCTCACAACCGATTCAAGCAGGAAGCCTTTTTTGTTGAAAGGTGATGGGTGTTTTGTGCACATGCGTTATCAGAAACAACAGATAAGGAATTCCTTTTTATAATTTTCAAATAACCCACATGCTTCATTGAAAGCCAACCGTCATTGTTCATGGGGCGATACACTTGATATATACATAAGCAATATCAAAAAAATATTCAGATAAAAATGAATTTGTTTTACCATGATGTCGCTTTAATATACAGAGATCAATTTATATTGAGAATGAAATAGTAAAATCCAGAGTGGAAAACTGTTTCAACAATTAATTAATATCTGAAGAGGATCAGATTTGTAAAATTCATGACATCAGTTCCACAAATTCTCTGAAGCTTGCAAAATAAGTAAATGTAAAAGAAGCTGCATATAAGTTATCTAATTATATAAAAGAAGTCCATGGGTCATGAGTCATCTGATGATAAAGGCCTATATAACAGTGGTAATAGTGGGAACAGTAATTGACAGATTAAAACAGTTCAGAATATTTTGGCAGTAAATGAAAATAACAATTTTCATTTCAATTTCTCAATATTCCCACAAAATTTCAGCTCCAGGGCGCCTGTGAAACTAGGGCAGATGTTTAAAATGTGTTGTTCAAATTGGCAGTCATGGCATTTAAATTGGCCATAAAAATGAATAATTAAAAAAACTAGTCAGGGCCATCTGAGCATCATTTCAGGTATGTTTCACCTAAATCTCACTTGTGGAACTTGAGAAGTTTAAAATGTGAAAAGTTTACAGACAAAACATGATCACTACAGATCATCCTGACTGACCTAACATATTGCAGAGATATATGACTTACCCATTATATGCTGTGATATATCGAACTATTAGACGTCGTTCCGATACAGAGAAATCTCCATAAAGGAAGAAATTTTTGTTTGTGAAGAGATCTGGAAGTTCAGGTAGGCCGGAGTCATCATCATCGTCCTCCACCTCCATCTTACTAACTTTGTTGTGTGTTGTTTTTTTAGAGGGTTCATCATCATTGTCTGTTGAATCACCATAGTTATCTACTTCATCAGCCTTTGATTTATCACCTTTCTCCATTTTTTGTTTAATTCTAGAAATGATTAAAAGAAAACGATGAACATAATTAAACTTTTAACAAGAGGCCCAGAGGGCCTGTATCACTCACCTAGATATCTAAGTCAATAATGCAAAACTTTACATTTCTTTAGAAGGAAAATATTTCCCCTGATGAGCCTCGCCCCACATATACAGCTTCAAACTCCCTTAGGGTGGGGACAGAGATCAGTTGTTAATCTCTTGATGCCCAGCAATGCTATTAAAACACAGGATAATAATTTCAATGGCTTCAACGATATAATCTGTCCTGGGGTAGGATTAGACCCTAAGATAAATTATGAGTTATGATTTTGTTTATCTCCTGATGCTCAGCAATGCAATAGTTATTCACTGGAGATCATAACTGTTTCAAAAAACCAAAGATCCAAATGAATTGTTGATGGTGCAAAGAAATGGTATGAAAACGAACTAAATCCACATAGGGATAGGTTTACCCTGTTGGGTCCCACCTATCTGACCCAAAGGGGCTAAAACCTACACTTTATACAAAACTGATTTCCCTTCACCTAAGCATGCTTCAGACCAATTTTGGACATTATCAGGAAACTCCTGAAGAACAATATAGATTTTAAAGATTTGATAGATTTATCCTATTAGGCCCCCTTCCTTAAGTCCTAGAGGGCCCCCGAGACTCACCATTTACAAAACAAAACTAATTTTCCTTCACTCAAGCATGCTTCAGACCAATTTTGGACATTATCGTGAAATTCCAGAAGAACTTTTTATAGATTTTAAAGAAATTGACTGAATTTTCCCTATTTACACCAAAATTGGTTCTCCCCTTCCCCAAGAATACTTCAGACCAAATTTGACCTTCAGGCCAGGTGAGCAAATAACATTATTTGAATATTAGATAATTATCAACATACTCTTATCCACTATCAACTTTGTATTAAGCTATTTATTTTCACATCAAAATAATATTAATAATAATAATAACAATAAGAATCTACCTGATATGTAGAATTTCAAGTGTAATCCAATGATTTGTCTGGTAAAAAAAATACTGTTAAGTTAAGTTTATGGTAGTAGAATTGTAGAATTTTGAATATAGTATTGTAAAAATATATGGCTTTTTCAATGATATACAACTGCATATGGATTTTATTAACCAGTGCACACCTGCGGACTTCATCCTCAGTATCTTCTCCAGAATCCACGTCGGTGTCATCATCATACACTGTAACAGTTAAAACACACTGCTGTAGCTACAGTATATTTCTGTATTTTGTATATTGTTACTCATTGTAAGATATGATAAACTTCTCTCAGAATATCCTTATAATACTCTATACAAGGCAATGTTTGCCTAGGTTTTTTAACCCTTCAATAATATTTCATTACACTTTTTTCGCTCTTTTGAAAAATAATAAAAAAAAAAAACACCGAAGTTTAACTGTGGTGAACATTACATATAGTATACAATATTGTACCAAATTTAGATATTATCACCATAAACAGTAAGAGAATAATATGCAAATACACATAGTTTCTTATCATAAGCTTAATACTATCTTCAGGGTACTGAAAATGGAGCTTCATCTCTCTGTACAGCTATCTTTATTTTACATGATCTGTACAGACTATATATTTTTATCTGTTCATTGGTTGATTACAAGTGTAAAACACAATACATCATACAATGGTTTGAGAAATATCAGTCTTCTAATTTCAGAAATACTACTTAATGTGACACAGAAGTTTTGTAAACAAAAAAAACAATGACAAGATATCCCATAATCCCGTAGGGATCCTGGTGCTCATCACTGCATGATCATTATCAGTTTTGTGTTAGTTTGATTTTTGAACAGAATTTGTTTTCCTCTTTTTGGTCTTTGTTCTTTAATGACGCATTATCTGGTACTGACAAGTGAATAAACTCTGTGATAAAATAATTGTGGAATATTGCTTTATACTGTACCAGAACTTTGGCATTTTTCAAATAAATAGATGACCTGTAATTCCATCTGACAGATCACTGACTTTTACCACAGGAAGTTTCTATTTGAACTACTTACAACTAAGCACAAAAGGTTCTGATCACCTGCAATTTTTTTTATTCGTTGTAAAATAAAATCATTATGTCGGAACAAACACAAATTTTTTTGAGAGAACTCAGTATGGTCATTTAAAGGAGAAAAGGGGTGTTATCACTTACCTTCCTTTTTAACTTTTTTAGATGTGGATTCCTTACTTGAGGAGCTCTTGTCATCCCTGATATCTGAAACCATATTGAATGATCAGTTGTAACTTTTGGACCTACAACGATGCTAATCCTGTAGTTCTTACCACATCTGATTGGAAATATTGTCCTCCTCCATGACTTAGAAAAAATCCCTCACAAAGTGATTTGTTTTACTACATGCAAGTTCAAGAAGCATTCATCATTACCCATTTCCCAGCCCCATGATGAAATACATATGACTGTTGTAAAATTGCCAACTTGTCAGCCATCACATATACTTATCTGCTGTTGTTAACACTTTGTTATCATGATAATGTGTTAATAACATGTACTTATACAACAATGACCAACAGAATGTAGATGTACCGTTACTCCAGTCTGAAGACAATTTACCTTGCTTCTCCTTGTGTTTACTAGGAGTTTTCTTAATAACAGGTTCATCCTCTTTATCCTCCTCATCACTGGAGTAATCAGCATCACCAAGTCTGTATCTATCAAAAACAAGACATATACTTCTTGTCATATCTATATACCTGTGTTAGGAGGTGCAACATGAAGTCAAATCATTTTTGAAAAACAAGGGATAAAATAAAACTATAAGTCTATGTCAAGAACAATAAAAACTAAGATGTGTAACCTTAGCTACCAAGTTTGTAGTAAAAATGAGGAAATGTACTTTATGTTGTCTATTTTTTGGACAAAGAGATGCATACTTTAAAAAAGGGGGATATGATAACCATTTCTGCCACTTAAACTGTAATACACTGTAATACCCCGACATAACATGTAATACATTGTAATACCCTGACATAACATGTAATACATTGTAATACCCTGACATAACATGTAATACATTGTAATACCCTGACATAACATGTAATACATTGTAATACCCTGACATAACATGTAATACATTGTAATACCCTGACATAACATGTAATACATTGTAATACCCTGACATAACATGTAATACATTGTAATACCCTGACATAACATGTAATACATTGTAATACCCTGACATAACATGTAATACATTGTAATACCCTGACATTATATGAAATACATTGTAATACCCTGACATTATATGTAATACATTGTAATACCCTGAAATTATATGGTACATCACTGTAATAACCATTTTGTGTATCTGAATTACTCACTTCCTCCATGGTAAATATTTCTTCTGTTTGTAGCAGTGCTGGACCCAGTCTTTCTTCACTATCCTCCCCTTTCCTTTAACTTGGTTGTACTTTGGGGTATTAGTGAAGGCACATCTGCAAAGGAATTCATGTATTGTTGAGAAATATTTTCATAACTCTCAAAGTTGGAACCATTGAAATTTGATGGCATTATTTAAACTATCTTTGAAATCAATATTACACTTATGTCTATGTTTAACCAATACACCCTATGTAACATCTGTTACAGATTGAATAAAACCATTCTCATTAGACACTACCTAACAAAACACAAATTCTTATTAATAGTACATACATAAAACACCTCTTACATAAGACGCATCCACATAAAACATCTTCTTAACATTAGACACACCCTCAAATATTATATTGTTTCTTGTCATAAGACTTAATCAGACTTAATACAGGACTGTTGGTAACTTCATACATAACAGCAATACATATAGACAATGACTTATTTCCGATGTGATGTAATTATTATCTACTGGAAACAAATTATTCCCAACATACTAACATCAAATGTGTACATGTTTTATCCCAGTCTGCCTTGTAAACACCTCCCATTTCTGTGGCCATGTCTCTCAGCTCTGCCCGGAATGGATTTTGGAATCCACTCAAAGAAAACACCACCCCCTCCATAAGCCGCTTAAAGGACTTTATAGGTGATTCACGAGCAGGTTCAGCTACAACAGTAGAACATCATTACAGTATACAATTTGTACATCTTATTACTGGATTACCCAGAAGTTTATATAACAAGGATATATAACTGTATATGGATATATTAAATACAAACAACAATTATAAAACAAGCAAAGAATCAAGTTTTAATTTTCTTCATTCATGTCCATATCCTTTTTTCTTCCATTTATTTACATTTAATTTTTTTCAATGTTGTTTTCGTATCACTATTCACTGAGGAGGCTGTAGAACTGAGACTTGTGGTCTGTTTCTTCAATGGGGGTTTGCCAGGCAGCGAGTCGTCATCGTCTGAACTTTGACCCTCGTTATCACTTAACTTATGTTTCCTTTTACTGCGGTTCTATAAACATAAATGAAACTCTTCAGGTTATGAAACAGTTACAAGTTTGTAAACTGTCTAGAAGTACAGAGTAAAAGACTATTATTAATGCCCCAACATGTAATACTTATGCATGTTTCTATTTCATATCTTAAATGAATATAATCAAATTTGTCCTTTGTTGAATCCAAAATGCTGAAATGTAATATAAAGGTTGAAACTCTGATAATAGACAATAAATTGTGTTATTTAACTTCAAAGTCCTTGAGAAATTATGAAATATGCTCATATCAGCAGGATAAACTACATAAAATTGCACTTTTACCTGTCTGCATCCTTACCTCAGACATTTTGGGGGCTGCTTTCGTATTGCTTGGTTTAGATTTAGAAAATGAGGAAGATTCACTGGTTTCAGATTTGAGCGATGAAGCAACATCATTGGTTTTAGATTTTTGTGATGCTGCGGGAGATAAAACTGACGTCGAGCGTGACTCCTCTGATAGTCGAGATGCTGCTCTGATGGCTGCTGCTCCTGTGATTCAGACAACATAGATATAACAGACTAAAAATCTACATTTGTTTGTAATATTACTGTTAACTGATTTCCTCTCATGTCTGATGTACCTTAAATTCCTGAATTTCATCATTAAAGCCAACTGTGTAAAATTCACAGCCTCAAATTAAGACACAGATATCTATGTAGGATGCATTTTTTCTAATTCTATATTTGTATCAAATAGTGCTATTCACTTGAATGATTTTTGTACAATCACAGAAATTCATTATTGATGCGGAGTATAATGAAGTCTGTTTTCCGTGAAATTTTATTATATATATTACGAACATGACACTGTAAAAATCATGAAAGTAAAAGAATGATTGGTTACAGTATCTGAAATGATAATTCATTTGATTCCAGGAAAGTATTTGTTTACAGTAACTGAAAAATATGAGAGTAAATCTTAACTTGATTAACAAATATGAAACTGTTACCATGCAGAAATCGTGAAAGTAAGTAGACACAAAAGAACAATTGATTACAGTATTTGAAATGATAATTAATCTGAATCTGTTTACAATAACTGAAAAATATCAGAATAAATTTAATTATATTTTTGTCAGTGAAATATAGAGAAATATATCATTGATAAAACTTTTGAACTTTTGCAGATTTACAACAATGAAAACAGAGAAAACACAAATCATCTTATCAAACTGACAAATCATAGAGCCAGAGACAAAACAATTACAAAACCTGAAACCTGAAAGCATTGTTTACTAGTAACAGGACATTCAATTCCATGGTAAACAATGAAAACAATGGTACACAAATAACCTATCAGAAATTGAACCTAATCTCCAACCAAATGTCTTCAATTAGACATTTCAAGAGGATTTGTGTCATCAACAGATGTAGGTTGTCACCATTCTTTTTTAGCTGCATAGTAACTGGTCACGAGTTAAACTTTCTGAATGTTTTATAGCAAATTTTGTTTGTTAATGACAAGATAAGTAACATTTTCTATGAGAATATAAGAATAAATTTACATTGTGTTAACTATTTTGAATCATTTTTTCAAAATGGACTAAATTTTGTCACACAATACGAAGTTGTAATGAGTGAATAGTGTTTGTGAAAAGCCAAGTCAGTTTTCCTCTTTTGTATCTCTTCCAAATATGACAGTAATTCAGCTATTTTGCTTATGAAAATGTAATTAATAGAATGTTTAGTAGTGTCTTCAGTAATAACAAACATATTTCACTCGTGTCAAATAATTTTTGTATCTTTCACTTGTAATTCCCATTCAAGAAAGATACTAAAATATTAGACACACTTTTGAAGTATATTTGTTATCACTGAAGACACCATTAAATATGCTCTATCTAACTTGATTAAGCTCTGATGAACAAATGATAACATGTTTCCACTGTGAATCTGACAATTTTCTCTTAATTATAACAAAACTTGTTGCACAATACAGTATATTTCTTAAACTAATTCTCAAAATAAATGTATTGTTTTATAGATAATCAAACTAAATCATTATACCAGTGGCCGGCATGGTATCCTTGACCTCTGACCTTTTTGCAAACACAGACCCCATTTGTATATCATCTTCTTTCTCTGGTTTGATGAGGAAGGCACCAAGTTTCTTTGCACCAACCTAAAATAAATTTCAGATGAATGTCTACTATCATACAAATAACTTTATATATAGATAAACAAAAACAGTGAAAATATTATCGGAAAACACAATGTATAGGTCATGGTATAAAGACATAGGTCCTTCATCATTGTGAATGACACTGTGATACTGATCTGATCATAACAAAGGAAATTGAGGGAATGATTTTTATCTGATCAGTTAAGAGTTATCTCCTCTTACTTACAGAAGGTTCCTCCTTATCTCCTGGTGCTGGAGGAGAATGGAATTTGATGAAGGACAATCCGTAACTAGACGTCTGAAATTAAAAAATCCCAGAAATTTGCAATTAACAATAAATTTTAAATGGAATACAGCATCTTCAACAACAGTACTTATTCAGAAACAAGGCTTCACAACATGTAAATTAAAAAATCTCTGAACATTTTACAACTAATAGACAAAGTCCAATTAATGGTGAATTATATTTGTTTGTTTGCTGGGTTGATCTCCCCACAGCCAAGGTCATTCTGAGGCAGGATCTCCTTGTAAGTAAATTGTAAGTGAAATTTAGAATCTGAAATCATTGTGTCGAGATAGCCATGCATCTTTAGTATATTCCAGGTTTGGTGATGACTACACATGTATTTAGAGACAAATTTAAGCTCAAAACAGAGCTGAACACAAAACTTTAACTTTTGTTTGATAATTTATGAAGTCCAATTAACCATCAAGTAGAGACTAAAATCATAAATAAACCCATGTGCATAGAAGGTCTTGCTTATAAAGTTGAAATGATTAAATTAAATGTAGATGCCAACAACGCCATCAAAAATCTCCCTCCATAAATCTGTAAAAACATATTCCTTATCATAGAACTATCTCTAAAAGTATGATGTAAAGTGTAAAATTGAATAATTAACATAAAATGATATTCCTTAACCAAATTAAACTTGAAAAGATTCAAACACACAAATAAATCAAATTCAATTCTAAGTGGTTTACAGTATATATATTATGACAGTATAACAAATAGCATTTAAATTTCTAAACTGTGTAACACAAGATCTATCTCTTCTATGTAGTAGTTTAAAAGTAAAATCACCAACAGTGTTAGTTCAGATGGGTATAATATACCTGATCAAATAAACCATATTTACCTTATTGAAGGGTTGTGTGCAAACAATCTTCACTCTGTCCCATTTTTCGCTGACAGCAGTTTTAGAGAGTTTCTCTTTACCAAACATGCGTACACTGTTCCTATTTGTATTGTTACGACTATCCATTGGACTCATAAATGAGGAGGCCACAAGAAGCACCTGTTAATGCAGTCAAATGTTTCACCAGTAATACAGAGGGATGTTGATGTCCAATATAACAAGCTATAACATCAAAACCACATCAGGATCCCTAACCTTTGATATCCTTCAATTTAATATAAACTGACTGACAGATAACTAATGAATTCGCAGAAGATGACAATTATGACTTTGACCTTTAACCTGTATAGCGAGGAAAGTGATGTTACAAAATTTGTCAAAGCATGCTTTCAAGAAATAACAATAACAAACTTTATCAAGAGAAATTAAAGATGGCCGTCTGTCGGCCATTTCGTTTTTCTTATCAGACCCAAAATCAAACTGGCACAACTAGGGACCAGGGGTAACCTACATATGAAATTTGAGAGATCCACAGAGTACTTCTGAAGAAATAGTGATAACAATATTCATTGAAAAAATCCAAGATGGCTGCCTGTTAGCCACTGATCAGTCCCAAAATCAAACAAGCTCAACTATGGACGAAGGGGAACCTACATATGAAATTTGAGAAAGATCCCTCCAGTACTACTTAATAGAATAGCAACAACAAAAATTGTTTATGAACAGACAGACCACAGACAATTTGAGAAGTTCACTATCTGATGGTGGGCTAAAAACCTATAGTAATTTTTGCCATCCCCTTATAGCCCTTTATACCGAAATGGTCAAGCTCAGATAATGTCTACATTTTGACAAATCAGAGGCCAGGATTGTGTTGCCATAGTAACTGTTTCTGTAAACCTCCTCATGTTTCCTTTTATATGCTTTGATTTGTTATACTATTTGACCGTTGTCAAAAAATAAAATCTGCAGAATTATCAAGAAATAATGGCTATTTATAGTAAAACCTGTTTACAATTACCAGTTACCACAGCAATGAACATTTTTTGGGCAAAAAAATCATATGCACATCTACATATGGTCCTTTACATTGAAATTTGAGTTTCATTGGAATTGGTTCATTAGTTTAGGAGGAGTTCTCCAGACAATAATACTGTATATACCATAACAATATATTTACATTTATATATATTTAAATTCTCATTTGAATTCAGCCAATCAAGCTTCAATATGTCATCAGTATATATATCAGTAACATTTAGATATGACATACTTTCTACGGTATATTTCATTTTCTATTAATAGTAACGGTGACCTTAACCTTTCACTTCTAAGCATGAAAAGCCACTGAAAGCTAGCACTTAAAAGGGCTCAGTATATTTTGCAGAAACTGATTTTCAATTCATAGTAACTATGACCTTGACATTTCACCTCAGGACCAAAAATTCACTCTCACATAAACATTTCCTTCAAAGAAGCATTGGGTAAATCTTATGTGTAATTGACCAAACAGGGCTCAAGATACTGTGAAGAATAAAAAAAGGGGGAGACAACCTGAATACTAGTAGGTACCATACCTCCATCTTCAGCGCTGAACCTTGATAATATCTGACTTGGTTTTTTATCTCAACAAAGTTTTGTTTGGTGAAAATTTTCCTACAATGTGCCACCTGATCACTGTGATCCTAACCTACCTGATAATCTTTGTCTTCTTTAGCTGATGATTTACCAACCAGCACCTCAACAAAGGCTGAACCTTCATTTCCAATGTCAATACTGTTTATAAGTGATGCTTTCTCAAACTGAAAAAAAAAACATAAAAAAAGACGTTTAAGGCAAAACAGAAAGGTAAAAGGAACCTAAAAACTTTCTAAATCAAAGGCAATAAATCTAGTAATAAATGAACCAATGTGACCATAATGTCAGACATTGCTAGAGAAATGAGAAAGCTTTTTCATCCATAGTAATAATACTGGCACCAACATAGATCAGCCAAGATTGTACATGTAGCTAGACATCTTGAATTAGAAAATAATCATAAGGTGTCACAATACTTGTAAAAAATATGAAGGTCTACCATCACAAAGTGTATTTATCCAGTTAATAGAGCCATGACAATGATTCCATATACATTGTTGTTGTGACCTCAATCTTGTACACATGATGAATACTATCTCAGATTTCAAAAGTGACTTTTGAATTGAAGTCATGGAGCTTGTGTCTTTTCCCTCTGTGCAAATAGAAATACCTGCAAGACAACTGTAGCATGCTTATCCACTGGAGCTGTGGTCTTCCATTTGTGTGCACCTTCTGCTTTCAAGATGTTGTCAGCTGGAAATCCCTGGACAAATGCATAAACAAATATATTGTGAAACATATATAAATGTAATATGAATTCATATGAATATTTGCATAAATACTGATACATGTATGAATATCATATGTCTAAAAGTAATCTAAAACCATTTCCTAGTATAGCATGTATCTTTGATCTGGAATGATTCCAGTGAAATATATAAAAAAAAAAAAAATCAAGCACATGTGACCTTTAATGCAACTTGATATACAGAATAATTCACGAAAACCAAAAGTACACATTACACATACATAGGTCAGTCTTTGGACATAATTCAATCATGATTTTAACTTTAAGAAGAGTGTCAAGCTGTGCCTTTTCTGAGGGTGTTCTTACTTGAAAACAAGCTGACTTTTCCAAAAATAAATTTAACATCTCTATGATTCTGAAAATTCTAAGAATACCCCTTATAAAATTACAATCAAATTTAAGTGAATAGATTCTGTGTTATTTTGATAAGTGCTATACTACAGATATCCCACTGACCACAACTACTGACCAGATATCCTTCTCAGTAATGGTAACTGCTACACTACAGATATCCCATTGATCACTACCACTGACCAGATATCCTTCTCAGTAATGATCAATGCCATATTACAGATATCCAACTGTCCACTTTCACTGACTATATATTCTTCTCAGTAATGGTCACTGCTACACTACAGATATCCTACTGACCACTACAACTCAGTAGATATCCTTCTCAGTAATTGCCACTGCCATACTACAGATTTCCCACTGACCACTACCACTGACTAGATATCTTTCTCAGTAATTGCCACTGTTATACGACAGATATCCAACTGTCCACTTTCACTGACCAGATATCCTTCTCAGTAATATCCTTCTCAGTAATTGTCACCGCCATACGACAGATACCCTATTGACCACTACCACTAACTTGTACCTTTTACTTCTGAAGTGAATGTTGTGATACGAGACATCATCAGGCAACTTCGTTTGCTTACCTTGTCGGCACTGCTATACGAGACCACGTGTTGGACATTAATTTCAGGCATTTTGTCTGCTGGTTGTCTTTGTACAGACCTTTATATCTGATGTCAAGTCAGCATTTGTATTGTTTACTTCGATTGAAAATGCCGGCGTAACATTTTAATGTCTCGCACTGGCGATTGATGGAGTAGTTTCATTGGCCAAATATGGCATATTCTAATATTACCTAGGAAATCGGAAGCGGTCATATTTTACGGAGTATTTCAATTATTATTATCATTAAGTGGAAACGCATCATTAGACACTACAAATAAGTTTTACTTGGTGTTTCCATGCCAAAAAATAAAGTCAGGGTGCTTCCAAGATAATGAAAATTTGATATCCGGTCATTATATAAAATTTGATTAAATCTGAATCCCTTATGGGTGATGTTGTAATCGATTCTCCGTCGTGACGTTATTCAGTTCGTTTTCGGCCTTTTGACGAATCAATGGCCCTTATAAATTTGATTATACCATTTTGCGAGTTACGACCCTTTTAAGTTCGAAAGTATTAACGAGATTTTCCCCGTCACACCAAAAGGCATTGAGGCACTCTGTTAGTGGGTAGAATTTTTGTTGGTAAGAAAAGTATTTAGTTTCTTATAATCCTTCATGACCGTCATTTAATGAATTTTTTATTTTGTTTTGTTTTTGTTTCTTTTAAACGTGATGTCGTTTTAAAACTTAATTTGTGTGTTGTTATATTAAAATCTGTTACTAAGTACTTATGTTGTTTCATATTATCATTAAGTTAATTTGTGACTATGATAAGCTGAGGGGGACCAGCTATGATAATACTTTTATTTTGATTATATATTATTATTATAAATCATGGGTGTCTGTGTTGTATATAGGAAAGTTGTAAAATCTTGTGTCTAATTTTAGTGTAAATATTTCACATACACAAACAAAAGATATGTTGTAAACATCCATATAAAATCCAACTATGATATGTCACCATGGTAACATATTAACCCCAATATACAGCTCGGCTAGAGAGAATTTCCCTTTAGCTCGATCTGTTGAGCGTCAGGCTACATGTAAGCCAGTGGTCCACGGTTCGAATCCATACAGAGGCATTGAAATAGATAATGACCCGTTACATATACTTCAGACCAGCTAAAATTACGAGGAAGTGCTTCGTGTTAAGGAACTGTTAGATATAGAATTAAAAGTTCATGCTCTTAAATATGGAATCAACAGTTCGCGGAATAATACTGAACAATGCGACACTTACATGTATAAAAGAACAGGTAAAACACAGGAATCGAACCCGTGTCTCCAGTGCAATGATTAGTTTGCTCCGCGTGCTGATCCGTAGTGACAATATATGCGTGTAAGAAAAGTTTATAGAAGGCCGTCAGCTTTTTAATAATATCATTACGTTTTTTCATGACTAGTAAATGATAACAATGTTCTTCAATGGTATTCGGAATCGCTCTGTATTTTTATTTTCGTATTTTTTCTCTTTAAAATTGATAAAAACTCTATTTTACTAAAGACGACAATCTTATTTAAAAGAAATCAGTTAATTATATATTTGGTTGACTACATAATCAGCATTGTTCCGTGAATAAATGATAACTAGCCTTACAGAAAACAATAATTCTGCCAGGATGGGCTTATTACCAGACATGTTCTTATTTTCAGATAAATATAGTAATTCCATGTTAAATTATCAAATTTTGTCAGACTCTGAACATATATCAGACATGAAAAAATGTGCTCGTGTACTGTGACTTCCGTCTTAGGATATACATGATGTGAACGTATATTACCTGTTGTTGATGGCACCAGAAGACTTGGTGGATACTGAGGTAGTGTGCTTTTAAATGTACATGGGTAAAGTTGAATTTTATCAGACGTGTATATAAGCTACTTATTTTTAATGATGATAAGTCAAAATAAATAAATAAGATTAATAAAAGCGGATCTCTTGAAAAAAAAATCCTTTCGATATCCGGATTTTTTATACCGCATAATTATTTTGTTTTGTTATTATCTACTCCTGGCAATTTTACCAGGACAAATTAAACATGTTTTGTTAAATATTCATAAATATGATTGTGATGCACGCTATTAACAGTATCTTAAGGTAATCTTTGTGAGTTAGGATATTTTATAAAAGCAAATCATAATTTTATAAAAAGTAATCCCGCATCTTTGTTTACAACCTGATGGTCGAGGAGGAATATGGACGTAAATATCCGCTCGTCTTTCATTTGAATATTAAGATAAATATAACCGGAATTCGAAATAGTTTTACGCAAAGAAGGTGAGATGTATGAAAATTGAAAAAGCTCTTGATCTTGATGATTGGCATTGTTATGAATACAAACGTACATTAACCTTATGATGAAGACAAACATTCCCTCCATCTTTCCTCGGTTCCTCTTCATCTGTCTGTATTAGGGTTTAATCGTAAATAGCAAGTGGTCCACAGCGTGAATGCGATGTAGCTAGTTTTCACCGAAGTAAACTATGATATTTGCAACTCCCACCCTCACCATTCACGCCGCCCGATGCTGTTGTAAATACTTATTAAAACGTATGCTTCAACATCTGATCACAGAAACCGGTGATCTGATGATTAAGATACAAGACTGGAAGTACGACTTGATCGCCATCCATTTTTGTGCTGCATCGGTTGTTAATCTTATCATTATACCATCTGATAGAGCGAAGCAAAAGGAATTTGAACTAACTAGGATATCTGTATGACCATCTTGATAATTCTGACAAATTTGTCCAGGTGCAAAAATACTGAGATGTACAGAGATGACCAAATCGAAGAGATTCCAGTCTGAGGCTTGATTACAAGACAACTTGAAATATAAAGGTCTCAGTGGTGATATTGCAAGGGATGCCCATATTGATTCAATCTGATAGACCATTTCTGTAATACTATTTATTCCTTCATACAATCTCTACAGTAACACTGTTATTGGTTTAAATTTAGGCTCCTGAAAATTTCCTAACTATGGAGGATGTGAAGAAAACAAAACCTGTTAAGGAAAAGAAGAAGAAATCGCAAGGTAATGAAAAGAATTTACTTGTTCTGAAAATAAACAAGTTTTGCATAGTTTTTACAAATACAATGTTTCTAAGGGAACTATCAACAATGTTGTTTTTCAATCTTGGGTGGAAACTCTTGGGGAGAATGGTATAGTGCCATTAATGAGGAGACAAATGTAATATTATGTGACTCAGCAGACATCATATCCCATGGCCTGTCTGTCTTGAAGCAATTGACATTTGTATTGGATAGGAAAAATAAAGCAGCTGTGAAAATATTAAACTGCAATTGTTGCAAGGTATGCTTTATGACTGCAAATTTAACTTTTACAGGCTGAAAAAAAAATCAATCTTATTTTGTTTATTTCATAGGTCCAAAGAAGGACAGAAAATCTGCAGAAACACAGCAACAGCAGCAGAGTGGAGCTGGATTTGCCTCACAGTTTTTCGCCCAATCGACACAACTACAACAGCAAGAAGGGATTGTTCTAGGGGACAATCACAGTGGCTTTGTGGAACGAATGGCTGCCCAACATCTTTCTTCAAGTGCTCCATTCACAACTACACAGCATGGTACCAGCCTTAACTCTGCTCCGAGCTCCCTCAGAACTCCTACCAACTTGCCCCCTAAGAAGAGCATCTCACCATCAAGGATGGCTGCACTCACAGAACATCAAGGTCAAAGTCAACGTCATCTACATCTAGGTCTAGGTCAAGGCCGACCATGGCAATATCATTTCACAGGTGTTTTATTTATAGCAAATAGGCATGGTAGAAAAAGGCTTGCTAGCCGGCTTGGTTTGACTGCCTGTGATGTAAGGAAACATCCCCTATGCTTGCAGGCTTTATGTGGTTTGGTAAAAAATATATTGAAGGGGTTAAGGTAAGATAACTGCAACACCAACAGTTTCAGAATTTTTGGAGTTCTTGTGACATCTCATATAACATATAAAAAAGGAATTTTTTTTCATATATAGTTTTTTCAGTTTGAGATATTTAGATCTACATGAAATATAAGGTTCATGAATGTAAACTGATTCTAAAAGGTTCCACCAGTTCACAAAGTTAAATGATTTTGAAGTTTGTTAATTGAGTGTAACTTGAGTGTATACTTCTATGCACATGTGATTTTTTTCATGATGCATTTTACTTGTACCAAGATTGAGTTGTACAAAAAATATGTAATCTACATGGATACAGTGACGTCATCATATAGAAGTTATGATCATTTAGAACACTTTTAAGTTAGCAGCCATCATGACCAGTTATTAAATTAATACCTACAATATTACAAAACTTTACATAAAATTTAAGTAAAGGAGCTCACAACAAACATAATCATGAGGAACACACTCTCATCACCTCATGTAAGTAGCCCTCAAGGCCTCTCTTGTCAGGGCTGTTCTAGAAACAAGGTGAAGGTCAGAGAGCAAAAGCAAAAACAAGTCCCCAAGGGCTATTCTACGAACAAATAGAAGACTCCTGATACTTGATCAGATTTATTGAATTAATCCAACTATCAAATACTTTTAATCATACTTTGGAATACAGGGAGATTAATTTGATCTCTTGCTGTGTTACTGAGACACTGTGGACCCTCAAACTTTGTGTGTACAACCATCTGTCATACTGATTCCAACTGATTAAAAAGACTCTCCAGTTTTAATGGCATGTCATGTTTGAAACCTACTACCTTGAATTTTTTATCTAAAATTTCATTCTCATAATATTTCTAAAGATAGAAGTGATTGAAGCAATTGTTTGACTGAATGTTGATGCTAGATCATCAGATATATATGGTATGAAGTATATTACCAGTACACTATAAACATATTAACATAGTACATTCTGAATATCAGAGTATGATACATATGCTATACCTATATATATGTATGTTACAAATGCATGACAATGAATCGAAGAATTCACAGAATTTACCTTGTGATGAATAAGGAGCTTATATAACATCCAATAACATCTCTTGTCAGACTGACCTACATATGTATGCTTTAGAAACTAGGTTTGACCAGAGTAAACGATTTGGCTTTTTGAGATTACAAGGACACTTTGCCTGCAGTTTTTTTGACACAATTACTGGTGTCACTTGGTTACCATAGTGATGAGCTTGCTAGAAATTTTGTTTCCACTATTTGCATTTTGAAAGCATACTTTAGAAAATGTTTTTCATATTGTAAAATGAAAAACCTCATTGCAAACAATAACTGTAATCAAAACATGGTGCTACCTTTTGTTTTTAAAAGAATGTAACTTTTGATAAATATATTGTACATTGAATGTATGATCTTCAGTATCTACACTAGCCAAGCGTTCTGCTCATATACACTCATTTAAATCAGGGTAGGATGAACCCTTGGCCAATGAACATTGATCTGTAGCCAATCAGCTTGATAGTGCAGTCAATTTCAGTCCAAGAATTGAATTTTGTTTAACAGATATATTGAATTGCTGTTCCCTTTAGTGATTATGATCCCGTGATCAGAAAGTGTTTTACTTTTTTAATTCTTGGTAACTGTTATATACTTTACATATATAGGTACTTTAGAAAAGACATATGTATGTATATACATATATGAAATATTTGACAAATATATTGTTCTCTATTTTAAAGGAGTTCCAGCAGGCTTTCAGAGTCCAGTATCTTCATCTGGTACAGCTGCTGAGCTTGCCGCCCACTTAACATCAAAACATCCTACAGGTAGTACCAGTAGGTCAGAGGGATCAGACCAAGAACAAGGGGGGTTACTCCGTCAACAGCTCCTGCAGCAGAAGATGACCCTTCCATCTGAACTGTTGAGTCAACCTGAGAGAAAGTTCAGTCCCTACCAACCATCACAAGCTATGTCGATAGGGACTGCAGATAGAGGAAAGGAGAGCCTTTCGCCTCAAAATATCAGATACCACCGGGAGGATCTTGGAAGGACCCAAGCTCCTCCTAATGTGCAGCTGCCAACGTTTGGGTCAAAAACTGAGACTGGACGGATTTTAGGGGGTCATCATAGCAGAGCTTTAGGACTTGAGGAGAAAATCAACTTCCCTCAACACTTTGATTCTGGTCCTGGACCTGGAAAAATTCAGCTGCAGAGAATTGTGATACCAACAACAAGAGAAGAGGTCCGTCGTGCTGTGTCCCCAGCAAAGAGGGAAACTCTGCCACAACCCGCACATTTAGGTGAACAAACAGCGCACCAAGTGTCAACCATTCAAAGAACACCTTCACCTGCTCATGTGGAGAGGCGCTCGCCAGCACCTTCTTTTGGCAGGTCACAAGAACAGGTAGAGAAAACACAACCAGTCAATTTGTCTATTCCAGAGTTGCACAAGAAACAAAGTAGTGGAGTGAGCAAGAAGCAAAGCAGCAAAGCAGTCTTGTCATCATTGTATGCTATACAAGCCCAGGGGAAGACAGGATCTCCTAGCCATGTTGTGTATCACCCAGCCAAGACAGAACAACAAGACTACACAATCAAGGTAAACAATTATATAGTAATTACTGTCTGTTACACTATCATCATTACAGGAACCATCTGTCTAGCTACTGCATGTCTGATGTAACCAGAACATCATAACAACTACCTAACGATAGGTGTGATTACATAGCTACAATACTCCTACCACCTGAAACTGACACCTAGGTGTAGAGAATTTCTTGATAGCTAAACAGGTGTCTTTACAGGAATTTATTGAACCCCTGCTTGTTTAGATTGTGGAGTTTAATAGAAATTTGTTAAAATATTTGTTGTAGAAAACAGATGATTTTGAAAGAAATATTGTAAATTTTCTGTTTTTTTTTTTTTTTTTTTTTAGGTTCTAGAATTAATTATTTAAAGATAATGTTTTTCAGGCTCCTGAATTAAACTTCAGCAAATTAAGTCGAAGTGAGGGAGGCTCCATTTCCATTCCAAGTCAGATTTTGAATACTGCCCAATCAGGAGGTCAGCTACAGAGTCAGATTCTCAACACTGTCCAATCAGGAGGACCATTACAAAGTCAGATTATCAACTCTGTCCAACCTGGAGGACCGTTACAAAGTCAAATTCTGAACACTGTACAGTCAGGAGGACAGTTACAGGGTCAACTTCTCAACTCTGCCCAACCAGGAGGACAGTTGCAGAATGAGATTCTTCGCCAGACTTTACTACAGGGAGTTTCCAATGCACAGATGCATTCAATGAATCAAGCAATACTTTCAGCTCAACGGGTCACGAAGGAGGAGGCAAAGTCACATGATCAGGGACCAATCATGTACAAGTTTGAGGCTGATGGGTCTAGAAAAACTGTCAGCCCCACTCCAAGCTCCCAGGGATCAAGCAGAAGGGCACCTTCTCCTCATCAACATCGTTATTCATCATTATCAGGGAGTATAGAATTAAAACATTCTAGTCCAGCACCTGCTTCCACCTCACATTTGACATCGGCTTCACAGTTAGTTTCCACCACAGCTACACAACAACAAATGAGGTATATAATACCCTCACCCAAAATGTCCACAGCTGGTGCTCATGAAGGTGTACCAGCAGAAGGATTTAGACACAAAGTGCCATCGCCAAAACCTCAACATCGGCATAAGGAGCAACTAGCAGCTTTGCATCAGACATATGCTGCTAAAGGTGCTAATTCCCAATCTTCCTCACAGTCATCCGTAACTGGACAATCGTCAGTACACGCCTCTCACACATCTTCTGTACAGTCATCTCACATGTCTTCTATACAGTCCATGCTTCCATCAACAGTACCAACATCAATCAGTTTACCACACAACTCTGGCCAGATTCGTCAGCCAGTGGTGAGTTTAGTCAGACTACCTGATAGCCACACCAAACAAGAAGAGAAAAGAATTGTTCCTCAATACTCAGTAATACAAACATCTCAGGACACTGGAACCAGGGTTGATGTTCCCCAGTCTGATAAAATATCTATTGCAGATATATTTGAACCTGCTAAGAAACAGGAACAACCCCAGAAACCAACAGTGCAGCACACTAAGCAAGTCAATCCATTCACATTTCCGGCAAAGGCACATGCCAAGCTTTTCCCCTACCACCATCTTACAATGGAGAACAGGGATGACCTTCCATTGGTGAACCAGAAGAGAATAACTCCATCCCCAAAGGAACCGCTTATTGCTGATGCTGCTGATGACATGCCAAAGCTGCTCCCAGTTTCACCTGTCAACTCTCGAGAGAATGACGAAAGCAGACATAAGGAGAATAAGAATGTTGACATGGAAGAATTAACTCCCATTGTAAGTACTTTAAAGTATTGTTTTATTTTGTTTCATACAGATGTTTTACCTTTGCTATTTTTTATAAATTTTTTCCAGATAGAATTACTAAAATGTGTCTTTGAACCATGTTTTTGTTTGCTATCGAACACGAGTGTCCTTAGTGTCCGAAATTATTAAGAAGGTATAAAGCAGGTTCCAGGAATGATACTCTGCACACTACCATGTAGAACAAGAAGAAGACAGATGGTGAAGCAATATTGATTAAAACAGTGCCTGCGTATATTGCCAATATTAAAGAAAGCATGATTTCATCATACATCTGGGAAAAGTACTCCTGACAGACAATAATAATGCAAAAATAGATCAAGACATTTCAATATTACTGCTAATCCACTGGTCTCTTGTTAACTGTGGGAAGTTGCAAGCGTGACATAAGACATTTTGGAATCTGGAATTGAAGTACATGACATTGGTGTCTTCATAACCTATTTCCATGAAAACAGATAATAGAATTATTCTTTTTAGATGCACATTTAAGTAAATATATGTACTGCGAAATTCCTGAATTTTGGTTGCTTCAGAGAAAGTGAATGAATGCAAAAATTAAATTTCTTAATGTTTTATTGCTTTAAATTGTAAAAAGAAAAGATGGGGGGAAAAAGGATAGGAAATTCCCATAGAATTTTAGGTACTTTAGAAAACACAGAACAAACTTGGGGAAAAATTAAACATGTATCTGGTATACAGTGCCAGTGATAAACCATACTTGGAATAAGGAAGGTCCTGCTGATGTATTACATAAGTATTATGCCTGATGAAATACTTGTATTTATGTTGGAAATTATAATGCAAGTAACAATTTCTATTTCAGCCCAATCCATTCAACATGAGGTTACAGAATCTTGCAAATCTGCCCACCACCTCCATATATCGTTCCTCCTACAGGGCGCACTCAGTCGCTGTACAAAGAGCCAAGTGAGTATTGCACACAGTCATCAACATTTAAGATTGAAAAACCTTATCTGTCCACCACCTCCATATACCATTCCTCCTATAGGGCGCACTCGGTCGCTGTACAAAGAGCCAAGTGAGTATCGCACACAGTCGTCAACCTTATCTGTCCACCACCTCTGTATACTGCTGATGTTTTTTATACCCAATAGTCTATCTGATCCAAATAATCTTGCTTCTCTGCTAATTATACATGTAACTATCATTGCTAACATTGAAGAAGTAAGTCTTACGGATCATTTATTTTTAGATATAGATTATACAGACTAATAATTGGGACAAGAAATGTTATGATTTAATCAAGAAACAACATGATTGCGTCAAGAAACACTATGATTAAGTTAGTAAACAATATGATTGAGTCAATAAAATACTGTGATTGAGTCAAGAAACACTATGATTTAGTCAATAAGCCATTATGATTAAGTCACTAAACAACATGATTGAATCAAGAAACACTATGATTAAGTCAGTAAACAATATGATTGAGTCAATAAAACACTGTGATTGAGTCAAGAAACACTATGATTAAGTCAGTAAACAATATGATTGAGTCAATAAAACACTGTGATTGAGTCAAGAGACACTATGATTTGGTATATAAAACATTATGATTTAGTCAATAAAACACTGTGATTGAGTCAAGAAACACTATGATTTAGTCAATAAAACATTATGATTGAGTCAATAAACAACATGATTGAGTCAAGAAACACTATGATTTAGTCAATAAAACATTATGATTTAGTCAATAAAACACTGTGATTGAGTCAAGAAACACTATGATTTAGTCAATAAAACATTATGATTGAGTCAATAAACAACATGATTGAGTCAAGAAACACTATGATTTAGTCAATAAAACATTATGATTTAGTCAATAAAACACTGTGATTGAGTCAAGAAACACACACTGTGATTAAGTCAGTAAACAATATGATTGAGTCAATAAAATATGATTTAGTCAATAAAACATTATGATTTAGTCAATAAAACATGATTTAGTCAATAAAGCATTATGATTGAGTCAAGAAACACTAAGATTGAGTCAAGAAACACTATGATTGAGTCAAGAAACACTATGATTCAGGTCAGTTACACTGTGGTCAAAATGCTTTATGTTTGAATCAACTTACCCGGTGGAGTTATTGCACTGTTGTTGAATCAAGTAAGATTTACAAAGGTCTGTATGTATGTTTTATTTTATGCAGAAAGTTATCATATATACCTCCAAAAAATACAGGTTTGACATTTTATTAATTTCAAAGGTCCGGTTGTATAGTGAGTGCTGCCAAGTCTCTGGATTTACTGCGACAAAATCTACAGAGATTTATCAACAAGGAGATCGATGTCATCATACAACAATATGTTGAGGTGGGCTATACTGTTACTTGTGATACAGATTTACATTTAAAATGTTTGCGAGGTTTATCGTCTTGTCACCAGCCAATGTTATTTTGAGGTGAAGTCTCTTTGTCGAAGATCATGTGGTTATCTTACATAAAGACATATGGGAGGCTGTCACATGCTGTCAAAATCATTTGACATAAAGTTGTCTTTCCCAAGGACTCTACCAGGACAGCACAGAGAAACACAAATAATTACTTGAAGGTTTCACTGTCTTCGATCCCATCTGTGGGTTGTTAATGTAGGTCACATGAAGCCCTAAGGTGTGTGCTTGGATCCTTACTGTGGATGGTTAATGTAGGTCACATGAAGCCCTAAGGTGTGTGCTTGGATCCTTACTGTGGATGGTTAATGTAGGTCACATGAAGCCCTAAGGTGTATGATTGGATCCTTACTGTGGGTGGTTAATGTAGGTCACATGAAGCCCTAAGGTGTATGATTGGATCCTTACTGTGGATGGTTAATGTAGGTCACATGAAGCCCTAAGGTGTGCGCTTGGATCCTTACTGTGGGTGGTTAATGTAGGTCACATGAAGCCCTAAGGTGTATGATTGGATCCTTACTGTGGATGGTTAATGTAGGTCACATGAAGCCCTAAGGTGTGCGCTTGGATCATTACTGTGGGTGGTAAATATTTCTCAGGTGAAGCCCTAAGGTGTGTGCTTGGATTCCTTCTGTGGGTGGTTCATGTTTCTCAGAAAGATGGAATTAAAGACTGTCCTGTACTCTTATGGGTTGTATCCTTTGTAAAGTTATTTAACCCCATTTGATTTGGATAGTATGTTACATGCCTCTTGCTGATGTGTATTGAGGAAGTCACTAGCTTCTACAAGGAGAACCACCTCAAAATGATCTTGGATGTTGACAGGATGATAAACAAAGCAGACAAATAAGTCTGCAGAGGAGAATCTGAGAGAGAAATAATCATTTTGTATTTTTATTTCCTTCAGAAATTTTTCAAGCCAGGTATTGAAAACATCAAAGAGAACAGTGGAAGTGTAGCTGTTAGTGAGGAACACATACAGGCAGTGTGTCGACAGATGCTGGAGGAGGTCAGTTTCACTAGTTTGGTCATTAAGTCTTACATCCTTAACATATATTTGCTGTGGGTTGACAGTGCTTGATACAGAAGGCGTAATGTTGAAAATTTTCATCACAGATTATTTGAATTCATAAAATCTCAGTAAAGCAAAAATGTCTTGCTGTGTAAAGGTGACAAAGTGAATGATACATTGTCCCATAGAAATTTCATGAAAACTGATTTCAAACCAACATGTTTATTGTAGCAAGGAGATGGACAGTTGTATTTGTTGTATCATAAAAAGAAAAATATGTGAGCGTGAAAAATATGTTTGATATGCCTAAGATCAAAAATATATTTAGAATTAATGATGTTGAATCAAATTTTGGTTCAAACAAGTTCCCAGTATTGAGGATGTCAGATTTATTTCCTAGCAGTGTAATATGGAAATGTGTAAACTGAAATAAAAGAGCCCAGACACTAAAGATTATCCTCTCCATCTCCAATTCTTATTCTCTTACTTTCTGTGTATATTTGCAGGCTAAAAAGATGTACCTGTCAGACCAGGGTCGTTGTAGTGTAACTCCTACACGAGACATCCCTGACAATGTGTCTGAAAATGGCAGCACTGGCAGTCGCAGTAGAGTAAGTTTTAAACATACCTATTCCCTCTGCTTTATGTTTACTGAGATTTAATTTAACAGGATTAGCAATTGGATGAATTCTAAACAGGATTTATATTTTAATCAGATGTTGTAAATCTGTCCAGTATACTTTGTAAAAACCAGACATTTTGTGAAAAAAGAGACACTTAAGAGGGCCCAGAATACACTTTGTAAAAAAGATTCATTGAAAAAAGAAATCAATTTTTTAAAAAATGACAAATACTATTGGAGATTTGAAAGTCGTTTATAGCACCACTTTGTAAAAAATATTAATTGAAAAAAAAATCCATTGTTTATGACAAATACTATTGGAGATTTGAAAGTCGCTGATAGCACTTTGTATAAAAGTGTCCAGGAAATGAAGTTTTTATTTATTATGGCAATAAGTATTTTGAGATTAGAAAATCAGCAATTAAGTTTGAGTTTATTACATCAAAGACTAGACACAACAACAGGGTTTCCCTTTAGTTGTTCAGTCTCCCAATGAAAGGAAAGTCATAGTCTTTTACACCTGTTTGTAAATTGTTGGGACAGGTTTGTAAACTGTCATCAGTTACACATACCAGCATACTGTACATATCACCAGTTTGAGGGAGTTATTTGACTCTGTCATTTTATGATTTTAGGTACCATTTGGTAGAAAGAGGAAACCGTCGGACACAGATTCAGAAAAAGGAAATGCTATTCCAAGACGGGTGTGTAAAAATGACATGACTATATCTTAATAATAAGAATATTTGACTAATTTAAAGTCAGATCATTCATATGCGTATTTTGAGGTAGAATGTAAGTTCTGGTATTCTATGTTATATATAAGGCTAGGCTCATGTGCTTCAGGTAAATTAGTTACAGATATTCAATATTGTAAATTGAAATAGCTTGTTATAAACAAGATCTTTTATTTTTTCAGAAAAAGGGAAGACCTCCCCTTGTATCTGGGTATGTATAACATGATAATCATGTAAATCTGTGGTCTGGTACACAACAGTAGCTCAATATTATCAAAACATTCAACATATCATCATTTCTTCCCAACACATCTGATAGTCCACATGGAGATAAATGCCCCAGTTTTGTTAAAACAATATCACTTACCTGACTTCTTTATTGACCATAATTATTGGTTTAGTTTTATATGATATGTTTATCCCAATGATTGGTAGTAATTGTGAGTAGCACACCGGAAGCTATTAGAAAATACAAGAATCGTGAACAATTTTCAGGCATCTGCATCACCAAGCATGTGCCTTCCTCTCATACAAATGTACGCCATATATTGGTTCACTCAGTTCTCTGTTTTATCATAACTATATACATATTCATGTTGTTTTATTGTGTGATTAAGTGTAGTCAGCAGTTGAGGCACTATGTGTTAAAAAGTTGATAGAACAAAGACAAACATGTTTCAAAATATTTTCCACTTGGATTTTAAAATATCATCATACAAATATTACAAAATAGTTTCCAATAGCATTGTGGAATACATGTTTGAAGTGTTCATGAGAGTATTCATGATAGGCTGTCTTTCAAGGTTATAACTGACAAAGTGGAATTCATAGATTTCATTCATTTCTATTTTTGTAGTCGTTCCACTCCTTCTAAACTGAAGAACAACGATCCAGTAAAAAGAGAAGGTCCGAAGGTAAGCAATACCTGGTGTAGTCATTTAACCCAGTAAAGAATGAAGTTACGAAGAGAATACAAAAAGAGAAGTTAACACAAGATCACATAAGTTGATATATGTATTGTAACAGTCAATGTATCTACCTACTATTATATTCTACATGCCTTTCTAAAAGTATGTAACATTTCTATTGTAAGTCTAGATTTACAAACTTTCAGTCTTTCAGACTTACAGTCACCATATAAACATTGTGTAACTGCTCTTTACAAGTCAGCTTGTCATAACTTTGATCTCGCATACAATTGAAGCTGCCTATCAATTATCCACTTGAGTTGTTTGTCTTGTCTATTAATCTCAGGTAACCTGCAGGTAGGGCTAAAGAATGTACCTGATGCTCCCGATACATGATCAGCAACAGGCTTTTCTATTCTGACCATCCATCTCTTTCCACATGTCTCCCTTGATAGTACCTCACTTTTGGCCTTAAGTGTTAATGGAACATTAATTTCAAACATTATCTTCTTCTTTTATAAATATACATGTTATACTTTTAATCTTATAACTGTACCAGTGAATGCAAAATTTCATTTGAATGTCGTCATCTCATATCATTAATAGCATTTTACATTCTGATAATCTACCACAACAGTTTTAGAGTATCTATTATAACTTATCGCTGCGTAAAAGTCTCCGAAAATCAGCCAGTCCATCTTAGTATATGTAGATCTTTTTGAGCTCCTTCATTCAGTTTTATTTTATCTTGACTATGATTTTCTTTTTGTCAGTCTTGCTTATTTCATCTGTGAAATTTAATAATCTGTGGTAAAACTGTCAAGTATCAATTTTACTGCAACTTAAATGCATTGTATCTCCATTAAATCCTTTTATAGGGAGTACATGTATTTACCTGTACATTTGTTGCTCAGCTTCTGCCTAGAAATGTTGAAGTGTTAAAACAATATCTTACATAAACACTGTAAGACATCACCTATTGTTTTGTTCTTTATCAAGTGTTTCAGTGTTAGTATCCTTCCTACAATCATTTTGTTTTATTTTGTAGTGGGACCAGGAAAGGCTGAATATCAACTCCTTATTTATAATGGGAGCTCGGGCAAACAAGTAAGACGATGCAGATTCAAGATTACAAAAAAAAAACATTCAGCAGTTCACTTCAATTTTTTAATCTGAAATACCAGAATTTTTGATAATATATAAATGATATAAATGTAATTCTTGAAATGTAAGTGTACCATATCTATAGATATATGTATTCTTTCAAAACAATGGTATCTTACTACCGTTATATGTTAGTACATTTATATATTAAATGCACATAAATCTGAGTTAGGACTATTTTTGAAAAAACAATTAAAATCATCCTATGCAAGGATTCTAGGTTTTGTTTATGGGATACCGCCCATATAATAGATAATTAGCTTAGTATGATGAGCAGGAAACCAAACAATGGGTAGAAGTGATTTATTTTGGGGTCCTGGGGTCAAGTAGATGTTTATAGAAACACTCAATTAAACAGTCGGTATTGATAACTTAATGCTTTCTATATCTTAATTAATTTTGATTACTAGTTTCTTTTCAATATGGCCTATTCATACCTCAGTATACACTAGATAATTTAATTGGAGAATATTGTGACTTCTGAGGCAGCATATCAATATGATATGTTTGTTTTCTGTTGTAGAGCACTAGGTCTTGGAGCCACAAGAGGAAGGATCTACATCAAACACCCAGATCTCTTCAAGGTAGGTCATCTAATCAGTAGCCGTGGTAGTCAGGATTACTGATGTGTTGGTCTGGTGCAATCAAGTCCGAGCCTCAGAACCGCTCTTAAAAAAATTCTAATTTGATTTCCATAGTGCTGAAAGAATGATGTCTTAGTTAGTTAGGTTAGTGGTTACTGTAGCCCCACAATGGCCAAGCAGCTTTCCTCTAAGAATTTTTCTTCCATCAGGAATAAGAGAATCTTAAATGGGTCTAGTGCTGACCAGCCAAATGTTACATGATGGTTGCGATATCCCTGTCCTTGGATCATTTGATCGTTTGATCATTTTTCATCCATACTAAAAAGATGTAACAAACTGCAATTAGTTGTGAGACTTGTTTGTCACACCATCATTGATATCTTATGAAATGTGAGTCAAAATCAAAGACAATCAATTAGTGATATGGTTATGTACTTAACATGATGACAGTGCAAACCCATTGTGAGTACCCTCAAAGCATGTGTTAGCTATCTTTTACCTACCTAGGAAAAGACAGGTTGTTCTTTTCCCTATAAAAAATAGAAATGCTCCCGTAAAATATGAGAGAAATATTTTTCTGTTCTTATGCAGGACTCCACAAAAGTCTCAAGATCGTTCATATTTTGTCTGTTTAATTATTTAGAGATAACTGTTATGCAGTTAACAGTGAGTAAGTGGAGTTAAGCGTGAAGTTAGCACTTGAATCCAGATGTTTTGGGCACAAATTTCCAATTACTCCTTACCATAGTATACAGACTTCCTACATCAGTACTGAATGAGAAGTAAGAATTTGCTGTCATGTTATAGTGCATTGTGTTGTAATGGTGTCCTGTTATGTTATAGTGCATTAGAAATCTTGCTATTTTAGTTTTCTGGAGACCAAGATGACAAACAGTGGTTGTATGAAAACCACCACATGCCGGCCACTGGGGGCAAGGCTTACATGTTACTACTGGAGGACGTCAAGGAGCTGGCAGAGGATGACGAATACAGGTAAAGTCATGATTACAGGGCTCAGATGTAAAAAGTAGAGATATATGTTATTACAGAATGGGAAGCTCACCAAGGACAGATAAGGTCTTGATCATCTGGGTGTTTGTTTGTTTCCTAGGTTTATCATTATATGAACAGCCAGGGTCTTTTTGAGGTGGCTAGCTTAATGAACAGCATTGCTGTCACTTGGCCTCCAGGGCAACCAGAGTAACTTTTCTTGCCAAAAGGGTATAACCATACCAACACAAACCAGTTTCATAGCTTCCTGAGAAATACAAACTGCCACTGATAGGCAACTTCAAACTGCATACCTCCAATCTTTAAGTGAGGTTACGTTTGCCATTGTGCTAACTAACTGAGCTATTGCAGCCCCTTGTACAGATAACAGTAACATGCTTCATCATGATACACAGACCGTTTCTTGAAAATGATAATTCTAAACTGCAGTTTCTTCAATGTTGTCTGGAGACTGTATATAATAAATTACGGCTTTATTATTGTTTCAGAGACAATGGTAACCAAATACCACAAGAACTCATTGGCTTTACCATACCAGAGTGGATGTTGGAGAAGGTTAAAGCACAGATGATGGCTGGTAGAACAGACAGTGCGAAGAAGATGGGTAGAAGTAGATCAACTACACCTAACGAAATACCAGCATCAGCATTACAGGTAAAACAACCCCACAAAATAGGTCGTGTGTCCATTCTACCATTTCTGTAGATAAAATCTTATATGATAACAACTGTACAGTAAGAACATGGAATCTACATTTTACTATCATCTTAAGTCTACTGTCTATTCTTAGGAACATGCTTTCTTCTTACATTTTGCTACAAATGCTGTAAAAGACAATTTCTACACATTTCAGTAAACTCAAGACATTGGAATTTCAAATTTGTCAGAACTTCAGTACAATCATTAATTAGACTAATGGATGAGTAGAGAATTAAATAGGCATTCAAAGATGATTGCTACCTGATGTTCTATGACCAATTATTACGTACTCGAATACCGAGTATTCCTTGACCTATTGATATGGTCTGGACTTGGCAGGGTTTACTTATTGCATTAAAATGTGACAGCACTAATTGTATGTGTATAATTTTTATATTGCATTTGTTGTTGATGCAAAAATCATCATAATGATTGTGCTAATTTGGTAAATAATGATTATCTGCTAAAATTTTATTGTACTACACAAGTACAATGACAGTGTGCTTATAGGAGGTATGCCCCCTGCTTATACATTTGTAGACAGAAAGCAAGATTTATCACCAATTATAGTTACCTAAGTTATACATTTTGTACTACAATAAGATGTACATGTCTAGACCACTATAGTTACCTAAGTTATACATTTTGTACTACAATAAGATGTACATGTCTAGACCACTATAGTTACCTAAGTTATACATTTTGTACTACAATAAGATGTACATGTCTAGACCAGTATAGTTACCTAAGTTATACATTTTGTACTACAATAAGATGTACATGTCTAGACCACTATAGTTACCTAAGTTATACATTTTGTACTACAATAAGATGTACATGTCTAGACCACTATAGTTACCTAAGTTATACATTTTGTACTACAATAAGATGTACATGTCTAGACCAGTATAGTTACCTAAGTTATACATTTTGTACTACAATAAGATGTACATGTCTAGACCAGTATAGTTACCTAAGTTATACATTTTGTACTACAATAAGATGTACATGTCTAGACCAGTATAGTTACCTAAGTTATACATTTTGTACTACAATAAGATGTACATGTCTAGACCAGTATAGTTACCTAAGTTATACATTTTGTACTACAATAAGATGTACATGTCTAGACCAGTATAGTTACCTAAGTTATACATTTTGTACTACAATAAGATGTACATGTCTAGACCAGTATAGTTACCTAAGTTATACATTTTGTACTACAATAAGATGTACATGTCTAGACCAGTATAGCTTAGTAACCAGAGATCATCTACATATGCAACATGTATAAGCACGGCAGTGATTTAATGGTGTATTATCATTCCATGTAACTGCATTAGATGGAAACTCATTACACATTAGATCAAACTCACTCAGAATTATGTCCAAAAACTTCTTCCTTTTTGTAGTTTTTATTAATGATTTTATCAAATTTTGTTTGTTAAGAAATTTCTTTGAATTTCCTTTTTGAACACATAAACAAATTATTTGAGTGGGATCAACATTGCTGGAATGGGGGGAGGGGAAAATTTAGTCGGCCATCCTGGCACCAGTCTGGATCTTTTAGAAAAGGTCAATAAAGAACTAAAACCTGAAAATCATTACTTCCCTGTTTCCTTATTACCACAACTCCTTGCACGTTCAGTACTCTATACTACTGGTATATTTCTGAGTACATAATTTCCAAAATGTTTATGTATTTTTTGTTACATGGTTCGTTTGGTGTGGAATTCATGGATTCACCTTACAACACTGCTGCATTTATAATCCTGTAAACAATTAAATAAGATATGCAATGTTTGCCCACAGGATGATGATGATGATCTGAAACATTTGCCTTTCTCCAGCTTCAGTAGCAGAAAGAACAAAGATGACATGCAGGTAAACATAACTACAGACAAAATACTCATTAACCATTTCAACACTCTCAACATCTTTTCACTAAGAATCACAGGATTGCAGGTTTTGTTAAGATTACCACATGATAAATGATGAACATGTGAATAGGTAGGAAGCTTGGGTGGGAAGACATATTTTACAGTCATGAGTTCATGGAAATTAAACTTTTTTAACAGTGTATCTTTTACAACTTTGTATAATGACTTTTCTTGACTCTGATAGAAGTTGCAGGTGGTCTTTATGTGTAACAAAACAATAATATCTAGTGTGTCATGTTTGTCCAGACAAGAATGAATACCAATCAGTTTTAGCAAATCTTCATTTATGACATAAGTGTAGTTTGGAAGAGTGGCTATTTATGTTTATGACTTATGTATAGTTTGGAAGAGTGGCTGTTTATGTTTATGACTTGTGTATAGTTTGGAAGAGTGGCTATTTATGTTTATGACTTATGTATAGTTTGGAAGAGAGACTATTTATGTTTATGACTTATGTATAGTTTGGAAGAGAGGCTATTTATGTTTATGACTTATGTATAGTTTGGAAGAGAGACTATTTATGTTTATGACTTATGTATAGTTTGGAAGAGAAACTATTTATGTTTATGACTTATGTATAGTTTGGAAGAGAGGCTATTTATGTTTATGACTTGTGTATAGTTTGGAAGAGAAACTATTTATGTTTATGACTTATGTATAGTTTGGAAGAGAGGCTATTTATGTTTATGACTTGTGTATAGTTTGGAAGAGAGGCTATTTATGTTTATGACTTATGTATAGTTTGGAAGAGTGGCTATTTATGTTTATGACTTGTGTATAGTTTGGAAGAGAGGCTATTTATGTTTATGACTTATGTATAGTTTGGAAGAGAGGCTATTTATGTATTTTTAACACGATATTTGTATAAGTCTGATGCAAAGACCCTGAGTTTTTTGTTGTAGTTTTTGGATGAAACAGAGATCATGTTTCTGTCCATGGCAATAAGAAGTTAGGCTATTAGTATGTGATGAGCCTGATTTTTGTTTTTTAGAACTCCCCTTCGGGTGACACAGAAATGGAGTTTCTGACTGGAGCAGACAACGATGACCAGGCATTTACCAGAATGTCACCTTTTACATTGACTGGCGGGTTTGATGAACCCTCCCCGTCACCTTCAGACCTGGACACACTTGAAGATGAGACCCCTCTGAGTGCTCCTTTTGATCTAACAAACTGAGTTGTACACTTAAACCTGACTTAAGTTGCCTCAGGTGTTAGATGGTGGCACATTTATATATATATATAGAGGTGATAAGTAAGTTGAAGGACTGTAATAGATGTTGATATACCGATGTTTCATACCCTTAATAAGCATATCCATGATTTCTCTAGTATGTGATTTCCTTGTCTCACTTTAGGGCAAGAAAAAATACATTAACAATGAAAGCAGTTGAATATTCAATTTTTAAAATGAGATGAATTCACAGATTAGCATATTTATATTTCATTCTTAACAACATGTTTTTTTTTTTCCAATATAATAAGCCTTTGAATGAAATATGGAAGTACCAGTTAAAAATGTTTATATGATATTTCAATGATGATTCTCAGTGACATCCATTAGACAGATTACTGTACACTGAAATGTAAAGTGCACAAAGTAACAATCAAATCATTTCAACGACATATCAATCATGTGTATATTTAGTTGTAAATGTTTAAAATGATATATTAATGTTGATTTTTTTCTGTGCTCTTATTAGGATTCATCCAATTAAGAACCCTGTATCTTTGAGAGTCATACACTGTGTCGATACAGTGTGATTCTCTCAAAGAAATATGATCAATTTTAAGGTTCTGAAACAATTGACAAGTATGAGATTTGGCTGCTGACTGATAACTGGCAGGGCGGCTGTGACAACAAAGGTTTTGTTACTCCAGTTGTATTTTGTCTGACAAATTTGTAAATATGAGAAATCTAATTCACTTTATACAATGTACATGTATATCTATACCATCATTGAAGAGATGTAAAACCTTCAACACTCAAAGTTGGTCAATTTTATCATTTCCTGGTATCAGTGCTGGTAATATGATGTGACGTTTCATTGATAGTCTTACAGAAGATGAACATGGTCACAAAAGTGGAGAACCATGTGAATTACTATAAACAGGTTTCTTTATCGTCCGATAATGTTTATGATATCAGAAATAAAACAAAATAACTGTGATTCACTATCACAAACTCTGAACCACCATTGCACAATTGGAAGTCGGGATCTTCTGTGACAGGTGAGATTGCTATAGAGTATTTAAGGGTAATGAATCGGTAATGATCTGAACGAATTTTGACACGATATTAACAGCAAATGCTGTAACAAGCACCAACAAATATACCATGACTTCTGAGTTTCTTAAGTATCTCATGTTCTTGTTTGGTATCAATCAGAATGTTGGTCATGGTCATTTAAAAGCTTGCATGACTGTCTGTACAAATGTTCCAGTCATTGAATTTAAAAATACTAACAATCTTCACCTGAGAGTTATATTACCAGGCACATACTCAACAGAATCCAATACTCAAGAATATAAATCAATCTCAACATTGGATTTAACAATAGATTTACAAGATACACTACAGCTGTATGTAATGTAGATTCAGGATAAGCTGCACTGTCTATGTTAAAATTCAGGGCAATTTTCGTGAGTTTGGTTTGGTTCTGGAATTCACGAAAGTAAGTCATGCACAAAAGAAAGTCGTTTTACTGTCAGCAGTTTTCTGTCCTGACTTTCTAACTAATTGATCAACAGATAACTTAAATATATAAATATTTCTGGTTTCAAAGAAACTTGATATGGGAAATATTTACGATGTTTTACATACATGTTGTTACTGTGTGAGAAATACTTACTCTTTCTATTACATTTGCGAACTTAGGTCCTAATAGAGGATAAATATGAGGTTTTCAATGTCTGTTGCTCAGTTTTACAGTCACATACTAAAAGATTTGCCAGAAATCTCAGAGAACTGAATTTCTCGCTTTAAAATTTTTTTTTGCTGTTTCAGGTTTAATAGTGTAAATTGTATTCTAATGATTTAATTCCACAGTGCCAAAATGTTACGTGGTGTGGTAAGAAAAATTTACATGTTAACAAAACTTTCAAGGCAACAAAGAAATTACCAATTTATATTATACTGTTTTATAAATATCAGTACATGCCTATGTTTGATAATAAGTTACTAATTCAAGAAGAGTGCTCCGACTGAAAGTGTAATTGTTGTAGTCCCTATACAGACATCGTGGTAATTGTTGAATATATGTGTTTAACGTTCATATTGTATAGAAATTCAGTCATTACAAGTTAACAATTTTGTGACTTTTTAAAAGTGCTTTCATGTCTGTATTGTATGTATTTTTCCTACCCAGTATTTACAATTTACTGTGTTTCCTGTCTACGTTTGTTATATTAGATGGTAGTTTGCTATATTAGGTAGTACCTGAAGGTCCTGGACATATTTTGTTAACCATTCCTTACATAAATAGTTTTTTTCATATGGAAACAAGTTGATAACAAAGTTGATAAGAAAAAATATTAAGAGAAATTTCCTTTAAATTTTCTATGGAGAAGATAAAAGTTAAGAAGTTATGATAAAGAGGGTTTGTGAAAATGTTTGATATCTCTTTCCTGTACATGTATAGACCAGAGAGCCCTGCTAATCCTCCAATATTAGTGTGCTGTGAGAATTGTCCAGGAATCATGATCTGTATGTAGACTGTTAAAAGTGCATTCTGAATGTATTAACGACAGAATATGCGCCAGTCTTCCATACTTGACTCTAAATGTTACTTACTTCTACAATTGCTAGTTTGTTGTGTATATGGTGATAATCACAGGATGGAGGAAGTGCTAAAATGATGTTCCTAAGACTTCTGTTCAAATGTTTACATTTGTTGAAACAGCTTTTCAGGCGTTTTGAACATTCTAAAATTGTATCTTCATGTTCAATCTGGAGACTGATTATTTCATGATTTTATCTTCCTCTTTTGGATTTCAGCCTGATTTTTAGATTTTATCTTCCTTTTTTGGTCTTGAGACGGATTATTTCATGATTTTATCTTCCTGTTGTGTCGCCTGCAGAGCTGGTGGACACTTAGGGATTACTTTGTCCGTCGTCACGCATCGTCGCCATCCGTATGAAAGTTTTCTGGACTTTTTTGGGTAATGCTTTGAGTTATCAAAATGAAATTTGGCATATGGCTTTTCGTTGCAAGGGTAGAGATTAAGTTTGATTCCCGGCTGTCTATGACCCTTTTTGGCAGAGTTATGCCCCTTTCAACTTAGAAAATTTCCTAGGAATATTGTTTTCCCGACTTTTTGGCTTATGCTTTGAGTTATTGAAATGAAATTTGGTATATGGCTTTTTGTTGCAAGGGTACAGATTAACTTTGATTCCTGGCTGTCTGTGACCCTTCTTGGCTGAGTTATGCACCTTTGAACTTGTAAAATTTCTCAGGAATATTGCTTTGCGCAGTTTTTCCCTTTATGCTTCAAGTTATAGAAATGAAATTTGGTATTATAACTTTATGGTTGATCGTTGCACAGCCAGATCAATTTTGGGTGACCGTGACACTTTATGCAGGCGGCACATACATTTCTGAGGAACTCTTGTTTTGGTCTTAAGACTGATTATTTTAAGATTTTATCTTCCTGTTTTGGTCTTGAGACTGATCATTTTTAGATTTTATCTTCATTTTTTGGACATGAGACTGGTTATGTTAAGATTTTATCTTCCTGTTTTCGTCTCAAGACTGATCATTTTTAGATTTTATCTTCCTTCTATAGGCTAATTATGTTAAGATGTTATATCCTGTTTTTGTCTTGAGACGGATTATTTTAAGATTTATCTTCATTTTTTAGACTGAATATGTTAAGATTTTATCTTGTTTTGGTCGGGAAACAAAGGCAAAATAGTTGATGTTGACATGAGACCTTCTCACCTGATCTTCAGATGAGCCTGGTCACTACACAATGGGGCTAAATGTAGACATGTTTCCCACTTCACCTCATTTCAATAAATTGCTGGTTTTAAAATTTAGATACAAATCCCCAGTGTTTGAAGAGTAGTTTTATTATTAAATTCATATTCATTTATTTTTCTTTTCCATCCAAAGTGATTTTTAAAAGAAAATTAGCTCTAAAATTTGACACATATTGGTATATTTTGTAGATTAATTCAATGTCTCATCACGAAGATCAGTTACAAAAGTATCCTTGTGCATCTTTATGTCTAATACTGGGTATAGCAGACTACAGAAAGGAAATTATTGTACAGTGTCATTATATCCCAGGTACATGAAGATGTTACAGATACAATTTTTATTCATGATAATTAAGAAATAACTTTTTCAGTTACGATCCTTTGTAAAAATCATAAAACATTGTTATGAAGAGAAACAGGTGTCTAAGACACCAGTGTGTGTCTGGCAGCATTGTGTTGTTAATTCTGATGTGTGTTTTATTGCCAAAGCAAAACAATTTATCATGTAGATTTTTTAAAGTATGTTGCACCATATTACAAAATGTGTACAGAGACATTAATCTTAATACTGTTATATTTTATAGAATAATTTGTTTTCTAAATGGAATAAATTGAAATTGATATAAACATGAATTTTATAGAATGTTCTCCAAATTACCTTTATATTAATATTTTTTTTATTTAATTTAAGACTATTTTGATGTGTAAAGAAATATTTTATTATCTATGGAGTGACAAAGTTTCTTATTTAATTTGAATTTTTTCACCCTGTAACTTTGTGTGACTGGTACCTTTATCTTATAGCTTATCATGTCTTCAATGTTTAATATTGGTTATAAACACTCTGTTAAATATGTCACACAATATCATGAAGTTTGTTTAACGAAAAATTACCATGTTTGGAAAAAACGGTATAGTTGAACAATAAAGATTTTAACAAAACAGGAATTCTTTTATTTGTTTATCTTTAACTGGGCCTTCAAACATTTCATGAGAAGATGAACTATTCTCACAAGCTCTCTCTTAACATATATGATGGAATTTTTGTGAAATTTACTTTGAGTAAGTTTCCATTGCACACATGCATGTTTCTATTATGCCATAGTGCCGTGTCCATCTTGAACTTGATCCTTTAAATATCTCCTGGGTCAAATTTCATTATATTTGCCATGTAGCTACTGAAGATCAAGTACAACAAAGTTTGCAAATAGAGAAGTTTTAAAAATATATTCAAGGTCATAGAGGTCAAATTTGTTAAGACATTCAAGCATCTGATTATCTTAAAGGCCTAGAATCATGATATTCGGCTGGAAGGTTCCTGGGATCAGTCTGGTAACATTTTCTGAAGGAGATGACCTAGATTAATACTCAAGGTCACGTGGGTTAAATTTGTTTAAATGTTCATGTGGTATCTTCTGATAAACTCAAAGGCTCGGAATATTGATATTTAGCTGTTAGGGTCCTGGGATTAAAATCTCATATAAGTTTACGAAGAGAAATGACCTCTTCCAATATTCAAGGTCATGTCGGTCAAAAATGTTTACATGCTCAAAAGAATTCTGGTTATACATGGCAGTGGTTCCTGTTTAGAACTTTTGTCATATTTAAAGTGTCCATTTATTTCCATTAACATACTATGATAGACTATGGTCTTTGCACAGCCTTTCTGTCGTTACTCGTGTTCCGGAAAGGTAAGCGTCTTCTGGTGTGTACATTTTGGTTCCCAAATGAGATCACGGTTAACGACAACGAAATCGTCAGATAAAAACGAGCATCGGACACCTGTAGTTCGAGCCCTGTATGTGAATTTTTTGTCAAATTCATTTTTTAATTGAAATTGTTCATGTTAAAGATTACAACACCATCCGCTCTTGATGTCGCTATCAAAAGTGATCGTACTTGTTGGGTAATTTCAATCATTTATATATATATATATTGTTTTGGTATGAGACAGAGTCAAATTTGACGATATTCTCTTTCCTGTTGAACACCTCGTGAGAAGACGTTTTTTCCGGTGGATTACAAACTAGACATAACAGTAATGCATAATGTAACTTGTCCCAAGCAACCCTCGGTGTCAGTAAAACACTTTTCGTCTGTTGAAACCGGTATTTCTTGTCCCCGTGAACTAGAAAACATCTTGTCAAGACTAATTTCTGTGAAAGTATGTCAATAACATTACGTTGGATGTCTTAATTAAAGATTTGCTGATGGAGTAATTAGCCGTTTTGTTCTCCCACATTGTCTCGATTCCAGTTCATCACTTTACACAAACATTTTGTTGATGATCTGTGTCATTGTTAATGTAATTCCATATGTTGCTTGAAAGGATTACATAAATGATTAGCGCCTTTACTAATCCGTAATGTCGTATAGATAATACAGTATACCAAATAAATAATAGATTTCCATTCTACAGTCTTTCACGCTCGTCCTTCTGGAACTCGTCCCTGACGGGTGAAAAGTGCAAAAACCCAGAATCGGTGTTATGAAGAAAGAAAATTTACCATATATTGAAATACAAAACGAGAGATCGTACACCATCATTGTATCATACCAATCCCATGTTGTTCCTATTCCAATGACCAGCACATCCGCACTACTTCAATCTTTGACATTCTTGATTATCACACAACTCATTCTTTCATTTTCTCCGAGTAAAATGATAATAAATATATCTATTTTATTCGCCTTCTTTCATTTCGGGTTTCTAACCAATGACCTTGGACTGTCTCGCCTTTCTTGGTGTAACCACGGACTTATATACACATGTGTATATAAGTCCGTGGTGTAACTTCGCTTCAGTAGTTTCGTGGCTTAATGGTGTGATGCGGTGTCACGCTTGGGTGAATGAACCTAATACATTTAAAAATAGGTTAACAGCGGTTATATGTGTTGAAGTGGTTAACAACTTAACAGTAACCAAGAGGTTATTGATATTGGCCAATAGCATGCTGAGATGATACGCTACCAATTTTGTCCGAACATTACAGGAGTCAACTATATCCAAAAATCTCGATCTTTTGATAAAATTTGGAGTGAATATGAAAGTTACCAAAATCATTTGTATTAACTGCAGAACATATGAGCGATAAGGCCCAATGACCTCCATTATATAAGATATCTTATTTATTAGATATGTTATGTAATAAATCAGATGTCTTGTTAACCATAAAAGACAAAAAATTGAGACGCGTTCGTAACATTTGACGTAAATGGACCGGTTGGTGTCAATCAGACAAAGGAGTATACTTAAGAAATAATTTTAATTTTTTGTTGTTTACTGGTGTGTAAACTGCATTTTTTTACAGATATTTTCAATGACGGGTCTCCTGTCGGGCTGCACGGAAGCAGAGACGTATATAACACATATGTGTTATATACGTCTCTGACGGAAGGAATACCTTCATATCTGTTTTAATAAAATATCGATGTTTTTTTTCTTTTTTTTTTCCCAGAGGTGATTTGCATCACAACAACTTTTGATGGTTGTCCTTTCGCAAAGGCGGTCATACTGAAGGTCTCAGTTTTTGTTTATCCTGTGATAAAACGCATCTATTTTTCTTGTAATTTTCTTTTACAATAACTCCGTGTTCAAGTATGGACTTATGACAAGATCCGGATAAGCGGACATCCATTATCCTGTCTAATTTTACATAGAATATTTCAAAGTCACGTGACACAAGCAACATGGCGCTGTGCTGTGCAAGTAAGAAAATTATATTTTTCCTTAGATCATTGTAATTTAACTATATATTGCATATCTCATGTCCGGAATGCATGAAATATTGATATATGCCCCTTCTCCTTTCTGTATGATGTCGTTCGATTAATATTTTTTCTGAAAGTAACCGTGTTGAGAACACATGGCACCGGCTTTCCGTTCGTCGCTCAGACGTAAATTTGAAACAAAGTCAAACGCGCATGAACATTATTATTGGTTTCCTCTTTGTACATGCAGACTGGAGTTACTATTCGAACAACTATTATCTCCTTACTCCTTACTGCAGCATTTTCTGCAATGTATGACACCAACCACTTATAAGATCTAGATATTGCTGGATTTCGCTCAATCCCCTTGTCCCCCGTCTTTTCTGGTCAGCTGTTACTCGTAAATTCAAATATTATGACAGCAATGTATGGATACTTTGTATGCCTAAATCGTTTGATAATATTGACGTATATTTGATAATATGGTGTCAAAAGTTAAACAAAAAAAGAAAGAAAAAAATAACCAGATCCCGATTTTCCATTTTCATTGATAATGAAAAAGTAAATAAAAATTACATTGATAGTATTTGCGTTGAATCATCAATCTAATACTAACTGTTCATTGTCATGCCATTTTTTACGATTATGTAATTTATTGTGCCTTCAATAACCTTCTTTATACTGCAAATAACAATAGCCGTAAGCCTGTATTTTTTCTTTTAGTCAGTAATGAGGTTCCAGAACAACCAGTCATTTCTTCAGCTTCTGGCCACATCTATGAAAGGCGGCTGATTGAAAAATATATCAAAGAAAATGGAACAGATCCCATGAATGGGGAAAAACTGTCTACAGACATGCTGATGGAGATCAAAGGTATAACATACATTGATGTATATGACCAGCTGAAGACTACTGTGGTACCAGGGGTGATTGAAACTGACCAATTATCAAAAAGTTTGAGAATATTTAAAATAAAAATGATTTGATTGTTTATAAGATCTCTCTGTGCTTCTGAATCCAAATAAGTATTAAATTTCAACAGATGATTCTGCAACACTAAGTAATAGCCCACATAATGAAGGAATTGCATGGTCAATGTGTTTTCATGCTTCTATGAAATTGCTGTTTTTTCTACTTCAGCTTCCCCTCTTGTTAAGCCAAGACCTGCATCAGCAACAAGTATTCCAGCCATTCTTAAATCTCTTCAAGATGAATGGGTAGGTGGTAAATTACTGTACATGCTGTAGTAGTAGTAAGAATAATTGTTCATAAAACTCTGTAATCCTAGACAGTTTTTGTGAGTACCCTAATTTTGGAGAGACGTCTCACTAATTTTTGGCAAGTTGAGAAATGTTTCAGATAAATCATCATTTTGTCCTGTTAGAGGTTAGCAGAAAGAAACATTTAGCATGAACTTCAGTATGCAAAAATGCCAACTAGCAACCAAACCTCACTTTAGTATTGCTCAGAGCATGTCTACCAGGGATAAGAGAATGGAAATGGTGTGATTTTGTTACATTGTGAAGTGAGCCACATTTATAGTATAACAGAAGCTATATGTTCTGCTATACAGTAGTCAACAAAAAGTGTTTGGATGGGCCTGTGTCAATGCTAAAACAGATCTTTAGGAATTTTAATATAATTGGTATTATGCATGGGAAACCAAAATCTTGTTAATTTATTGAACATCATTTAGTCCTACTGTTAGATTAAAATGGTAACAAAATCTGTGATGGTAAGGTGGGGATGATGTTACAGAATTTACAATTTCTCTACTCTTTGTATTGTTGGAATTTGATACTATTGATTAACATGAACACTTTGTATTTTGTAGGATGCTGTCATGTTACACAGTTTCACATTGAGACAGCAGCTTCAGACAGCCAGACAAGGTAATTACTTATATGAATTTAACTTTCTCACCCCTTACAGTTTATTATCAGACAGAACCGGTGATTTAATAATATACAAGAAAATGATAGTAACTAACTGTTTTTTCTTGTTTTGGAGCTGAAGTTAGCAATGTTAAAAAGTTCTTGATATAATGATGAGTCATTAGAGAAAACGCATTACCAATTGAGAAAAGTTTTTGTCAGATGTCTTTTATGAAGTGTGATTAAATGTGATAATGTGTATGCTAATAAATGTGCTTTATTACATCTGTAGAATTGTCTCATGCTCTGTACCAGCACGATGCTGCTTGTCGTGTCATCGCTCGTCTCACTAAGGAAGTCTCCGCTGCCAGAGAAGGTATGAACAGGGATAATAAAAGGAATAAATGTTAAAGGATCCTTTTTTTTTTACTGGATCACATTACATTGTGAATATTGAAAAAAAAATCACTATATTCTGGTATTTTTTATCAAGAAAGTAAGATAAAAGAGAGGTTGATGTACTTACTAATCTTGAAAAAAAGCAAACTTGCTTATGAGTCATTTCTTCGGTTTCTTTAGCCTTGGCTACTCTGAAACCTCAGGCAGGCGTGGCTGCTCCAGGATACACAGCTCCTCCCCAACAACCAGTGAGTGGAAATCAGCAGAAGTTGTAATTTGTATTCTTATCAGAAGATTATTATTTATTGAAAGATATAAATTTTGGTCAATCCTGTTTTTATGCAAAGAAACATTTGATGAGAGCTGTAAGAATTTTTTGTTATTTTTGTATTTCATGACATTCATCTTGTTGTTTTCTGTGTTTACAGGCATATGGAGCAGAAGCCAATCCAGAGGCTGCCCAACAGCCAATGGAGGAGGCAGGCATGAGTGATGAGGTTCTACAGAAGGTAGGGCAATGCTCTTTATTTATCTGTACCAGTAAAATGAGCTGTAGATTATGGATGTATAAACTAGACTTGGAAACAATTTTTTGTTGGTAGATTTGGTTTTAACCCAAGAAAATTTGTCTCAGAGAGGCCTAAAATGTATGTGTAAATATAAAGAATAGGTTTTAGTCAAAGAGAAAAATGTTTTGAAATAGTCAATATCTACTAGTAAAGAAACTATCTGGCATGGAAGTATTTAAGTGTTTAGGAAGTACAAAAAGAAAGTTTAAAAAATACACTGTAATAAAAATTATTTTTGCAGCTGCAAGACAAAGCTACCCTACTTACAGCAGAACGAAAAAAGGTAAAAATATTGAATCATTTCAATGACATCACAATGTAACCATGAGCTTCAGGGTATTCCATAGATAATGAAAACTGAAATTTTAACTTGTTTGTTATCAAATAATATTTAAAATTATGTTATATAGCAAATATCAAATAATATTTAAAATTATGTTATATAGCACTTACATATTACTGTATTACCAACCTGAAATATTGCAATGAACTAGCTATGGCAAATCATTTACCCATAATCAAATCAGAAACCAGCATACAAATACTGATATACATCTAATGGGAGCCAGTCATTGCCAAGTATGAAATCATTTTATGAACTCTCTACTACATTTTAAAAAGCATGTGTTAAAACTGTTCTGTATGATAAATGCTATGTTCCTGATCATTGCTCTTGCATTAGCTCTTGGGCTGATATACTTATTTGTGAATTATTATTTTCTATCAAATTTAGAGAGGTAAGACTGTTCCTGAAGGTTTGGCCATTGTTGAAGACATCAAGACTTACAGACAGCTGGCTTCCCATACAGTAAGTAAACAACCATACACAGCGCCATTACCATTCAATTTATAAGTCCAAATAGGGAAAATAATCTTAACAGTGGAGAATAATAAAGTTGTTCAGGCGTTTCAATATTTTGGTTTTCTTAGCAACAAAATGGATTTTTTTTTTGCCCTTTATTTTTTTGCTTCATCTGTTTTTGCATGGACAGTTGCACAAAATTGTTCTAGAGCATAGAAATGAAAAAATATTGTAGTGCTCCAAACTTCCTATATGAAATTATTAAGTGTGACAAACTTTAAAATTATTACTGACATTTTTTATATAATCCTTTCAAAATGTTTTATAGATGTTCATTGTACAAAACAACATAAAATGAGCTATTTTCATGTGAAATGTCATGTTTTGAAATGTTTTCAAATTGATTTTTCCAGGGATTACACAGTGCTAGTGTGCCTGGAATTTTATCTCTCGATGTGTGTCTGAAGGATACATCCAAAATTGTTACTGGTAAATATCATAATCTTGGACATTATGTAAACTTCATAGTTATATAGCAAAGTTTAATGATAAAGTCATGGAAAATATGAACCGGCAACTCTGGAATAGTATCCGATCCATACATACTTTCGAATTTCTTCGTGTTCGGTCAGAAAAACATTTATGAAGAACAGGGGGCAAAAAATGTGTTCTTTTATTTACATGTAAATGCCAATTATTGTTTAATAGATTAGATCAATTCTTAGTGATATATTTAAGATGCTTCACTGAATAATGCGATGTTGTCAAAATATTTTTGTTAAATTTAGTGACTTGTTTTATTGAAAGGTGGAAATGATAAAAATGCTGTGGTATTTAACAAGGATACAGAACAAGTCATGGCCATTCTCAAAGGTCACACAAAGAAGGTTACCAGTGTTATTTATCATCCAGAAGAGGTAAGCCACTTTTAGCCTTGTACAAATCTCTTGGCACCATAACTTGAGACTGGACATTTTACTGATAGTGTAGGTCAGGATGGTAGTAATTCTTTATATGTGTTTGTGTAGTTAAACACTGAATATGAATTTACATCCCTGAGCAATAAATCAAATGAAAAACATGAAACCCTGCTTAGTATGTGGAACAGCTGTTAAATGAAAAGCATTTGCATCCTAATATGATATATGACAATATACAATAAGATCAGGTTTATTGTTTCTCATGAGTTATGTTTTCTACTTCAGTATAAAATGTTCAAATGAAATGAATTTTGGTTCAACAGCAACATAATTTTAGTTTGATATAAGATATCTGACAAATTGACATTCTTGGCCAAGTAGAACAAATAGACTCTAGTGATCTCATGCTACTCTCAGATAACAATGAATGTTTTGCTGTGTTTAGGAGTTGGTATTCACTGCCTCCCCTGACTGTACCATTCGTGTGTGGGGTGTACAGACAGCCCAGTGTGCCCAGGTCATTAGAGCTCACGAGGCTCCTGTCACAGGCATCAGTCTCCACGCTACTGGTGACTACCTTCTCAGCTCATCCACAGACATGGTAGGTATACATATGATACAGTAAAGCTTTCAAAATGTTTGATATACTATTAAAAGAGGATGTCACAACAAAAAGCTCCTGGATATTTCTAAATAGAGTTGTAACTTGTTTATTATGACATTGTACTAAATTTACTATAAACATTTTTTGTAATCCAGAATGTAAGACAATATATTGGGCATATTTTGAAAAACTAAATTATCCAGATATAGTTAATTTATGTGGGGTTTTTTTCTGCCTCTCAGCACTGGGCATTTTCAGATCTTCGTGCCGGCAGAGTTCTCACCAAAGTCAATGATCCAGCTTCTCAACATGGTAAATACTGACTGCTTTTTGAAAGCCATTACATTTCTTCATGTTTTATTGGTCGTACATATTGACGCATCTGTAATATTTTCAGACCTTCATGTCCATGCTGTTACTTCAGTGAATATTTAAACTGTTCATAGGGTACATATGGTTTGCCATAGTTCGGCCTTTACCAGTTAAACCCATATCCCACTCTAGGACTTCTGGTTTTTGTTAAGGGTTACCATCCATAGAAGTTGATTAATAATTTGCTCAGAAGGAAAAAACGAAGTCAAACCAAGGATAAATGTAATTTGAGGTGAAGTGGCAGTAGTACTGGAATAACCCTTAATATTTACCATTAGTATTATGTATTTAAACAAGTTTTACTTTTTATCTTGCAGCCTTGACATGTGCACAGTTTCATCCTGATGGTTTGATCTTTGGCACTGGCACAGAGGACTCTATGATCAAGATCTGGGATCTGAAGGAGCGAGCCAATGTGGCTAACTTCCCTGGTCACCAGGGTCCCATAACAAGCATTGCTTTCTCAGAAAATGGTTAGTTATCCTTCTCTTAAATCAATAGATTTCAGTACCCACCAAGACCAGTTACAGTTCCAACACCTTTCCCTCTACAGTGGAAAGTTTAACATCTTGTTTCTTGGCCTCTCAAAACAAGCTATTGGCATGTCTTTTTGTTATGGAATATTCCTTTACACACACATTTATATATATTGTATATATTTTACATTAGTTTATTTGTGACATTGAATTAATCAATCCAAATATTTTGAGATAGTTTGATTCTTATATATCATCTGTAAATCTCCCAATATCATCAGGAACTAATACACGGCAGCCCTGCTTTACGCTTTACCTCTGTGTTATGTTATTCTGTTCAGTGTTATAGGATTTAAATGTGATGTCACCATAACAGGGCAATCAGAAATGAATGTTTGTCAGAGTTGGCCAAGGAGGTATTAAATAACGCCCCCCACCTCCTCCTCCATGAAATAAATTTTCATGGTCCCATCTAAGATACATATTTTGTTTTCACTTTAGAACCCATCACTTATATTTTGTTATTGTGTTATTAGAATTAATGCTTCCTGGCCTTCCTCTATCCAGATACATATATTTTTGGAATATTAGTGCCTCCTTGTCTCCTGTTTCCTTCCTCCAAATACATATATTTTTGGAATAGTCTAATACTATTCAGTGTTGTATTGTGCTATAAATACTCTTGTAGTACACTTGATAGGTTCTTCTAATGACTTTCTTCCCCAGGTTACTACTTGGCTACATCTGCGGAGGATTCTGTTGTCAAACTTTGGGATTTGAGAAAATTGAAGAACTTCAAGACTTTACAACTTAGTGACAAATATGATGTAAGTTTAAAAGACGTTAACATTTACTTTCTTAAATTGTTTTGTAAATATGTTAGGTCACCCATATAATTTTAAAATGTACAGCAGCTTAATTCCTAGATGAATGTTTAAAATGTTATCATTGATACTAGATTGAAAAATTGCCTTGGCTATCTGTTAGCTTATATATAAATTTTATTTTGAATATATAGATGTGTTTCTTGTAAATAGATATTCAGGAAAATAAACACTAAGAAATATAGAAGATAACTTTAAAGAGAGTGTTCCCAAAATTTTGATACAGTGACTAATATGAAAAATTTTCCTGATGGAAGAAGACATTTACATTGATGTAGTTACTTGCATTAACTGTAGGTGTGAATGGTCAAGATTTGGTAACTTTTACTAGCCACTGATTCTTTTCTCTTGGATGCTCAACTATCGGTTGAAAACAAATTGTGATCTAAATTCTTGTATCAAACTTAAAAGTTCTCATTCATATATGTAAATACCTGTTCCCCATTAATAGTTAATGAGATTTTAACATTTGTATTTATTTTTAAGGTGAGGTCACTGTCCTTTGACCAGAGTGGTACCTACCTTGCTGTTGCAGGCACTGATGTCAGGTATTGTGCCTTTTTTTATTATTTGTCGTTAAAGTGCAATAGGAAGAGTTTTAACCTTTCAGCCAAACATGTTTTTCCATAAATGAAAAAGTTTTTTTTGTTTTTGTAATAAAATAGTTATACAAGAATAACTGTGCATTCTGTGTCTGTAATACCGTGGGCATGCTACATTTTCATCAGGCTGTGATTATACTGCATACAAATTCATAATGATAATCTTAACTGTTACCAAGATCAATAGACAAAGTAATTTTATCGCTAATGCCTTATTGTCAGAAAGATGGGTCTGGTAATTTTGTTATTTTCCAAATTTGTATAATATGCCATTAACTTTACACAATTTTAATTATATTATTAACTTAATAGAATCTACATTTAAATAAATCCTTATTGTTTGTTACACATATTTTTACCAATTTGATTAATGTACAGTGTCTATCAATATTACTGTGTCTTTCTTGTTGCATTAATTATAAAAAAATCATTCTGTTATACAGAGTTTACCTGTGTAAACAATGGCAAGATCTGGTGGTGTTTAATGACCATACTGCGACAGCGACTGGTGTTAGATTCGGACACAATGGTACCTTCTTAGCATCAGCCAGTATGGATCGCTCACTCAAATTCTTTGGCATACCATGAGAATCACATCAGAATATGGCTAGCTGTGGGTGTAAATAACGGAAAGAAAACAAGAGGTCAATGGTAACTGTACAAAGACGACTGGAGAGATATTAGGCCCTACTATGTGTACATAATGAATTAAAGGAAAGGTGTCGAGGGCCTACAGATTCATAGCACAGACTAATACTACAGCAGAATTATTTCACTAAATGCTTTAGCTCTAATACAGACTTGAGGAAAAAGATATCTTATTTTGAAAATATTGTAGTGATCATTGGTGTGTGATTTAATGTCAAGGTTGGTAGCTTCAAAATATCTTACAGTGCAGCTTTTTACTGAAAAAAAACCCCATTTTTTTTTCAAAGAAGTAGATATGTATTATATATCTGACATAATTAAACACTGAACAAATTATGAACTTCAAATTATACAAGAAAAAAAAACAATTTCTGAATGTATTGATGTAGTTTCTTTACCTGATGTGACTGTGCTTTGAAAATTAAGTATCTCCAGTCTGAATCATCTTTTACCCTAAATTGTTCTTCATTACAAGAAGAACAGATTGTATATATCTTTCTGTAAGTTACTTACATAAGATATGAAGAGCCAAAAATGAATTCTTTGTATTATTACACTACGTCCCATTCTTAATATAGAAAGAATCAAGTTTTACTGTTATAATATATTGTTTTATAGACTAAAATGATTTAAAACTTTGAAAGACTGGGAAAACTTTTATGTCATTGCATCTAAGCAAGTACTTTAATATGCTGGAAGAAAGAGAAAATTCAAGATGACATTCAATATCAGTTATCATAAAGCCATAAAATCACTATTAAAGTTTTACTCTCACAAATATAAAAATAAGAACTGAAAGGAAACCTGAGGCTATTGATGTAAAACATCTACTTAAAAAATAAATCACTTCTATTCTTGGTTCATTTTCCCGTCTATTACTTCTAACCAAATTATTAATGATGTTCTATATGTGGTACCTTTCTCTACACAAAACCTGAGGTCCTGGGATAGATATGTTTCTGTCTCATCAGCTGGTTTATGATTTGAAAATATAGACAGGCAATGCTAAAAGTACTGATGTATATAGGTAGTACAGTATTTGTCTGAAGACAAGGACTCCAAACGTTCATGAACTTCTTTGATTGCCAGTATGGTTAGAACTTTAGAGGTATACTTCTTTGTACTTTGAAACAGAATGTCAAATCGATATATTAACATAATTACAAGGTTTTTATGAAATAGAATTGGTCTGAACATGACATGAATTGGTTTATCAAGAACATGCATCCTGTATATCTGTGTGTTTTTTGTACAATCTTCCCTGTGGACATCTGCTGATGTTGAAATGTGTATTCTTGATAATACAACTTGATTAATCTAGAAAGTGGTATTTTAAAAGGAAATATTAGTAGAATGGTGCTTTGAAATTTCAACAAAAGACAAAAAGGGCAGATGAGGGGTTGGCGGGGAACAATGCGCTGATGTATCTTTCCTAACCGGTCATTTTTATTCTTTAGCTGTGGAGAATTATCTTAATAGTGATGGTGATTGAGAATTATTCACTGTTTCACAATAAACAAACACCATGATGAATGTTTAGGTATATGTATTTTTGTTGTTGTTGTGTGTTTAATCTCATACTTTGATCTACATTTTTAGAAAGGCTTTACACTTAATGTGAATTATAAAATTTGTAAGTATCCATAAAATCTCTCCCATACTGTAATTTATGTTCCATGCTTAATCTATTTTTTGTAACTAATTGTAATTACCCATTAGTGCAATGGAGAAAAATGTATTCTCATTACAGGGGAGTGGTAATCTACTGAAAGTTAGGAATGAATGAATTTGAGTAACAAATTAAATTTAAGATAAAGGGTACATTGTGGCAATTATATTGATGAAGGCTTCAAATTGAACTGCTGGTTTTTCAGACAGTTTGTCCCCTTATTTGGTTTGTTAGAGATAAAAATTTTTGCAAGGCTCTAAAAGGAACGAAAAATATCGTGACAAGTTTTATAAATCACAGGTCAAATGAAGCTGAACTTAGATCGTTTTTATCAGTTGGTTGATTACTCAGACAAATATTGCAGAAAAAGGACAATTCTAAATATCTATGGTCCCTATTGATAAGTTACAGTGCAAGCTGTGGTAGTCATTTCAATATCTATAGATGATATCACTCTAAGATAAACATTTATTTCATAGGTATATTTGTTGGATAACAAGGCCATGATGCAATAAAAAAAACTGCAGTATTTTTGTCTGATTTTGTAACCACTGTTATTTCAATCTTTATATTGAAAGATGAATCACAGATGATTTTTTTAAGAATGTGTAGAAAGTATAACCTGATGGTACCCTTTACCTTAAAATTGAAAGTTGAGCATAGAATTATGGGTTTGAGCATGAACAATATCATCTAGGAAACTCTGTGGTGTTGATCGATAATATTATGGTCAGAATGTCAGATTTTCACATTTACATTAAATGATCATTTTCCCATTTTCATATCATTCATCATCTGTACATCTTCAAATGTGAGAACTTAAAGCCCCAATATATGCATCAGTTGCCCGATTTTCCAAATATGGCAATGATCATAAATTCAGTCGTGGGCAGTTCAAAATGGAGACTTATTGAAAATGAATGAGTTCCAACTGCCGTTGTATAAATACCAACACACAATATCGTCTCGAGTATTTCTGAGATATGTCAATTTTGAATACATCTATATATTAGTAATTTCTCATCAGTTCATTTTAGTGAAAGTTGTATGTATTGGGACTTTAAGTGTGCTTCAAAAATCAATAAATTTGTAATCTATGAACAAGCTGTTTTTAATGTTGTTTATTCCATTAAATGTCTTTGGTAGATTGAAAACAACACTACTTTTCAAATAGCATTAAAAGAGAAAATAAAGAAAATACTATTTAGTAATTATCTGGAAAAGCATTATTTTTGAGAAATGAAAAAAAAAAAAGTGTTTGGACAGATGCTGTGATTGTTACTTTGGTAATGTCTCTTCTGAAAATTGATATTCAGTGTTCAACTTAACAAAACAAGAGTGCCATGGACACAATATACGCTGCCACAAAATGTAAAGATCACGATTGGTCTATTTAATTATCGCTTTTAACATGTCTGTATCATAAATCTTACAAAAACCAATGAACCCTAAAATCGCCCCATCATGCACATCAAAACATTGTATTAGTGACATTGAGCAAGTTTTATGAAAATCTGATCATTAGTTTAGGAGGTGTTCGTTCACAAAGCTCCACTAACAGCAAGCTACAGATACAAAGTTGAAAATGGCATAAATCTTACAAAAATCAAAGAACCGAAAAATCACCCCTTCATGCACATCTACCCATTGTAGTAGTGACATTGAGCAAGTTTCGTGAAAATCTGATAATTAGTTTAGGAGGAGTTGCATTCACGTGAAATGGACGTACAGACAGACGTATGGACAGACAGACTGAGATGACGCCAATATACGACTGCCTCCGGCGGCGTATAGAAATGAAAATAAGAAAGACGTAATTGAGTTTAAAAATAATTTAATAATAGCAATAGGAGACAAAAACTTGTAGCAACAATATAATCACACAATGGATTTAATACACACAGGTACAATGAGCTTTAATAAATTCAACATAAAAACAACAAAGATGATTAAAATCAATGAAATTTAAAATCAGTAATACTTGTTCCTGAAATTGTCATCAGAATTTATTGAGACCATGTCATCAATTTATCATACTATTCAATTAAAATAATCCAACAACTGATGCTTTGAAAATGCAGTTAGCATAATTTGAAATATTGATGAGCATCACAAATCTTATTGAGTGTACTATAAACTACAACAGGCACTTTGACGTGTACCAGTTGTTGTTAAGAAATGTAACACATAGTACGATCAACATTTTTATGCACATCAGAAAATTTTCAAGAACATAACTTTTCAGATAACTTGGGGGGATAAATTTAGTGAATAATTTGTTTCTTACTTAGATACCTGACAAAGAAAGCCGGTTACGATGGTATGATTTTCAATACAATGAAATTATTATAAATAAGGCAATATACAGATTAACTGTAAAAAAAAAACCCCACTTTAATGAAAGAAAATAGAGCATCTTGAACAAAGCCTGAATGTTTATAAGACTAAATTGAGGTGGGAACTAACAGATATCCCTGCATGTCAGTTTTTTTTCAATGACACCACTACATATTGATGATAAGGTAAGACCTAGAAACCAACAATTGGTACTTGCTGTTAAGGTAAAAGATTGACCGAACTTTGGTAAATAACATAGCACCTTCTCTTTATGTACCTACTGTCATTTATACCAAATTTGTTTATACATTACATTAAACATTAAACAGAATATCAAACACCACGATATAATGAATATATTGCTCCAAATATCTTCTTGCTTAGAGTGACCTTTTTCATGTTCACCACACTCCAATACTACACCTGAGATCAAAAGGTCAAAAGGTAAAAAAAAACATTACTTATCAAAAGAAATGTTGATAATGAAAATGTGTCCAATAAAGAAATTTCACATCAATGTTGAAAATCATCACCTGATTTTATAATTTTGGAAAGACTTATCCCCCCAACCCCAACCCCCTCCCCACCCTTTTTTTGTCAACAGTTTTATATTTCATTTAGTCCAGATTTCTCCCCTTCCTCAGTTTTCAACCAATTCTTACAACATTTCAAAGCGTTATTTCCCTTTGTCTTTTTCAGCATTCTTTCCTTGTCCAGAGATTTTTTCATTTCTTCACCATCTCTTTGAAACTATATATGCTTTCACTTATCATCAAAACATTCAGCTCTCTTTTGACGTTTGTCTCATTATTACTATTTCCACACAACTGAATAATTTTTTTGGCATAGGATGGGCATATATTGTTCCGCCCCATGGTTCTCTTGTTACCCAATTGTAATGTACAGTGCACATATATTAATACACACACAATCATCAACTTTTCCAAGTCAAAAAAGTTACATATGTACTGTAATATCGTTACAATATGTAAAGTCTTGTTCAATGTCGTCACCTCTTGTACATGTTACTGTTTCTATAAATTATATTTATAACATCCTCACTCAACCAAACTTATCTGATTTATGATTGTCATTAAACTTCACTCACTTACTTACAACTATCCTGGTTAAAAATGGAGGTCACTGTTACTATAAATAGAATTTGTAACCTCCTTACTAAATGGAATATATATATATATATTTGATTGTATTAGTATCATATAATCATATCATTGTTTGATTAATGGATATTACCCACTTTTCCATTTCAAAACTTGTTGAACAGTTACTACAGTTCATTCATCTACAAATTAGCTTTGGATGCTTGCTGGGATTACCACACTGTAAACAGTTAGGGCCATTTTGAGGTGGAAATTTTTTTTCACTGGTGACCTCAATGAATCGACAGAGCGATTGCAGTCCTGAGGTTACGTAGACAAATGATCTAACCGACTAACCTAACTAATTTTGGATGCAGTGTATTGTCTACACCTGGCTTGCTTTTTCATTCCTACATACTTAATAACATTTACATGCTTGTAATACTCCTTCAAAAAACAGGAAAAAAGACCAGCATTAATCCTACATGACCATGACTTCAAGAAGACTTTCTACGGCCAAATAAACGGATCTGAGGACATTTCACAAAGCCTTGCATTTTGTTAACTTTGGAAAATAATCCTATATCGTATGTCTCAACAAACCATGGCTGTTCAATACTATACTACACTCTTTATGAAGAGATCATAAGTGATCATAATCCCGGGAAGTTTAAGGATGCTATTGTCTGTCAAACATGGTATTTGTTGTATATCATCCATATTGAATATAATTTCATGACATACTTTACTCGTCATATTTAAAGCAAATTCGAACACATGGACAGTTAAATGACTAGCCATCAATCAACCCACCTTGAAGTAAGAACAAATTCCCTAATGCTTAACACAAAAACAGCAAAATTGTTACTACAATAAAAACTTTAACTTTATACACACAATGAGTTTACAAAATATGACATCTTGTGTTTAAACTCGACAGACTTATTTAAATTACAACATGTATTCAGAAAAGGTTTATACTTATATGCATTTATACAACAAGATATGAAAGTTGCCAAAAATCAATTTCAAAGGTGAAGGCCAATTTTATGATTATGTTTCCTTGATTTAATCTGGTACACAGCCCAGGTAAATCAAACATGGTTTATTTTTGTAGTGTTAGCTATTCCAAAGAAAATTAAAAAAAGAAAAAAAAAACATTTAGTTTGTGCTATATAGTTTTACAACAACAATATGAACAAATCTTATTACATATTTCATACATTTATGTATAAGTAACAGTAAGTAGTGTAAATTGTATAAACAGTCATCCTAAAATCATTTATGTACGTAACTTTGTATGTACCAAAACTAGCCTACAATATCACTATACTGCCATCTTTATTTCAACTAAAATTCTGCAATATTCAGGGTTACGTGATGCGATTAAAGTAGATAATTGCTGAAGACAAAGAAGTGTGTGATCTTGTGATTATGGTAAGGAAGGTGCAGAATAAGCTAGGCATTGTATTTCACTCTGTATTGGTAAGAATTACATCAGTTATGACATATTGATTAGTGTTACCTACAAGGTGAGATATGAAAGGCACAAAGGATAACATTTTTATCAAAATGAAAGTAATTTGATATGTCTACACATAATTACTTTTACTGTATAACCCTTCAACTATAGCTTGTGCTACAATATACTAGCCATTTATATTGTACAATAAGTGTATTATTGTTGGAATGCTCACATTTTAATAAAAAGTTGGGGGTGGGGGAGAATTAATTTTGATGTGATGTCACATGGACAGTGCTTATTTGATCTGAGTAGAAAACATTAACATTCTGAAGATTCTGGTCTAGGTTTCACCAATGCAGGATAAATGTAATGATAAAAACAGATATCATTTGTTTTGAATTGGATAATCAAAAACATCCATGTACTAGGTATGTAAATCTTTAAAAACAAAAATCATATTTCATATGTAAACACAGAAAATTTCAACCCATAAGAAAATCATCATATGAGGGTAATTAATACATATATCAATGTGATTTGTTAAACTAATTACAAAATAAACATACACATTATCTTTTAGATAATATCATTTTCAAGTATAATATAGCCATACATCTTCTTTATCATTATAAAACTCACATTGTAGGAGAACTGAGACAGCATCTAATTAATATGGATGTTGTGTTAATAGGTCTTTAACCCAAGATTTATAGAATTTGTTACTACTAGCTCTTAGCTAAGATAAATACACAGGTTAAATATCATTGTTATTATAGTTATACTACTTAACTTAATAAATTATACCATGACAATACAATGCTTTACCCGTAATGCAAGCCAATTGTCCATGCTAGGTATTTGACACTTGTGTAAATCTTTGAGTCATTTCTTTAACAGTAGTCATTTTCTATTTCAATTCGTCATCTATTGATCAAACACTGGACATCTAGCTTACTAGTCTTACACTCAACTGATTTAGCAAAAACGGAAATGATCTCTAGCGAAGTAGTATATTGCTGCTATTATTATTTTCGGGTGGTCGAGCGGCGCAGCAGTAACACACTTGCTTTTCACCTAGCTGTCTTGGATTTGATTCCTGGAACAGATGTGAAAAGGTAGGGGGTCACCTGCTCAACCATGTGGATTTCCCTTGGTACTCCACTTTCCTCCCACAGTAAGACCCCTATATATATATATATATATATATATATATATACTATTTCCTACCAGGATTTCATAATCCCCCTCCAGGAAGGGCCTGACTTCTGAGTTTCCTTAGATCACAGCAATGCCTGTGGGCAATTCACTACATGACCACTAATGCACAAGAGGCCATTATTTATTCAATGCTTTCACCAAGGATCAAACCTCTGGCTAAATATAGTCTTTCTCTCAGTGGATTGAGCTAAAGAGAAATTCCCTTTAATTTATTGCAGCTAGTGTTTACCTGGGTTACATATAAAAGCACAAATACAAGACAGTTAATACCTTCGTAAAACCTGTCAACTAGTAAGTTTATATTACCGGATAATCTTGGAATGAAATAAAACCCAGAGTCTAAAATGAATCTAAACACGATAGCATTGCTGCAAATATCAATTATTAAAATTTTCCTTTGATGCCAATGCAAAAGCATGAAAATTTGAGATAATACAAGTACAAGCTTTTTGATATTAGATACAAACGTGTTTCATTGTCCAACAACCTCTTATGTTTGACTAGATCTAACAGATATGTGCTATTATATATCTTTTACAAATCAATATACATGTTTGTGATACTAGAAATCTTTTCAACCTTCAAATGTTCAGAAAAGAAAAGTTAGCTTACAAAGCTCTTTTTGTCAGACAACATGAAGTCTTCTTAAAACAATACAAAATTTATTTAAAAAAGGAAAAAAACTTTGAAAGATGCAACTTTAAAAACAATAAATATGTGCACTCATTTACAATATCTATCAAGTATATAATCACATATAAATGAAAAAAGGATTACACCATGAACTAGAAAAAACATTCATCACAAGCATACAACATGCACACTACACCTTCAGGGAGAGTTTCCCCGTCAACTCTTTTCAAACTTCTTGTTATAAATAACAGAGTCTCTGATGCCAACACAAGATCTCTGATGCCAACACAATATCTCTGATTTTATCACAAGATCTCTGATGCCAACACAAGATCTCTGATTTTATCACAAGATCTCTGATGCCAACACAAGATCTCTGATGCCAACACAAGATCTCTGATTTTATCACAAGATCTCTGATTTTATCACAAGATCTCTGATTTTATCACAAGATCTCTGATTTTATCACAAGATCTCTGATTTAATCACAAGATCTCTGACGCCAACACAAGGTCTCTGATTTTATCACAAGATCTCTGATGCCAACACAAGATCTCTGATTTTATCACAAGATCTCTGATTTTATCACAAGATCTCTGATTTTATCACAAGATCTCTGATGTCTTCACAGGGTCTATGATGTCATCATATACCCTTTGATGTCATCACAATGTCTCTGATGTCATTACGCAGTCTCTAATACCATCATAAAATCTCTATCATCACAAAATCATCACAGGGTCTTTGATGTCAACAAAATGTCTTGATGTTGTCACCTAGTCTCTGATTTAAAAATTGGGTATCCAATTTCACCACATGATCCCTTACATCTTTAAGTCTCTTATATCATCATAGTCTCTAATGTCATCACAATGCTTCTATACTCTGGTAACCCTTTTCTTGTTTAAGCTCGGGATAATTTTTATCCAGAAAATCCTTCAGTAATGTTGGAAAGTCTGTCATGACCCCTGTGGACCCAAGTTTAAATGCTCGCTCAAATTCTTCCTCCGAATTCAGCACCCATAGATAGGTCTAGAAAACAAAGATCTCAATATCACAAATTGCCTTCGAAAAACTACAAGAATATGAAAATATTTTCATAATTCACTTTTAGAAAATACAGCATGAAGTCTGTAAATATCAGAATTATCTTCATTTCAATTAACAAGCTTTCATATAAGAAGGAATATATACAATTGTATATCCTATAAGTTAAAATACAGTTAATTTACATACATGTAACTCCTATGAATTGTGTAATCTTGTCCCACATCATGTCAATAAAGATATCATAACAATGTAACAATCTTTTTCTTTTTCATTTACAGAATTGACTGTAATTAGGATTGTCTTAACAATAAAATCTGTGTATGTTTGTAGGTGATATACTATCTTACACTCTGAACAGGCAAATTTTCTCCAGGTTTCTGTTATTGCTTGATACAGATCTATTTAAATCAAAGATCTAAGATCTTCTTGGAAGAAGAAATCATATTTCAGTTTCAACTTCATTATGTAATATATTTCATTAAATATATTGTATAATTATGTGACTTATTCAACAAGGGTTAGATTTAATGCACTGAAACATGTCTGATTTACCTGGGATCTGATTTAATGCATTGAGATATACCTGATTTACCTGGGACCTGATTTATTGGATTGAGATATACCTGATTTACCTGTGAGCTGCTATATTGCATTGATATATGTCTGATTTACCTGGGACCTGATTTAATGCATTGAGATATACCTGATTTACCTGTGAGCTGCTATATTGCATTGATATATGGCTGATTTACCTGGGACCTGATTTAATGCATAGTAATATGTCTGATTTACCTGGGATCTGATTTAATGCATAGTAATAAGCCAGATTTACCTGGGACCTGATTTAATGCATAGTAATATGTCTGATTTACCTGGGATCTGATTTAATGCATTGAGATATACCTGATTTACCTGGGACCTGATTTAATGCATTGAGATATACCTGATTTACCTGTGAGCTGCTATATTGCATTGATATATGTCTGATTTACCTGGGACCTGATTTAATGCATTGAGATATACCTGATTTACCTGTGAGCTGCTATATTGCATTGATATATGGCAGATTTACCTGGGACCTGATTTAATGCATAGTAATATGTCTGATTTACCTGGGATCTGATTTAATGCATAGTAATATGACAGATTTACCTGGGACCTGATTTAATGCATAGTAATATGTCTGATTTACCTGGGATCTGATTTAATGCATTGAGATATACCTGATTTACCTGGGACCTGATTTAATGCATTGAGATATACCTGATTTACCTGTGAGCTGCTATATTGCATTGATATATGTCTGATTTACCTGGGACCTGATTTAATGCATTGAGATATACCTGATTTACCTGTGAGCTGCTATATTGCATTGATATATGGCAGATTTACCTGGGACCTGATTTAATGCATAGTAATATGTCTGATTTACCTGGGATCTGATTTAATGCATAGTAATATGACAGATTTACCTGGGATCTGATTTAATGCATTGCAATATGGCTGGGACATGACTTAGTTATTTCATGAATTGCATAATAACATGACTTTTTCAGCATAAAGGAGTTTTCTTATGGCATTTGCAGTCTTATTCAACATAAAAACTTTGCTGACAAACATCAAATTGAGAGCTAGAACAATATGGTGTGTTTGCTTGCAAAACTGTGGCATTTAAAATGACCATAAATACCACAAGACAGCTCAATGCTTATATTTACAGTACCTACCCATTTTGTTAACATATGCAGACAATAATATGATTTAAACTAAAACAGATGATTTATTTTTAACAGTGTAATCCATCAAGTAGAGCAGCCATTTTGATAGCAAACCATTGCTATTTTAAGCCTATAATAACAATGTTGTGTTAATTGGATATGTGCATGATGGCATTTATAGTATCATAAATCACATTCCTTTCTGGGTAGTTTACTAGTGTATAGTGACACCCTATTTTAAATGTATATATTCACCTGTATCCCTCTTCTTTCTAAGTGCTGAAGTAATGTAGGTCTCATCATCAGTCTGAAGTTAATATAAAAAAAAGAATTTTATCTACAAATTAGAGAGAAATCTAGATGTACATAAAACATTGCTGAAGCATCTAGAACAAGTACTCAGCAATATCTCATAGTTACAAGTATCCAGTAATACCTCATAATTACTGGTATCCAGTAATACCCCATAGTTACAGGTATCCAGTAATACCTCATAGTTACAGGTATCCAGTAATACCTCATAGTTACAGGTATCCAGTAATACCTCATAGTTACAGGTATCCAGTAATACCTCATAGTTACAGGTATCTAGTAATACCTCATAGTTACTTCATAGTTACAGGTATCCAGTAATACCTCATAGTTACATGTATCCAGTAATACCTCATAGTTACAGGTATCCAGTAATACCTCATAGTTACAGGTATCCAGTAATACCTCATAGTTACAGATACCTCATAGTTACAGGTATCCAGTAATACCTCATAGTTACAGGTATCCAGTAATACCTCATAGTTACAGGTATCCAGTAATACCTCACAGTTACAGGTATCTAGTAATACCTCATAGTTACTTCATAGTTACAGGTATCCAGTAATACCTCATAGTTACAGGTATCCAGTAATACCTCATAGTTACAGGTATCCAGTAATACCTCATAGTTACAAGTATCCAGTAATACCTCATAATTACTGGTATCCAGTAATACCCCATAGTTACAGGTATCCAGTAATACCTCATAGTTACATGTATCCAGTAATACTTCATAGTTACAGGTATCAAGTAATACCTCATAATTACAGGTATCTAGTAATACCTCATAGTTACAGGTATCCAGTAATACCTCATAGTTACAGGTATCCAGTAATACCTCATAGTTACAGGTATCCAGTAATACCTCACAGTTACATGTATCCAGTAATACCTCATAGTTACAAGTATCCAGTATGACCTCATAGTTACATGTATCCAGTAATACCTCATAGTTACAGCTATCCAGTAATACCTCATAGTTACATGTATCCAGTAATACCTCACAGTTACATGTATCCAGTAATACCTCATAGTTACAGGTATCCAGTAATACCTCATAGTTACATGTATCCAGTAATACTTCATAGTTACAAGTATCCAGTAATACCTCACAGTTACAGGTATCCAGTAATACCTCATAGTTACATGTATCCAGTAATACCTCATAGTTACAGGTATCCAGTAATACCTCATAGTTACAGGTATCCAGTAATACCTCATAGTTACAGGTATCCAGTAATACCTCATAGTTACATGTATCCAGTAATACCTCATAGTTACAGGTATCCAGTAATACCTCATAGTTACAGGTATCCAGTATCCAGTAATACCATAGTTACATGTATAGTTACAGGTATCCAGTAATACCTCACAGTTACATGTATCCAGTAATACCTCATAGTTACAAGTATCCAGTATGACCTCATAGTTACATGTATCCAGTAATACCTCATAGTTACAGATACCTCATAGTTACAGGTATCTAGTAATACCTCATAGTTACAGGTATCCAGTAATACCTCATAGTTACAGGTATCCAGTAATACCTCATAGTTACAGGTATCCAGTAATACCTCATAGTTACAGGTATCCAGTAATACCTCATAGTTACAGGTATCCAGTAATACCTCATAATTACTGGTATCCAGTAATACCTCATAGTTACAAGTATCCAGTAATACCTCATAGTTACAGGTATCCAGTAATACCTCATAGTTACAGGTATCCAGTAATACCTCATAGTTACAGGTATCCAGTAATACCTCATAGTTACAGGTATCCAGTAATACCTCATAGTTACAGGTATCTAGTAATACCTCATAGTTACAGCTATCCAGTAATACCTCATAGTTACAGGTATCCAGTAATACCTCATAGTTACAGGTATCCAGTAATACCTCATAGTTACAGGTATCCAGTAATACTTCATAGTTACAGGTATCCAGTAATACCTCATAGCTACTGGTATCCAGTAAGACCCCAAAAGATATAGATACCGAGTAACATTTCATAGTTCCACATATCCTGGAAGATATTGTACTTACAAGTGGATACATTTCAGAATAATCTTAAAAGTTACTGTATTAATTTCATGGCTTAATATACTTACACATCAGCCAATTTCAAAAGGAACCTCATTTTTCGGTTCAAAGGCCTATTGAATTTATCCCCACTGAAAATAGAAAAGAATATGATAAGATATGGTTTAAAAATACTAATGATTCATCAAATTAAATTTTCAAGATTTCTCTTATGTAATGCTTATGTGCGTTTAATACCAGATAAAAGTTTAAACCCCCCAATCAATGGAGGGTTAAAGTACCTTAAAAGTGCACCAGGCATGAGAACCTCAAAGAGGGACTCTTTTAGAGGCAGGAATGGCAGAATCCCAGTGTAGAATGTCAAAACCAACAACAGCACACGCTGCATGGAAAATATTAATGGTACATCTGGGTTCTGTAAAGAAATGTGTTATTAAATATAGAGTGGTCATGTACTGTTTCCAAGTCTCTCATTCAACAGACTGAATGTTAAAAATATAATCCTTACCTATTGTACAACTACAAATATATGTAGGTACTGATCAGTACCTTCATTGATCACATTTTCTGTGCCCTGATTATTTTCAGCGTACAATGGTTATATTTAAGGTAAAGTGGCTATATCTAGTATTTTGTAGTTATTTTTATTTTGCAGTGGTTATATTTAATGCACATGTCTTATATTTACTGCACATGTGTTATATTTACTGCACATGTGTTATATTTACTGCACATGTGTTATATTTACTGCACATGTGTTATATTTACTGCACATGTTATATTTACTGCACATGTGTTATATTTACTGCACATGTCTTATATTTACTGCACATGTCTTATATTTACTGCACATGTGTTATATTTACTGCACATGTTATATTTACTGCACATGTGTTATATTTACTGCACAAGTGTTATATTTACTGCACGAGTGTTATACTTACTGCACAGGTGTTATATTTACTGCACATGTGTTATATTTACTGCACATGTGTTATATTTACTGCACAAGTGTTATACTTACTGCACATGTTATATTTACTGCACATGTGTTATATTTACTGCACATGTGTTATATTTACTGCACGAGTGTTATACTTACTGCACATGTTATATTTACTGCACATGTGTTATATTTACTGCACAAGTGTTATATTTACTGCACGTGTTATATTTATGGAAAGGTATTATATTTATTGCACATGTTGCTGGACAGGTGTTCTATTTATTGCACGTGTTATACTTACTGCACATGTCACAAGTGTTATATTTACTGCACAAGTGTTATATTTATTGCATGTGTTATATTTATTGCATATGTGTTATATTTACTGCACATGTGTTATATTTATTGCATGTGTTATATTTATTGCATATGTGTTATATTTACTGCATATGTGTTATATTCACTGCACAGGTGTTATATTTACTTGACAGGTGTTATATTTACTGGACATGTGTTATATTTATTGCATGGTAATTACATTTATTAATTATACTTATTGTAATATTGTTTCTATTTACATCCTGGTATTGTTGGTCTGATAAAAGTTATCTTTAGACCTCTACTCACCTTTTTGTAGAGTTTACTGGTTACTGATGAACTCCTATTACCCCAAGCAGTGAGTGATTCACGATTGAATTCCATAATCAAATCATTTACCTGCACAAAGAGATAATGCCATATGTTACATAAGACACTAATGGTATCACACCAATGGTTTGATAGGATTGTTCTGTCCCACTAAATAGTATCTAAAAGACATCAATAATAAAGAAATCCTGTTATAAAAAGTCCGTGGTTTTTTATGTTTATAAACCTGTTAAGTATCAGTTAAGAAGTGAAGGAGTCCAGTGTTCAGACTCAGCTAATACATACATGATAATCACACGCACTTGTCCTCCATTCTTTATCTCAGAATAGCCTAATTACTTATATGTATTACCTATTCCAAAAACTACCTGTGTAAATAATGATATTTTAGTAAGGGCTAACATCTCCCTGTATATATAGTGATATCATAGTGAGAGTTAACATCTCCTTGTGTATATAGTGATATCTTAGTGAGGGCTAACATCTCCCTGTGTATATAGTGATATCTTAGTGAGGGCTAACATCTCCCTGTGTATATAGTGATATCTTAGTGAGGGCTAACATCTCCCTGTGTATATAGTGATATCTTAGTGAGGGCTAACATCTCCCTGTGTATATAGTGATATCTTAGTGAGGGCTAACATCTCCCTGTGTATATAGTGATATAGTGATATCTCCTTGTGTATATAGTGAGTGATGGCTAACATCTCCTTGTGTATATAGTGATATCTTAGTGAGGGCTAACATCTCCCTGTGTATATAGTGATATCTTAGTGAGGGCTAACATCTCCTTGTGTATATAGTGATATCTTAGTGAGGGCTAACATCTCCCTGTGTATATAGTGATATCTTAGTGAGGGCTAACATCTCCCTGTGTATATAGTGATATCTTAGTGAGGGCTAACATCTCCCTGTGTATATAGTGATATCTTAGTGAGGGCTAACATCTCCCTGTGTATATAGTGATATCTTAGTGAGGGCTAACATCTCCCTGTGTATATAGTGATATCTTAGTGAGGGCTAACATCTCCCTGTATATATAGTGATATCTTAGTGAGGGCTAACATCTCCCTGTATATATATATAGTGTGATAACATCTCCCTGTAGTGATATCTTAGTGATAACATCTCCCTGTGTATATAGTGATATCTTAGTGAGGGCTAACATCTCCCTGTGTATATAGTGATATCTTAGTGAGGGCTAACATCTCCCTGTGTATATAGTGATATAACATCTCCCTGTGTATATAGTGATATAACATCTCCCTGTGTATATAGTGATATCTTATATAACATCTCCCTGTGTAGTGTAGTGATATCTTAGTGCAGGGCTAACATCTCCCTGTGTATATAGTGATATCTTAGTGAGGGCTAACATCTCCCTGTGTATATAGTGATATCTTAGTGAGGGCTAACATCTCCCTGTGTATATATAGTGAGGGCTAACATCTCCCTGTGTATATAGTGATATCTTAGTGAGGGCTAACATCTCCCTGTGTATATAGTGATATCTTAGTGAGGGCTAACATCTCCCTGTATATATAGTGATATGTGAGTGAGGGCTAACATCTCCCTGTGTATATAGTGATATCTTAGTGAGGGCTAACATCTCCCTGTGTATATAGTGATATCTTAGTGAGAGTTAACATCTCCCTGTGTATATAGTGATATCTTAGTGAGGGCTAACATCTCCCTGTGTATATAGTGATATCTTAGTGAGGGCTAACATCTCCCTGTGTATATAGTGATATCTTAGTGAGGGCTAACATCTCCCTGTGTATACAGTGATATGTGAGTGAGGGCTAACATCTCCCTGTGTATATAGTGATATCTTAGTGAGGGCTAACATCTCCCTGTGTATATAGTGATATCTTAGTGAGGGCTAACATCTCCCTGTGTATATAGTGATATCTTAGTGAGGGCTAACATCTCCCTGTGTATATAGTGATATCTTAGTGAGGGCTAACATCTCCCTGTGTATATAGTGATATCTTAGTGAGGGCTAACATCTCCCTGTGTATATAGTGATATCTTAGTGAGGGCTAACATCTCCCTGTGTATATAGTGATATCTTAGTGAGGGCTAACATCTCCCTGTGTATATAGTGATATCTTAGTGAGGGCTAACATCTCCCTGTGTATATAGTGATATGTGAGTGAGGGCTAACATCTCCCTGTGATATGTGAGTGAGGGCTAACATCTCCCTGTGTATATAGTGATATGTGAGTGAGGGCTAACATCTCCCTGTGTATATAGTGATATGTGAGTGAGGGCTAACATCTCCCTGTGTATATAGTGATATGTGAGTGAGGGCTAACATATATCCATGACGAGCTTACAAGACAAGATACTATAATGTTTATCCTTCCCAACTTCAAAGGCTTGTCAAGATTGGACAAAACCCACAGAATTTTTTAGGATATTTTAATACAATGTGCGAAGATTGGACTTATTCATGAAAGGACCTTGTGGACATTAAAATACCAAGATTTAACTGAGTCCAAACTGGGCCTTCTGGTGTACAAGTACATTTACCTTTATTTGACTGAACTCTGACCTTCAGGACATTTACCATATTCATCCTAAAATAAGCCCCTTTCTCAAATGTAAATCTTCTCATTAAAGTTTGTGGAGGGCTTAATCATGAACTAATTTTATTTTACTATTTTGAAATTGATGATAATGCAAAAATGAAGATATGGTCTTATTTGAGGATAAATATGATAAATACAAATGAAGATATGGGCTTATCAGAGGATAAATATGATAAATACAAATGAAGATATGGGTTTATTTGAGGATGAATATGATAAATACAAATGAAGATATGGGCTTATCTGTGGATAAATATGATAACTACAGAATTCTTACCTTGTTTATGAGTTCATCGTTGTTAATTTTGATATCTATATTAATAGGCATCGTAGGAAATGCTTCAAACACATCCCTCAATAGTGGAATTTGTCTGTCAGTTCCACCCTTAGTTTGGAAACCTAGAAATATCAACACACTTCAGATGGAAAGAAAAGCACAGAAAAGAACATCTCAGATATAAAGTAAACACAGAGAACGAAAATGTCATTCCATTTACACTGGTTCTATAGAAACAATGTTTATAAGTACAGTCATGATAAGGTTACATCTGAAATCATTCTAAACAAAAACTATCCATACCCTAGATGTAAATCATATTGATACTGGTGACCCACACCTCAGGGAGAACAGTCCCATACTATGGGTACAACTTAACCTAAACATCTACTTCTACACTGTATTGATAATAATGACCTCAGGGAGAACAGTCCCATACTATGGGTACAACTTAACCTAAACATTACTTCTACACTGTATTGATAATAATGACCTCAGGGAGAACAGTCCCATACTATGGGTACAACTTAACCTAAACATCTACTTCTACACTGTATTGATAATAATGACCTCAGGGAGAACAGTCCCATACTATGGGTACAACTTAACCTAAACATCTACTTCTACGTTGTATTTTTAATAGGTAATGACACTTATTTCAGTACATTAAAACTTGTCTATAAAGGTCACTCAAGGAAGCCAAAAGTGACCTTAATATTGAGGTTCAATTATTGTAAAATTGCATGACATAGGAAACCAAAAAAGTGGCCTTTATTGATAGGTAGCCTATGTATAGAGGTGACCTTTAAGACAAGTTTTAATGTATATAATGACTTGCTGCATTTAGAAAACCAGAACTTACTACTCATGAAATCCAAGGAAAGCACACCCTGAATTGGGGGTAGATCCTGAAAGTTAAAAAAAAGGAATTTTTAGTTTTAATCAGTTTGATATAAGTGTTAACCAAGAAATGGGACAGATTGAAATGTTAAAAGAAAAATCTGCTTGAAGTCAATGCATGTTTTTGAGTCATGTTGAAGGGTTAAGTGTAGTATTTAGGCAAGGAGACTTCAACATTTCATACACCATGTATATAGTTCTCCCAGGTCTCACTGGTATTGATACTTACATTTACACAAAATAGCACGAAGAGTCCTAACCCTTCTTATAGAAAACAAAGACTGAGACCAGGATTTTGAAATAAAAATGGAAAATATTCATCAAATTATTATGAAATTGTGGTGATACTTTAACATAACTCTCATACTAACTTTGTAATCATAGTCGATTATCTCCCCCTCAACACCACATGACCTCTTGAGGGAATTGTCATGTGACACAACCACCTGACCATCCTTGGTGATGTGACAGTCTATCTCCAACATCTCTGTCCCAAGATCAGATGCACTGAAAAGATAGAGCAATTTATAAATACCTGTACAGTGAATCTTTCTGCTAGCAGAATAAATGTTGAGAAGGAAGATAATTTTTCACTTGTGCTCTGTCTGGGTATCAAACAGCTGATCTACAACATTGGTGTGGTGGTTTTTTTTTCATGCAATTGTTGAATTTCTAGACAAAACTGCTGTAGATGACAGCTCTGAAGCCAAGAAAGAGCACAGGTCTAAAATTGTCTCCCTTTGTCACTTACATTTCTATGGCACATTATCAATTAATAAAACAAATTATGTACCTTAATTCGAAAGTTTGAGATTTTAATTACCTGTTGTAATGGTACAGTGTTTAAAATGAACTGTTTACTTATACATATATAATAAGTTTTTATCAATACTAGTAAAAATACATGTTATTTTATATTCTCACATGAGAGATAGCGTTTTCTTATCGTTGAATTAATGACAGAGAAACTCATGCAAAGTACTCTAAAACCTTTAAAATAAGCTGCAGATTATATTCCTTCTTAATATTTTCATGACTTAATTCATTACCAGTTTTTTAAAAGGTATTTTAAACTGCAAAAGGGTGTGGTGCATTTTCAAGATTATTTTAAAATGCTGAAATGCCTTCAGATTCACTTGTTCAAAGGAACAAGGGTAACCAAGACCTATATTCTAACAAGCATGAAACCTTTGTTATCTGTAAATGCATTACTCAATAAAATCCAATAAAATAACTTACAAACGGAAGGCAGTCATGGTATTTTCCAGATTTTCACCAGCACCTGTGAAGACAAAACAGAAGATTACAAGTGAGGAGTAAATAAAGAAGGTCCTTAGAAAGGAAGAACCTTGTGCTGTCTGTTGTCATTGTTGTCACTGGCAAAAGTGAAAAACATCTAAATAAACTTTAAAGAGTTACAATGCCACAACATAAAGGATCAACAGAGTTAGGGAAAAACAGGTATTTTTTCACACACACACACACACACACACACACACACACACACACACACACACACACACACACACACACACACACACACACACACACACACACACACACACACACACAGATATCTGTGTGTGTGGGTGATGGTGTATGTGCATATGTGTGTGTAATACTGACTCCCTCCCCAATGACATTTTCATTTCAATATCAGTCATAATGACCCCATCTTTCTGAGATTATCATTGCCTAAAACATTTCAAGCGAATCCCTTGGTTGAACACAAAGAGGGAAGTTAAAATGGTGACTGTAACACTTTTCTTTCTTCTTATTTTTACAGTTAAAAACTGACATACTACACAACCATCCACCTTTTCCTTATGTGTAGCAAGGGCCAGAGTCACTATTGTAACAAATGACAGTGCTGTATTTCCATTAATGATGATCAGTAATTGATCTTAGCTTTCAAGTTTGTCATTCTACCAATACAGGTAAAGGTAACTTCCATAATCTTTAATATAGACATGTACAGTAACCATAATCCAATGCAAATAAATCCTGTCCTAATACATGTAATAATAACATAGCCCACAAAAAAATTGGTGTTAAATGATTCAAGGCCTATGTCTACCTTATCTACATAAATCTAAACAGATTGGCTAGTGGGCTTGTATTATCACCTCTCTGTTTCCTCTGTTATTTTTCAAAGTTTATTTTATTTGCAAACTATGTGTATTTGCTATATGATATATGATAACAAGATCAATTTATTTCAAACAAATTTTGATAGGAGATGTGAATACAATGTAAGTAAAACAACTCTCCTAAATTACTAGCTGAAGCTGCCTCCCATCGATTGGAATCTATACTGGAGGAATTTCTCATTCATTCAAATATAAAAGCATTACTCTAATAAGTCAGAGGTCATGGGTTCAAAAATTACTCCTGGAAAAATTGATATCATTTATTTCCTTGAAAAATTCCTGGAAAGGGGAAATATGTAACCTTGGTAAAATACCAGCTAAATGGTAAAAACAGCTCAAAGATTTTTTTCTTTTGCTCGATCAGTGCATGTAAATGGCACAAATCAGGTAAGCCTTTGATCCATAACTGTGTAGCAGATGAATGCACAGACATTGGAAATTAATGACCGCTGTTACATATTTATTTATATATATTATGGAGAAAAACAAACAAAAAAAATTAAGTGGCGTGGGCTCATTTGAAAGTCAATAAAAAAGACATAAATTGCATTTAAATTATTTTTACATCAATCAAATGTTTTTAACATTAAATCCAACTTTTTGTTATATTTGTAAATCGATTCCATTGATGACTAAAAAAATAGATTTTAAATACAACATGTAGGCCTACTGCAGTCTGTTTGTGACTCATACCTTTTACTAATTTCAAAATGATAGGTGTTATCCGAGTATCATCTACATGACTAAGGAAAACTTACCTCCTCTGTGACTGATGTGTCTTGGGCGAAATTTTACATTCTTTTTCTTATGTAAAATTTGTGGATATTTCAATAAAATAATTGACGTTACAACGTAACATCCAAATAGTGCCGCAACTACAGCCATTATAATTATTTCGGCCAAAGTCAACATCCCACAACTACACTGACAATTTGTTACGTCTACCCTCGACAGTTGACAGTCTTATATTACATCTTGTATATGTGTGGTTCTTCATGTTCACGTGTGTATTTCGAAAACGTCCTAGAAAGGCACCTTTTCCATTCAGGAATCTACTGTGAGACACTTGTACGGCTAAGCTGAGTCACATGATAATGAGGAGATATTTACCTTCTCCATTGAAGAGTTCTATTGCTGGGGATCCGTAGGAGTAACCTCACATTATCTACATTGATGAAAGTTCGAGGCTCGGAAAACCCATTTTGTTTTCTTTTTCGTTTTTTTCCTTTCTTTTTTTTTAACACTTTTTTGTTTAATCAATCATTGTTTACACTTGACCGTGTAATAAAAAATCAATTCCTAGCGCACACAGTCTTCTTTCTCGGCAAATTTACTTCATCCTGAATCTGAACCGCTTATATTTTAAGACACTAACTGTGTATTGTTTATACATAAATAGACTTCTCAAATCAAGAAGTAAGTATAATGGTACACATGTATTGTCTGACTGTGGCAACAATTAAGCAAACCAGAAATTGTTTATTTCATTTAGAAGCTGTCACGCTGGTGCATTTTCAATCTGAGGTTAATATCTTTTCACGATTCGCTAGCAAAATTAAGTGGAGACACAATCACTGGTAATAGACACACACACTTTCTAAAATGCAGAGGTATATTATAAATGTCTGTGTGTTTGATGGTTACACTACAGAATATATCAAGGATAACTCATTTGAAGTTTTCAAACAGAATTTTGACACCTTAGGCATATAGCTTTGTGCAGGAGTGTAGTGGATCATGCATGGACTGGGAATTCTTACCAAGTCGATGTGAGAGGAAAAGAATCATTCAAAATTTCCATTTATATTCTTAACATTATTTAATGCCAGTGGAGTATATCGATAATTTCTTTCTACCCTAATCAATAGAACTGGTCTAACTTTTGCCGTCAATGCAAGAGTGAAATAAGGGGCGATAACCCAGTATTTCCTGGACCCTTCAGGTAGTTCAGTACTAGGACGTGCTAACTATGTCCCATCCTCGATAATACAGGGGTTACGATCACTTTCACTCTCTGCATCCCTGGAACGTGTCATGGCAAAATTGTAGGTTCTATATGCAATACCTTGTGGACATGATGAAAAGACTAGTTTGATCTTTTGATGTAAATCATACGAATCATGCGGTCGCTTAACGGTATGCTGTAATTGCTTTGGAATTGTGTGTCGCTTCTTTGTAATCTTTAAAAAGAACGTTTTAGCATGTGATTGGTCAATTTTTTTTCTCCTTGAACCAATCAAATTACTTATTGTACCTTCCATTTTCCATGACATGTTTCAGGGGTGCAGAGAGTGAAAGTGGCCATAACACCTGGAGTATCGAGGATGACATGTCGATTGGAACTCTAATACAATCTTGATTAATAAATATGAATAAAAGTGACCATGTAGATTACATTTTCGATTTTGCACATTGTCTAAATGGAACTGAAGTATTTTTGTTTTTTCCAATTTATGCAACAATTTTTAGTAAAATTACCTAGAGGGACGTATTGCAGGTAGTTTGTGATGCGCACAATAATAACGGATACGTTAACAACATTTGTTGTCATAGTTACATAAACAAGTCATTGCTATTGTTTTGAATAGTCATGATGTGGAAACTTCAGGGAGTCTGATGAACTTCTGAAAGAATGCAGAAATTGGTTAATATATACGAATTTACTATGTATTACACAAAACGTTCTCTTGTAGATCTCAACAATTAGGTGCGTAAGGGGCGTATAATAAATGGATATATAACTCTGGATGTGGGTTGGATCGTAAATTTGGATTATCATGTATATTCAGCGATTATCCTAAGGTCTCAGGAGCTTGAACTTCGACAAAAATGATAATTAAATAGGTAACTAAAACATTTCCCCCTGTTAATTAATTAAAAAGTACAACCTTGTCTACTTGTATTTTACCTTTGACGGCCTTTGTTTACACCTATAACGGTTTTACAAAAATATGCTAGGTGCGGGGCCAAAGACAACCAGGTATGTTAGCGTAATCAGGTCACACGGATCTAATACACACATGTTCACTATACTTCGACCGTACGCGAGTGTGGACCTACCTGTGAGGTTTTACCTGTATAATTTACCTAGACCTACACACGCAATGTCATGTAAACATGGCGCTGTTTATAAAAGATCTGTGTAATATTGGATATTTTGTGTAATTTTCACCTGCGTATTTAGGATGTCGGGAGAAGATTCAGACGTTCCGGTCCGGATTGATGTCCGGGAAGGGAAACGAAACGATGGAACTTACTCGTATTCATTTACGTATGAAAGGGCGACATTGTACGAGTTTAAATTTGACCGAGCTGCCTACCCCGCGGCAGTAGACCCCTGTCACAGGTGTTACAGAACCATCCCCATCCACGAACAGGTCAATGTCGGGGTACTATTCCACAGACAGTGCTTCCGATGTCGTGTTTGTGGAATTCCTCTCACAATGCAGACGTTCTACAGGAATGACGCCAATGGAACTAATGATAAGGAGGTGTATTGTAAAACCCACGTGGGGAAGGGCATCCGTCAGATCCAGGCGGAGGGGCAACCCATCGACGTTGCACACGCCCTACCCCCCGGGGGAACTCAACACGTCATACAGGTATAACAATAAGTCGTACACGTGGTAGACAACACTGCTTGTATACCCGGTATTTATCTATATATATACACGTTTATGTCACTCTCTTTTATAACACGTATGTATATATTGATTATGTTTATGTGGCAGGGTATGAAAAATAGTTCATTTAATCTGTTATTATATTGGCTCTAATCAACAAATGATTATACCGCGAGTGTTGTATACCTCCGGGTAACACATCCTTATACCTTTCTTATGACGCAACAGAGATCACCCCACTATGTCATGGGTTTGGGGATATCAACAAAAACATGATTTATGCATGAATGGCTTGTTACCGTCCACGGATTTGTTAAAATCCGTTTGATAATTTCCCCCAAAATATCAATATTGGCTATAAAGGTGTTTTTCATTGGCTGTGGTGAAATACACACATTCTTCCACCATCGCGTCACATTAATGTTTACTTGAAGTTTTTATCAGTGAAGGTATGTAACCGGACAACAATGTTATCGCCCAGATGAGTAAAAATACCCCCACTCCTTTATACCTGGTGATACAGGTATGCTTCTCTCTCGAACCGATCACTAAACTGACCGACATAATCACTGTGTATAACGTCAACTTTTTGTTTAACCACAACTGGTCTAATTTCCGGGTCACGCGCAGCACACATGCACGTGGAACGCACTTAAATATAATGAACAGGACTACGCAGTACCTACATATTGCTTAACCCGAATAATGTTATGTAAATTTGTACATGGATAACATGAGGAAGTAAACACAAGTACTGATGTATATCTCAGAAAAGTGTTCTGGTGATGTGTTATTCAATTCGATCGGTCAAACAACATGTTCACGTACACGGTCTATTCACATTCATCTGGTATTTAACTAAAGTCTATCATCCTAACTGTCGGGGCCTGACAACCTCATCCCAGCCACAGGGCCCTGACACCCACATCCCAGTCACAGGGCCCTGACACCCTCATCCCAGTCACAGGGCCCTGACACCCTCATCCCAGTCACAGGGCCCTGGCATCCTCATCCCAGCCACAGGGCCCTGGTACCCTCATCACAGCCAAAGGGGTCTGGCACTCTCTACCAGCATCAATGCTCTTACACCTTCATCCTAACTATAGGGACCTGACACCTCACCCCAGTCACAGGGACCTGGCACCCTCATCCCAGTCACAGGGCCCTGGCACCCTCATCCCAGTCACAGGGCCCTGACACCCTCATCCCAGTCACAGGGCCCTGACACCCTCATCCCAGCAACAACGCTCTTAAACCTTCCTCCTAGCCACAGGGTCTTGGCACCCTCGCCCCATCGACAATGCTCTTACACCTTCATCCTAGCCACAGGGCCTCGACACCCTCATCCCAGCCACAGGGCCCTGGTACCCTCATCCTGGCCACAGGGCCCTGACACCTTCATTCTTGTCACAGGAACTTGACAGTCTCCTGTTAGTGATATCTATATATGAAAATATGAAAACTTATGAAAATTGCCGGATTTGCTCTTTAGAAGAGTTACGTTCCTTAATTGATACAGGACTTTTGGGGAAGGGATTGGTACTAAGACCCTGAAACATATCCTACTTTACACATATCACTTTACACAGTCTTATGTTGTTTTGTCAATTGTCCGGATATTGTATCAACATTTCTAAATTTAGATCGATGTGCCAAGTTTTACATTTCATTCAATCCATGTGTAAACACGATACATATTTTACAAGATGGCCGTCTTCTCGTAGACACGCTCTCTATTGGCTAGTCTAACTTCCTCTTGGTTCCAGTATTCTGTCCCGATGCACAAGCACGTTCTGTCGAGATTTGCATTGCCTTTTAAATGTATTGAGTACCACTCGAATCTTATTTATAACAGTATCCCGTTTCCTGATCAAACATGCATGAAGGTTCTACTTAGATCACAGGAATGGGGAGTATATGTAAAGATTAGCTCCCCAAATACATCCGGCAACAGTCTGCTCATGATAAACCAGTATAACTAATGGCGTGTATAATTGATTTTATGCCCAAGTAACGTAAATATTGACACGGAGACACGTGTCCACATGAAATCTGTATAATGACACATGACTACGTAACATCTATATAATGACAAGTGTCTGCGTGATATCTATATAATGACATACTGACACGTGTCTACGTAACATATATATACTGACGTGCCTACGCGATATCTGTATAATGACACATGGCTACGTGACATCTATATTATGACGCAATGACACGTGTCTACGTGATATCTGTATAATGACATTGACGATGTTACACATGATGACCTGATGATATAGACGGTGTAACATGTGACATCGTTTTAATGTTACTATAATTGCATTTTGTGGTATGGCCACCAATTCCCAGAGATATATGTATATTCCAGACCACAAGAAAATAATATGACGTCATATATATAACATGGCTCCATGTTTACCCATGTTACGTCAGGGCATTTCACGTTGCCTTAGAACATTCAGATTGTTATATAATGTTTAGGAAGCTCTTCAATTAAATTAGCATACAGGGGGACCTTTAAGATATCAATGATATCTTCAAAATAGTATCTGACTATTGAGCGGTCGTCAGATAGCAGTTATTGTCAAAATAATTGCAATCTTGGTGACAAATTATGACGTCCTATGTCCTGTCTTACTTTCGTATAATTTGATGACCGTTCAGTGGTTAAGACGTTCCCAGGTGATATAGGCGTAGTAATGATACTGATGTGGCAGTATTGTAAAAGTACCTTCAATTAATTTACATAGTGGTTCGATTATGTTTTATTCCATGGATGTCACAGCCATACACAGATGGACTATTATTAGCCCGGTACCGGCTACTATATTCCCCATATCCTAAAGTGTGTAGAGTTGACCGGACGGTCTCTGGGAATACCGATGATAATTCCCACAGTTTCTAAAACGAGTTTTAAATAAATGACGGAAAATAACTGAAATTTGATAAATAGGAAAATAGCATTATTTTTTCAAAGCCAGAATTCTTATGGAACTCCAAAAGGCCATACAAATCGTGCTTATTTTACTACCTTCAATATTTTCTTTAGAGTCCGTTTATCACATTATTGTGAGCGGTAACTGTGGTGACGTGTGCATCTATAACTGGCCTTGTCTGGTGTATACTAAACCCTTCCGGAGTTATGACCGCAGACGACCCTTTTATGGGGTCACATGACCTTATAAGTATATTGACAGTAACGTACAATTTGAATACCTATCAATTATCACTATACTATTGTGAACAGGATGAATGGAGCCGCTCGGTTTAATGGCGCAGATAATCGTTAAGTGTGATTTAATCGGTAGATTTTAATTGTCTGACTATAAACCAATGTCATTTATCTATCGACTGTATAACAATATGATTTGTTTAATGGAGAAATATCCGTTTGTTGAATTTATGACTCCAGTCGAGGTTTCAATACTATGACTCCAGTCATGTAGCCCCGTCCGCATGATTCCACTGACCATTGACCAGTCACGTGATATAGTCTAGTGGTTACAAATCTAGGTGTCGGTCAAATGACTCGGTCATGTGATTCTAAGTCGTTAGGTTCCAACACAAGACACTGTCGTGTGGTTCCAGTCTCGGGGCACTGTCGTGTGGTTCCAGTCACAGGGCACTGTCGTGTGGTTCCAGTCTCGGGACACTGTCGTGTGGTTCCAGTCTCGGGACACTGTCGTGTGGTTCCAGTCACAGTGCACTGTCGTGTGGTTCTAGTCACAGGACACTGTCGTGTGGTTCCAGTCACAGTGCACTGTCGTGTGGTTCCGATCATATGCCCCAATCGCATGGTTCCGGTCACATGCCCCGATCGTGCGGTTCTCGTCACAGCCACCAGTCGTATAGTTCCAGTAACTTGCCTCAGTCATGTGGTTCCAGTTACATCCTTTCAATCATGTGACTGCATCTGAAGTTGTCATCTGTCATCACGCCCATAAAAATTGTTAAATAATTAATTGATCCCACGTGCTTAGATTGTCTGATTAAAATTCTTTGTCGTTGAAATGATTCTGCTGATGATAAAACATGGAGAGAGTCGGTATGACTAACATGTTACAAGTATGAAAAGCTTCTTCAGAAAACGTGAAAGATGTCTTCGGGTTGTCAAGTGTATGAAATGAAGACAATTAAGTATTGGTTTAGGTTATCATACGGTGCCACCAATCACTATTGTTACACAGGAAAATATTGGCTAAGAACCACTTATCCAACACAAAATCCTGTATTTCATAACGAATGTGACATGAATACCACAAACTAATTTACATATTGAACTTCGACCCGAACAAGCAGCTGTCCCATCTGTCACCCGTCTCATGACGTCACGTGCTTTCTGGGTACAAAGAACAGTAAGATCTCGGATGATGAGGAGGAAACAGTTTATAGAAGATTGATAAACTATACTCTCTGATATTTTCTTTGACCGATGACCATATCACCTAATTCCAAGTCAGGTTGGCACAATACTAAGGTACTAAGTTTAAAACAATAATGTAGGTAGTTGTTATATATGTATGCCCCGAAAATCCTGGTTTGTAATTGTATTTCTTTCATTATCGAATACCCGTACATTGTGAATGGAATGCAAACAATTTTGCAATTTAAACATGTGTGTCATGTGTCGTTATTATCATTTTGAAGAAGCCATTTTAATAAATTCCGCCAAAATTTTCATTAAAGGTTGCCTTCCACGTGAGTCACTATCAAGGGTGCACTTGTTTGACCAGCCTCGGTACATCAGTCAGGATTCCGATTCCCATCGTAACGACCTTACTTAATCGTTTTTTTTTTCATTTAAATTAGACACTACGGCTAAGAGTTTGACATTACCTTGTCACGAGGTCACATGTCATAGTTGTACCTGATGACCTTTTCTGCACATTCGCCCGTACCCTGGTAATAACACTGCTAGATTTCTTGAAGGGGGTATCTGCCTATTTACATGAAACAATACATTGTATCTG